GGGGGGGGGCATACATCCATATTGGCGGCCATATTGCACAAAGATGTGTTGTTTCATGTTCACGGACAAAGCGATGAGGTGACTCGGAGGCTTTGGATTTATCCCGCGAGCTGATTGGCTGTGCACCGTCGTAGCCTTACCCAGCATTTTCCCTTGCTTTTTGATGAGTTAAGTTGCACTCCAAGCCGTTGAAGCCATTGAAGCGATGCGTCCCGGCCGTGTGGGAGCATGTATGTCCACTTTTCCCTCCACGGAGGTGCCACCATCAAAAGGGACACATTGCTTCAACGGCGACAAGGGGGGTGGTTGGCTGCGGGTTTCCCCACCCGGTCGGCTGTTTTTGAGACATGTCACAAGCAGCGACGGCTCAGGCGAAGGCTAAACTGATAGCACAAACTGTCAGCTAGCTAAGCGTTTTTCTCTTCCCTAAAAAAAAAAAAGACCATTGTCTGCTAAAAAAAGAAAGCATCAACCTATTTGAACTCATAAAATGACAAGACAATCACCAAGTATGTCATCATTTACTGGATAAAGTTGTGCAATTCAAGATTGAAGTCAATACGTGGTATATTTGTCTCAAATATGTCAAGTATAAATACTGTTTACAGATTTTAAACATCCTGGTACCCACATATACATACGCGAAAATTCCTAGGGGGGCGGAGCAAATCCTACTTTAGTTTTTTAGCTTTTGCGGGGGGTGCCAGTCCCCATTAACTGTTGAAAAAAGAGGTATTACAGTATATACATATACAAGCTTATCCTTGAGTAAAGTAAAGCCGTTGGGCATAATCCATATTCAAAGTCTTGTCTCAAGCTGCCCCGTTGGCCTCCATAACCCAGTTGTGGTGGCTATTATTGGGGAAAGCTGCTTTGCACTGGTCAGTTGTACGAAGGGTTTGGATATGCTTGGCTGAGTTGACCTATATTTGGCTGCCTTCCCTGTCTGGGTGGGTGGTTGTTATCCGAGCTTCGCTCTTGTCTTTTTTTTTTTTTTCCTTCAAATGAAAACGCTGGCTTGATTTTTTCCCGTAATTTGATGAAATTATTCATGCATGGCAAACATGATATATTTATGGATGTATTTATTGAAAATCCAAAACCCGGTTGGTGAGAGGAGAACTTTTGGGATAAACATACTCCATCGGGACTTCCCTCTGGACGTGTGCAAATGAAAAGCATTCACAAGCTACGGCGAGGTTAGGCTCTTTCCTGCGAGAGCAAATTTCATTCGAGGTAGGATTGATGAGACACAAACAGCGAAAGCCGTACGCCGTCTGATCAAGGTCAAGTCAAGAATGCACTCGAGGCAAAAAAAAAAAAAAAGAGGCGTTTGAATATCAAACAAAAACAGAGTTTCACACGGCGGTACCTTCGAGTTGAAAGTGAGGAGCCTGGCGGATGGATGGATGAACGGAGAGAAATAATGACGAGGAAATGACGACTGCGATGAAATGATGGCACGCTAGCGTCGAACGCAGATGGCGCAGAGATCTTGACTCAAACACGCAGTACATTAAAAATGATGATGTTGGCGGGTCGGCATTTATAAAATGATCAGACGTTTCGAAATAGAGTCAAGAGAAATTCGTTCTTGGTCGAGCATCGGAGGGTTGTGTCTCGTGAAGTTCACGGCTATAAACTGGAACTTTTTCCCCAGCTTTAATTTCGGATTGAAGATGTTTTTTTTTTTTTCATTACTAGCGTTTTAAATCAAATCTCTACAGATTGAAGCAATCTGATCAGTCGTCAGATCTACTCTGCTTCAGCGCACGCCCTCATCATGCAAAAAAAAAAAATGCAACGCCTTGCCGACAGAAGAATCCGAACCTCGTTGTTGTTTTTGCACATTTCATTATTTTTGCTTCTTGGCTAATTTGAGCTGTTTGCACTTTGGTGTATTTCTGACGGCAAAGGGCACACATGGACCAATTTGGGAAGGAAACCGGAACACCCGGAGAAAAGCCTGCTCACTTCATGCAAACATTCAAATTGCCAGAGATAGGCCAAGGGAAATTGGCATCGCTATTGGCGATCATTTAAACCCTCAAACAACCGTTGCTTGAACACGAGCGCTGCAGTAACGCATGCGAATGGAACATCCAAAAGTACTGCCGGGCAAATCTTCTCACAATATGCACGCAGGAGGGCTCGAGATGAGATTCCAACCAAGAAGATCTCGATTGTGAGGCGTCGAGTGCGCGTTGCCACATCTGGCCACATATTATTTCACTCCCCTTAGCTTATGGGAGAATTAGTTTGGCGGTCTGCTCGCATTGGCGGCTGTACAGCCTTCTAATGGCGTATGGCGGCTCTCTAGCAATGACCCAGTGACAGGTAGTACTGTAGATGGAAAAACGATATGAAAAACGACACGGGGAGGAGAAGAATCCAAAACATGAAGTCATCATGCCCACAAGTGAGCAGCCAAAAGCATTTGTGAGGAACAGGGCAAAGTTCTCGAAGGGCTCGGGTGCACTGTCGCGATTCAAACGTAACCAGCAACCTTTGAGGCCACCCCGTTGTGGTCACCCTCCACCGGACGTGATGAAATAAACCTGAAAAGGCGAGGGGACCGTGAAAATAGGTCAAGTGCAGAGATAGCGAGAGAGAACGTCCAGCGTTTGGAAAGGAAGCGTGTCGGGGGATTAGGACACAACCGACAGAACGTGACGCGAGGGGGCACGGAAAGCAGGGCAAGGCAGCCAGGCGATGGGAATGAAATACGTCAAAGTGAAGATCATCGATTGGAGCCTTATTAGCCAGATGAAAACAATAAAGCAGCGAGTGACCAAGGACTGCTGCAAGCAAGATGAGCTTTGCCCTCTTGTCGTTTGCCTCCCGTCCCTCTTTACCGCTCACAGTTTTCAGTTTTTTTGGAGTGAAGCCGTGGGCTGTTGCTGTCTCATGCCGACAGCCAGCCATGTGTCTGCGTGTGTGTGTGTGTGGGTGTGTGTGTGTGTGGGTGTGTGTGTGTGTGGGTGTGTGTGTGTGTGGGTGTGTGTGTGTGTGGGTGTGTGTGTGTGTGGGTGTGTGTGTGTGTGGGTGTGTGTGTGTGTGGGTGTGTGTGTGTGTGGGTGTGTGTGTGTGTGGGTGTGTGTGTGTGTGGGTGTGTGTGTGTGTGGGTGTGTGTGTGTGTGGGTGTGTGTGTGTGTGGGTGTGTGTGTGTGTGGGTGTGTGTGTGTGTGGGTGTGTGTGTGTGTGGGTGTGTGTGTGTGTGGGTGTGTGTGTGTGTGGGTGTGTGTGTGTGTGGGTGTGTGTGTGTGTGGGTGTGTGTGTGTGTGGGTGTGTGTGTGTGTGGGTGTGTGTGTGTGTGGGTGTGTGTGTGTGTGGGTGTGTGTGTGTGTGGGTGTGTGTGTGTGTGGGTGTGTGTGTGTGTGGGTGTGTGTGTGTGTGGGTGTGTGTGTGTGTGGGTGTGTGTGTGTGTGGGTGTGTGTGTGTGTGGGTGTGTGTGTGTGTGGGTGTGTGTGTGTGTGGGTGTGTGTGTGTGTGGGTGTGTGTGTGTGTGGGTGTGTGTGTGTGTGTGTGCGTGCGTGCACGCATGTGTCAAGTCCTCATGACGAGTCTTTCATCAGCGCGCAAAGCTGGCTGGCGCGGCCGCTACGCCAGCCCCGTGCTGCTGCATCAGGATTACAAGGTGCATATGATGCCCGTGTCCTCCCACTCGTGGTCTGATCCAGGATGGCGCACGGTGTCCTTGTTCTGGGTATTGTCACGAGACTCTCTGAGGCCATCCGTTTCGTTTCTCCTTGCCGGATTGAGTGGATGGAAAGCAAACTCCTTTCTCAATAGATGAGGACGATCTCATGACAGAGAGTGATTTGCTCACCACGCGCGTTCCAGCTAAATACGTTGATGCATGCCTAATTTCCAAAGCATTTTTTGTCCGCACGTCTCGAAAGGATGCCTAAAATAATCTCCGCTTCACACAAACAACTTTAGCAGCGACAGTCGAACCTGATTTTCACATTCACAAGTCCCGAATTCACGTCATTCATTTTCCATTTGCTGATTTTGCTTCAACCGACACCTTGATAACATCAACTTCATCATGACGAACAAAACGTACGGTGCGGGATTCACCTCTGTTGCCGAGCAACGCTACCGATCGACGCGGGTCACTGCTGTACTTCCTGCCATACCTCACGGAGGAGGCACGACAGGAGCACATGCTCTGAAAACATGTCGCTGGCATTTGCAAATTTTCGATGCAGAGCGAGTCACTGTGAAAGCGCTATATAAATCAGCATGTATTGTATTGTACTCCTAACTGATTGACAGGTTGTCTTGTTTTCTAGGAGTAATGCCGGTGCCTGAAGTGTCGTCTGACACCGCCAGCGCTGCCGCCATGTTGAGCCCCGTCCTCAATGCCTCCAACGGCGACGGATCAGAGTCAGAAAGCACCTCCGCCATTCTGGCCTCTGTCAAGGAACAGGTATGAACCGCCTGCCGCTGCAATGCCAAAGAAAGGCTCCCATTCTTTGAAAATAACTCCACGTGTATATTTAGCTGAGAAAAATGGCGACCAATAATGTGCTTGGATTCATCATTTTTGTTGCACGACGATCCCTACGGCCAACTTACTTTGTCCTCTTCCCAAGACATTTTGCACATTTGTATGCTTCTAACTTTTTGCGGAGATAGTCATTTTTCATTTCCGCATGACTGTGAAAGGAGCAAGGTCCTCCACGCCTGCTTTGATGAGTTTGGTACCGTAGAACTTGTGAGCAAAGACGTCAGGAGCTTGTTTTCACACAGAGCATTTTAAAATGATCATCGCTGTTGATGACTGAGAAATGTGGACATTTTTCACTCAAAATCAAAAGTGGGTGATCCACTAAACTCAACTACCGATGACCAATAATACTCCACCCACCAGTTATTTCACTCCAGGGCCAAATGTTGCACAGATGGGCTGTGCCACTAATCTTAAAAATCACATTACGCTTGTTTTTAAATGTACTTCAAATCAGCTTACTCTCTTATCATACCAATCATAATGGGGGGGGTGAAAAAAATCTGACAATAACGAATGCATTCAAATTTCAATGTGAGTTCCTACTCAAATAAATCATGAAAATAAAAGAATCATTAAAAATAAAAAACATGAAAAAAATCATTTGAAAAATAACGGTAGGCCCTCAAGACATAAATTTAGAGCTGTATTGAAAATTCAAGTGCATTTTCTGTTTCGCCAAGTGGGGCACATTTAACACAATATTGTTCGATACAATGTTTGTTAGAATGGCGTCGTTTCAAGACCGTACGGCGCACCGTATTAAAAGGTGTCACTTACTCGCTATTTATGTATTGAATACTTACGCAAGACGCACTGCATGATTGCACACAGGCACGATAAAATGTATGCTCGCTTCCAAAAAATATGCTCGTATGAATGCATGCTGGCGTATGTTTTTAAAAAGGCAACCAGAGCAAAAGTGAGTTTGGTGGGCCAGTCTGACAGTGACACCAAATCGCCTCATGACTTGTTTGCAACAAATTGATGGATAACGCTCAGTCAAGCTTAATAATAGCTTGTTCAAGTGCGTGCGAACAGCCGAATAAAATGATTGCAAAATCTGAACATAATTTCTGACATGTGACGAGTTGACATTTTAACAAGGTTCATGAAAGTTGACACCCATGATTGCTTTGGTGGTCCACATGAAATGACGTGGCGGGCCGAGTCTGGCCCCCGGGCCTTGAGTTTGACATCACTGATTTAATGGAAGGGTACCAATAATTAAGTCTATGTTTCAGCTCAATACAAACAGAAACCTTAGTACTGCTCTTCTAATTTCTGTTAGTGACTCTTGTCGATGGATCCGCGTCCAATGCAGCTTTGACTATTTTCTTCCTCGTGCTCTTTTACTTCTGCTTTGCGACGTTTGTCGAGCACGTGGTCTCATCGCGGCACGATCGCCACGCTCAAAGTTGAATTCAGCACTCCAAGGCAGTCAAGTGCGTCTCCCGCCGCATGCCGAGCAGACGGTTGACACTGCAAAGGAAAAGATATCTTCGTGTATATTTGATGAGTCTTCGTCTAATGGAAGATGATGATTATTTCATTTCAGGCAATGAAGAAAGAGAATGAGTCAGTAACATCGCCCCAAACCAGGATTCAAATCTTATCACGTTGCTTCCTCGGAATCATAACTATTTCATGAAACTATGTCTCAAGATCACTCGAGTTTAAAAGATGGATGGATATTGGATTTTTAACTTTGTAATTCAGCGCATCACACTTTGTTGCACTCTTTGTCTCACAGCCTTCAGTCCGATGGCCGATGAGCAATCAGACAATGCTGGGGGGAGGGGAGGGGCTAATTCCGGGTTGGCTAATTCTAGGATGAAAAACCAAATATCTCGACTGCATATCTCTGGTACGTTAATTTGATGATGACTGTTGAAGATCAGCGTGAGCCTTCCCTGATGTCATGCCTTTACATTGTGCCATTCCGGCATTGTTGCAGAAGGGCGGGAGTGGAGGGGGGTGGTGGTGAGAAGGAGAAGGAATTAAAACATTGCTCTACAAGCACAGTCCTCTGAAAACAAGACAAATCTGTCTGGTTGGGATGAACATTTAAGTAGCTCTGGGATCAACAGAACACTAAATCTCTCCGAATCTGTCCTCCTCCTCCTCCTTGCCGCTCGGAAGTTTTCCTCTTTCCATTTTCAATGTGGCTCCAATATCACTCCCCGAGCGCTATGGCGGTCCACCTTCTCTCATTTGGCTTGCTTGCCCTTCGCCTCAGGGACAACTTTGTCATTGTACCAAATAATGTTTAGCCCAAAACAGCGGCTTGGACAGCACTGAGCCTTGCAACATACGCAGTGTGCGTTTTTTTTTTTTTAATGCGTTTTTTTTTTTTTTTAATCGAACTGCTCCCCCCTCCCCCCTTTCCACAACAACTAAATGCCAGGCCAACTCTCTATGCAAGAAAAAGAGAGGAAGGGACAGTTACCTCCACGACGCACATGCAGAGAATCAACGCTCAATGCAGGCGACCCCTGTTGAAGCCTCCATTTCTTTGACTTGACTAATGGCTTTAATGGAGGCCGGCCTGTCCCTTTGAGCTAGTGGCTGTAACTCTCGATTTGTCTCCCTTCAATAATAAGATCAGTCTGCAGCACCATATTAAGGAACGCGGTCGGTTGACAAGCTCTCGATTGCAGAGCCTGTTCATTCTCACAATCTAATTGTGCCGCCGCATGACGTACTGACTGCTCAATTGCTTACCAAGCTGCGATCGTCGTCACGTATGCACTTAGCGTCTTAATTTTTAGTGGCACAAAGAGCTTCCAGTCACACCTCTATCAAAAAATAAAAATAAAAATCCCGGATACAGGCAGTACAAATTGTGACCTACAGATAGTAGATATAATCCACCCATCCATTTTCTGAACGCGCTTATCCTGACGAGAGTCGCGGGCATGCTGGACCCAATCCCAGCCATCTTTGGAGGTCGGCGGGGGACACCCTCAACTGGCTGCCAGACAAAATCACAGCCAAACAACCATTCACACTCACAACCTTACCTCGAGACAATTTCCAGTGTTCCATTAACCTGCCATACATATTTTCGGAATGCGGGAGGAAACCAGAGTATCTGAAGGAAACCCACGCAGGCATCTGGAGAACATGTAAACTCGATACAGGAAGGCCATGCCGGCCGCGGGCACGCAGCCATTTGTGTTTAAATAGCTCAGTTTGCTAATTGCAAAATGATACACGATGTGACATGCAAAGCATGCGACGTGCACAAAAAAGAAACCAACAAAACAAAAATTATGTCACGTGGCAAGTGTTTCTGGAAATAAATCTGATCCCGCGTGTAGGGGCTCATTTTATCATGTCATATCATCAGAATAGCAAGGCGGGAGGAGGTAGAAATATTTTGGGCACATGAGGCAATGCTCCTCAATCACCTCATTTAACGGAGACGTCTTGTAAGACGATGTCACGTGATTGTCCCGCAGAATAAATAAACCGTCTGTGTGGCTGAATTCCTACTACCGCCACAAATGCCCACTTTATGCTTCATCTTCCAGGTGGGATTCAATTCAAGTCAAATGTGAAGACAACAACTGTTACTCAAAACAACTTTGCAGATTCACGGACAATGTCACTCGTCTCCCGAGCGCGGAGGGGGACGTCTGCGGATGAGCGTTCATACCGCAGACCCCTCGCATACGTATCCAATTTATGTCCACATTTGAAAAAGGCCCAAGTTGGATTTGAAACAAACAAAAAAAAAATCCCCGAGATGGTACTGTTAACATTGCATAAAAGATACATGTCACATTCGGGCAAGAAAATCGGAATCGAGCTGCGGTGTGAACGTAGCCTGAGACACATTGCAGTACAATGCGCTCCAGCATGTTGCAGTTCTTAGAAACAGCATACACATGCGGTTCGTCCATACATTCAAACAGCCACGCGAGCTGGGCGGATACCAATTTGAATGAATCGATGACGACGGGCTGGCCGGCGTGTTTTGCATGTGCCTGGCATATTTGCGTATTTTACTTGGTACGGGTGAAGAGGGGAGCAGCACACGTCGCGTAAACAAATACAAAAAGAAGGCTGCATTTGAGTCGGACTCAGTAGGAGGTGCGGCAATCTTCTCAGGAGCAACTGACCCCCGTTGGGAAGGCAATGGGTTCTAATTACCAGGCTTACTGCATCCTGGTAAGTGATGTTTTTTTTGCATGGTTGAATTTTACTTCAATCCCAGACGTGTTATGATTGACATTCCTCCTCACCAAAGGCCCTCTTTGTATTTTCTTTCCGGGCAAAAGGAGACATTTTGAATGAGCTATTTACCTCGCAGAAATGTAGACTTAGCCACACATTCTCGATTACCGTTCACAGCACCACGCTTTGTGAACAAAGAACGGAGAAACGGGATCATGAATGTCTGGAAAATTGCACTTGGTACAAGAGTCGTGAGCAAGGTGAAGAATCCAAACTTGGGTTGTCGGCATGGCACTCCTCAAGTCGTCCACTGACTCTGATGACAATGCGTGACAGGTGTGTTCCGCTGGAGGGAACGCCCTCCATTCTGGTTGGAGCTGAAAACACAAACACATCAAAACCATGCCAAAATTTTACCCATAGTATTAGTTTAAAGTCAGTCAAGGTTTGAGGAATGCACTTACAACCTTCAGGTTGGGAGATGGCTGTGAGTGAGTAAATGTCATGAATACTCGTAACTTCAAAGTGAGAGCAAAGGATTTGGGATCCAGGCATGCGAGTGCGTGCAGCCAGGAGTCCAACTTTCCCACACATTTTGCTCAGTTTTCACCTTGACTCACTTTCGTCTTCAAGCCCCTCCTTACTTTTCAGTGGAGGAGGGGTGTGTGTATATATGTGAGAAGTGAGAGAGGGGTGAGAGAGAGAGGAGGCAGAGAGAGGTGGTCTTTTTTGCAGGGTGGACCAGTAGGAGGGTCCTTTGTGATGCAACGTTGCATGAATAATGCCACTGGGCTTCGAAATGCTCCGTTGCCATGGGGACCTTTGTGCCTCGCTGAACACTGTGCATGTGTGTGTGTGTGTGTGTGCGTGCGTGCACGGGTCCCCACGGAGGGAGTGATAAAGAGACATGGAGAAAGCCGAGAGAAGGCTCAAGTGACACTTGTAGTCTCTCTCGCCTTGTGTCTGTCTCTCTTTCGGCCGTGTCTCTGGATGTGTCTTGTCCCCAAGACAGATGAGCCTTTGGAGGTGGTAGAGGAAATGTTTGTGGCCAGAGGGGGGGGTGGCAAAAAGAAAAGCCAGACTGAAGTCCGCTCTGTGAAGTATGGTCCACGTGAAGGTATGCGGACTCTCTCGCGCCTCTTCTGCCTCATGGCTTTTACTTTCTCATTTTCTTGGCTTTTTTTTTTTCCTCCCTTGCATGGTGTTCGTCCGGCTGCAGTAACAGGTGGCTGCATGTCAGGCCTTCATTTGGAGGCAGCGGAGATTGGAGAGGCAGAGGGGGAATCGGGGGAGAAGGAGGGAGCAGTGTCTTTTGTTTGGGCTTTTCAAAAACCCTTCCAACAGAATTCTCGCCATCCATGCGGTTAGTCATCTCAGCTTAACCTTTCAGCAGCCCGGCGCTCTCCGCGGTCGATGCACCAAACAAGCGGAACACTTTTCATCTTTTCCTCCATCGGCCGTGATGTTGTTTCAGTGAAGTAGGTGCTTTTTTTTTTTTTTTTTCCCAATGTTCTTAGCATCAGCTAATGAGGGTAGTTATAGTAGCGTCATATCACAGAGGGGGAAGCAAGCTGTTTTCTTTGATGCAGTCGTTTGCAAGATGTAAATGGAGCGCATGCCACGGATTGGGAGTTTTAACTGCATGTGATGGAATGTCTTGCTTGCAAGTCTGTGGCGAGTTGAGTTGTGCACCTGCTTGAATGTCATTGCTTCAATAAGCCCTTTACAAAAAAAAAAAAAAAAAAAAAAAAAAAAAAACAAAAAAAAAATACATTCACGCAGTAATGACATTTCATTTCCTCAATACGTTTGGGTTCATTTTCAAAACAGAATTTGGATAACTGTGTTTTTTTTTTGCTTCAGTGTATCGGTGAAGTGGATGCTTTGCACTATAATTTTGGTTTTGCAGTGTTGTGTCAACACATTCGTGTGTCATCATGCTCAAGCTGTTAAGAGGGATGAGGGTACACGCCGCGCTTCCTGGTCAAGCGTGTTTGCAGTTGAGCAACTTGAGCGGCATGTGGAAGCCCCATCCGTGTGTGTGTGTGTGTGTGTGCGTGCTTGCGTGTGTGGTGCAGCATGTTAACATCGAGTTTGCTGTGCACTCACAACATTTTACGCTACCAACTGCACCTAGCGGAAATGGCGTTTGCACGACCACGTCATCATGTCGTCCTGCAGCGTTGCTCAAGGGTAACTTGATACCTTAGCATTGTTATTAGACCTCCCTTCTTCCGTTTGTATCCCAATATCAATCAATGCCTCTTTGAAATGTGTATATGCAGACGCGTGTGTGGTTTCTACAAAGTCCTCCAAATAGGAAGATGGACAGTTACAGAGGTAGCGGGTCGTGAATGCGTTGCATTATTGACTCCAGCAATGATTTATGATAATCAGAGTGTATCAATATGGAAGAGCGACGAGCGCTGCCTCGGTCGGCTGCATAAGCTCCAATAGATTCATGAGATTCATCGTCACCCCGCTCAACAATATTCTCTGATGAAAGAGCAAAACTAGAAGATGTGCTGGTTGTGCGTGACGCTGTTATTTTAGCCACGTGACATATGCATACATATCACTATATTAGGACAAATGCAGTGCCGTGAAAAAGTTGTTGCCCCATCCTGATTTCTGTGTTCTTTGCATATTGATCACACGCAGATTTCCGTTCATCAACCCAATTTTTGAATTGAAATGCTTCAATTCTGCCATTCTGGGAGGGTTTTCTAGCACGAACTGACCGTTTAAGGTCACAACACAGCATCTTAATTGGATTCAAATCCGGACTTTGACTTGGCCACTCCAAAAACTTCATTTTGTTTTTTTTCTTGAGCCATTCAGAGGTGGACTTGCTGGTGTGTTTTGGACGTTTTCCTGCTACGTGATCTATGAGCACTTGAGTTTGAGGGCGCGAACTGGTAGTTGGACATTCTCCTTCAGGATTTTCTGAACGGCAGCAGAATTCATCGCCCCATCAATCACAACACGTTGTCTCGGTCCTGAGGTAGCAAAACAGCCACAGGCCATCACTCTGCCACCGCCGTGCGTCACTGTTGGCATGTTGTATTTGATCAAATGCTGTGCCATTTCTACACTCGCTGTAACGAGTGCCGCACGTCTTCCAAAAAGTGCAGTTTTTGACTCGTCCGTCCACAGAAGGTTTTCCAAAAGTGTTTATTCTCAAGATGTCTTTTGGCAAATGTGACACGAGCCCTTGTGTTTTTTGTACAGCAGTGGGTTTTCTGTAAAGTGTCAGTCAATATGAAAAGGCTACATCTTGTCTCCATTTTCAAACGTTTTATGGTAAAGATTGATGATGTAAAAATCGTGACCTGACTTGTTGTGGAATCCCACCGCTCGACCGTCATCAACCAATTTATCTCATCATCATGACACTGCAGGCATTGCACACACTTTCGGGGAATTTGACAACCAGTCAATTCTAAATGTGTGATCGGACGATGGAGCCGAAATAGAATTTAGCGCGAGTGTAAATAGAACAATTTTGACCCCTTCCCCGTCACTCTCTTTCAAATGCAGGAGTTGCAGTTTGAACGTCTCACCAGGGAGCTGGAAGCCGAGCGGCAGATTGTTGCCAGTCAGTTGGAGAGATGCAAGCTTGGCTCTGAGGCCGGAAGCATGACGAGCATCAGGTGTGTGCACCGTCTGCGTGCGTGCGTGCGTGCGCGGGGTTATCATCTATGTATGTGCATGTGTGTGCGCCTGTCCGTGTGTCAAATCCATCAAACCCTCTTCTCTGAACATACGTGGGGATCAGCTGTGCGCTTGCAGGTGACTGCATTTCCAGCGGGTTCTATGAAAGCGTCCCTGCTGTTTGATTTGTGTCCAGAATCAATCTCGGAAGAAAGAGCGCACTTGGTGTCATGCTAGCCACTGTGCACTTCCACAATGCAAACATCAAAAGCGCTGATCGGAATGTCGGGCTGGAATAATATCCAGTCATGTGATATCGGTGTGTTTCCCCGTCTCTCTCTCTCAAAAAAAAAAAATCAATCAATACGCTCAAACGGGCAATGCGGTGTTTGTTTTGAAGCCTGACCACAATGTCGATGGAGCAGAATCGAATCGGAGGGAACTGTACTTTACTGTGGTTCATAGTGCACCGTAAAAATAACCCCACAATTTCTCAAGCTTTGTTTATTTGGAGGGTTGGAGGGGCTTATATTTGCCAAAACGTCAAACTCCAAACTTTAGACCTGCTCAACCACTCGACTTTAGATGCTCGATTGTTTTGCTCACGTAAATAGCGGGATCCAAACCCCCAGATGACGTGGCAATTCTTTAGTCACTGGAAACTTCACCTTAAATAATGTCGACGTTTCGCCGCATTTTTCAGCGCCTCTCCTGTCAATCCAGCCATAAAGAAAAACATGATCAATGTGACTTGTAATTAAAGAGGCAATCATTATGTGACCTTCCAGGCAAGCATCGAATCAGTGAGCTTTCCCACAAAGAGTCGCAGAGTGACTCTGTAGCTCAAAGTTAACCACAAGCGAACCGAATAAATGAAGGCTGTTTTTTGTTTTCACGGACTCCACGTGCCATCTCAAAGGGTGGAATCGAGACCTGAACCTCAAATAAAGTTCGCACGGGTTGCCTTCCTGAGAGCTGCCTGTTGACGTACGTGCGGCAAGCACCCACATGTGATTTAATATCGAAATGTTAAAACTCGACCGAAGGCCCGGAAACAAAAGAGCCGTGTCTGTTGGGCCCGAGTCAAACAGGAAAAAAAAAAAGTGACCGCGAATGAGTGTCAAGCGAGTGTGGGAGGCTCCGCAGTTCCGCCGTGTGGCGCACAATAAAGACTTTCAGAGGTGCTAATGAGTCCTTCAGCTCTGCCTTTGTTTCCAGCCGTAATCGGTGGCCGCGGGTCACACATTGTCTCCCGCAGCATCTGCTGCTGTTTTGCCACTTCAAAAACGCCTCAGTGTGCGCAGGCCAATCAGCAGCTTTGTCACTTGGTCACCAAACAACGCATTCAAACGCATGCCGCCACCCTCTCTTCATGGAACATTCCAGCGTGGGTGCTAAAGTGGTGATTTGGACTCTGCTTTAAATGCATGTCACACATCGTTGTTGGTTGAGATTCACAGCCGCCATTTTTGTCTTGGTCATTCTACGAAGAGCGGCATTGTGCGGTAGCGGTTTGCACACGGGTTCGATTGTTTGGTGGAGTTTTCACGTACTCCAGCTTCCTCCCGCATTTCACGCTAGGTTCATGTTTGTCTCTATTGGCCCTTTGCTCGTGCTTCTTTCTCCACCAGTCAAATTGGCACTCGCTCCGGTGCTTGAAAAATAGTCAGAACGCAAACAACGCTCTCATCTTTGGTGTTTTTTTGTTTTTTTTTTTGTATTTGATGTGAAGATGAGGTTTGTTATCACGGCGCGTGTGCTCGTGCATGTGCCCGGGTTAGCACCAGTTTCTTCTTTCTCCACCAGTGAAATTGGCACTCGCTCCGGTGCTTGAAAAATTGTCAGAACGCGAACAACGCTCTCATCTTTGGTGTTTTTTTTGGGTTTTTTTGTATTTGATGTGAAGATGAGGTTTGTTATTCACTCGGAGCTTTCCAGCCCGTCGTGTCCGCGCGTCAATGAAAGGGCATCGTCATCTGGAGTCACGTTGCGTCCTTCTCTCGAAATGTCCTTGCTTCGAATGGATGAAACCATGCCGCGTCTCGGCAACACTCTCGCCATTTTTCTAAAAGGTCACAACCTCTCTCGGTCGACAGGAGTGGAATGCTGAGTAAAGTTTTTTTTGTTTTTTTTTTGCGGCGGGGAGACGATTTAGTGTTTTGAAAATGCCTATTTTCTGTGGTGAAAATATTTTCAGCTAAGCTATTTATGCTTCCTCTGCTGAGGTCGGGTGGGAGGCTGTCGTCATTTCGTGAGGGAAGAACTTCATGATTGGGCTATGGTCATTATGAGCATGTTCAAAAAAATTGCATTTTGCATCTTCAATGAAGCGACCACGCAAGCAGAGGAAAAACATGCAAACTCCTTACCAAGTTAGGAAACGGCTCCTCACACAAATAGTCCAATCGTGCTGTTGCACTCCGCTCATATTGAACCGGTCAGGGAGGAGGCCAAGAGCCACGTTGAAGGAGCTCAAAATCAACAGAAACGCTGTCAACATTTCAAGGAATATGAACTAGGAAGACACGACACAAACGGCGTTCTTAAATGCATTTCGAAATAACCGACCGGGGAGCAGCGGCAGACAGCTTGCAGATGAAAAATAAGAAGCACGACGCTGTTGTTGACCGGGCACTGCCAAGACACAAACAAACCCTCTTCACTTGAGGTCACTTTCATTACACGCGATGCCGCAGACGGCGCGTTAAAGTATCAGAAATAAAGTCTGCTGCCTCAGAGGGTTCGACAGTAACACTGCAACGTGGATCTAACTCGATTGAGCAACAACATTAAATTCAGCTCAAGCAGAGGTCCGCCCATTGCTTGTTTTTTTTCATGCCGACTGATCCGTTCTTGACCATCACTGTCGAAAGCTATTTGGCAATACTGCTCCGTGCCTGCGGTTCTTGACATGATTGTTTGGTTTGCCTTTTTTTTTTCTCCAGGATCACGCTAATATTGACCTGTTTGCAACCCTCTGTGGGAATTCATTTTCTCTCACTCATCGCGTTCAACTAAGATAAAACGTGGAGAATATGGAGCATCGAGCTGTAGTTCATGAAGGATGGCGGTACTTAAATGTCCTTGGGTTGTTCGGTCCTGGCTCAAATGGTACGGCCCAACCCTGAATCAAAATGGCTGCCCCCCCCTCCTCCTCCACGGACCACAAAGTAGCAGCAAGTAGCGGTAGCAAGAAACAAGTTCCGTGTGTCGTTGATCAAATCGAACAGAAGACCGACCTTTGTTGTTGTCCTGACAACAGTGAAGGGGAGATGTTTGATCCCGTTTGAAAAATCGTTTGTCAGATCAATTTTCGAGGTGAACTCTTAGAACTCGACGTCGGGGATTCTATCCAATAGGATGCCGGCGACTTTATTGTTAGCGTTTCATTGTAAAGGGGGCCAGCAGAGACAAATACAAACAGAAGTCATTGTAAGTGTGCGTTTTCTTTCCTTATGCCAGCGGCTCTAACCCGTGTTTGCTTTTTTTTCTTGCAGTTCAGCAGAGGAGAAATTTCGCTGGAACAACCAAGGTAGGAACTCCTGTTCAAAATCTCATCTTAAATTTCATCTAGTGTACCATTGTTTGGATTCTTCCACAGCGCTGTGCTGACTGCGCCTCTTGCATCACGCTTTTTCCCCCCATTATTCAGATTCAATTCTGTACACGAAACGTGATGGCTGCTGTCGGAAAAGTGTTGTGGGCTCTTGCGTGTGCAAGCGCAGGAAAAAAAAAACAAAAAACAAAATGATTCTCCCGAATAGTCGTGCGTTTCTGACCGAAGCTTGCATAAAAACCGTGGCAGCAAATACTTTATCCTCATTTCCCTGTCACTCGAAGCTGGCAGTTTGTCTTTCCAACATAGATTATGCTTGGCACATGGTGTCGCTCCCTCAGGATGCAGCACGAAGCACGACGCGAGGTGTAGCAAAACACAGGGTTTATTCCTTGGCAACCCGTGAGAACTGGCCACAAACGCCGACATAAACAAATCAATCCAAATGGCAGTTACAAAACGCATGGGCTCACATCCACAAGGGGCTAAACATCAGTAAGAGGCAAAATGACACGGGGATTCGAAGCTCGTGTCGAGTTCAAGTGGGCGTGGAAAATGAAGTCTCCGTTTCGAGGCGCGTGTCAGTGACCTTAGGGTCACGTGACGTCTGGTTTGCGGCTGCGCGTGTCGAGCGAGGGAAAGTCATGTGACCAGGTACAAGGAGGGAGAGAGAGAGGGAGGGCAATGAACCATTGGCTGCCACATGCGGGACAATGTCTGCGAGGGAAAGTCATGTGACCAGGTACAAGGAGAGAGAGGGAGGGGAATGAACCATTGGCTGCCACATGCGGGACAATGTCTCACTGGTTCGTGAGGCTTCACTGTGCCCCTCCCGACTAAATACCCTTCGAAATTCTCGCTTCTGGCCTCCTTCCGTTGTTGAGTCAGTAGTCAACTCTTCTTTGGCGTTCTCTTCGTTTCATAATGGCTGCGCAGAGCTCACAAAGTAGTTGTCTGTCTGAGTGCGTGTTGGCGAATGCATCGACGCACGTGGTCATTTGTCATCGGGCGGAACCCTCTTACGCGACAACCGGTTCCTGCTCATAATCGCCACTAGGTGGCGAAGGCACACAAACGCCTCAAAGGGGAATCGAATGAGACACTGTGAACATATCGTTCGGTTTCTTGTTCAGTCCACTTGAGCGTTGACATGTCGTTGATACCTGTGCAAAGATGATGACCTCAGAAAAGTCGGCATTTCCCTGAGAAATAGTTTGGATCTTCAATCTTTTCAAGGGACTGCTTAGTCCTGTGCTGTACAAATGTGAAATGCTCGATTGAATTACTTGATTCTCCCTCCAATTGGGCCTTTTCGTCTTGTCTTGTTTAAAAATGATAATGATGATGATGATGATACTCAAGTATTATTGGCATAGTTGTAAAGACAACAATGGAATTGGTTTCACCCACTGTCATCGCTGTGCAAGAGCATTCACCAAAGTCAATAAAAGCGTCCCCTGTAATGCACTTACGACAACCTTTTGTTTTGCCATTTATCTCCCCCCTTTCTCAATAAGAGTCTAACGTTGCTCGTAGGACTTGTTGAGATGGATTTGTCCTCTTGGCTGCCAAGGCGCTGCTAACCTGTACACAGCAACGCCACGAGATTTGTTGCCGTGTCGTTCATTCTATTTCCCCCATGACACTCTTGGGGCCTGATATACTGGATCCAAAAATAGCGAGCGTGTGTTCACTAACTAACACATTGTGTGCTTCTGGCAACAGGTGTAAAAGTTAGCGGGGACAGCGATGTTTATAGGCGAGTTGCGCACACGATGTAGCGCTGATGATGAGGGCTCTCACTATTGAAGATTTTACAAATGGATGATTCTCTCTCCGATTCCATTGATAAATTGAACATTCCTCGGCGTCGCGGGCTTGCAGGAGTCGATCGCGGCCGTGTTCGGGCGTGAAGCGGGGTATACCCAGAACTGTCATGTCACGGTCATGTTTTCATTGTTTTTCTTCTTCTCTGGCCATGCAGATGGACAGAAGGACATCGAGGAGGAGCTGACAACAGGCCTGGAGTTGGTGGACTCGTGTATCCGCTCGCTCCAGGAATCGGGCATCTTGGATTCGCAGGATGCTTCGACGGGAGATCGTAAGACCGCAGTTGAGATCATTCATTGATGACTTCGGTCCAGTTTGCCTCAGTTACTTTCCTCTGATCGCAGAAATTCAATTCTGATCTGAGAAATGCACCGAAGCCACTGAGAAAAACTAGAAAGACACGATTCGGATTCGTACTAATATTGACGTGAACGGGCGGGTGAGATGCGCTTCACAAGGTTTGTCCTGCTTCATGCCTAAATGGGCCAAAGTGGAGTGGCGTATTCCACCTGTTCCTGGCTACGCTTTGACGTAGCGTGCGATAGTCCAGAGGTTGTATGAGGCTCCAAATGCTCCACGTCTCCAAAATGAGTGGCTGCTTTCCTTCAATTTAGCTGACAAAATGCAAAACAAAAAATGGAAGACTTTAGGCGCTTGGGCCATATAGGAAGAAGTGAAAAAGTGGATTTGATAAGAGTGGAAGAAAAAAAAAAATCCAAAGATTTCCAAAATCCATGTTTAATAGAGTCGTAACATCTGGATCTGTTGTCTCAAGAGTATTTTTGAAATATGGAGAGTGAAAGCAGTGCCTTCAGAGGTTTTTGCATTGTTGCAATCTCACAGTGCAATGTGGTTGTTGCTGTGAGATCCAGAGCAACTCCCTATGAACATCTTTACGGTCTGCATGACAGGATGTAGCATTGGGCTCAAGAAATGGATTGTCTTTTTTCATGATTTGACAAATAATTCCAATGTTATTTATTTTAGTGATTATTTTTCCTTTTTTTTTGTTGAGAATGTTGTACTGCATCCCCCCTCAGCACACTGGCAAACAAATACTTTCATACACACACACACACACACACACACACACACACACACACACACACACACACACACACACACACCACCCCGCCCTCAGCGCAACATCCTCCAGTTCAGCGCATGTTGAAGACGCTCAAAGCAGAAATCCTCTCCAACACTGCGGCTGCTGAGCAGATTAGTGCAGCAACGCAGCGGAGTAAACTCGGTGTTCATGCTCGCTGCTAGCTGTGCAGCGTGCATGTTAATCTCTGTGAGTTTGTCCTCATGCAGTGACTTGAGCCCGCGCGCGCAGCCATGTGCACGCATCTGTTTGTTTTTGTATGTGTGCTCTTGAAGGCGCACCCCTCTAAAGGGTCTCTGAAAATAGACAACTTATGAAATATTAAAACGTGTCAATAGAGGAGGGAAGGAAAGACACTCAGCTTTCGTGTGGGTGTGTTTGTTCGTGCGTACTGTGAGCCCCGTTAAAAAAGTCAATAAATAATGGTTGAAGGAATCGGCGTTGTCCGCAACCACGCATGCAGATGGATGTACCGCATGTTAGCTGTCCTCGTCGTTGGACGGAGAAGGGCAAGTGTGCACGCCCATCCAATCGGATAAGATATTCAAATGCACCCATAAAAGAGAATTTTATCCCACTCCATTACCCTCACTTAAATATCCTTTCTCCAAATCTCTCCCGGTCCTTCCATTTTCTCTCACTCAGTCAAATGACACGGCTTCAGCAGAGCCTTCAGTGTTTGCCATCACGGTGATAATACATTTATGAGGCCCCCCCGCCCAAAGGATCCACTCCCGTATGAAATTCACCCAAAGTGGCATACAAAAGAACATTCCCTGGCTCTGCAGACGCCGACCCAGGTTGAGTGCACGAGTGCGAATTCAGCTGAGGCACCAAGTCTTCCACTGCACGAATTGCATTAGAGGCTGTTGGCCCGACATGAGTCTCGATATTGGACAGGAAGGCCTTGACCTAGTAAACTCCATCCAGCTCTCCTTTGCCTCATACTGCTGCTAAATAATACACGTCCACTCGCTTCGACAGGAGCCTTTCAATGTATTTCATAAGGACTCTTTGGCTTTTCCCGAGCTGCATGTTGCCAAAATGCATTTCCAGGGTCACTCAATTCAAGTTAGCCTCCGGTGACGTCCTGTACAATTATTCCCTTTTTTTTTTTTCCATGCCTATTGTACACAAGCAGACCCTCAAAGATTCTGGGGGATCGCGGTTAACCTTACACTCGTGGGCAATAGTACCGTGCTTAGTTGGTGCTTAACAAGTTCTGATGAAGAACGTGTTTGGTTTCCCGCCGGCAAAGAGCCAAGTAGGAGCTATGTCATCACATCATCGTAAATGTCCAAACGTCACTGCTCACGTCGACGTTTACCCAAGAGCGGCTGCGCTATGAACAACAATAATAATGCGCTGTTAGCCTCTGCTAGGCAACGTTGTATGTAGTATATAAGAGTCAGGGACATGCAATCAGCAAACGCTTCATTTTTCTTCATCATTGGAGATGATGACGAGGCTGGCTGCGAGTAAGGGGATGGCATGTTTGCTGGGCACTTCTGGTGCGACCCCATCGTGCAGCAGTTCACCAGTTTGTGCAAAACTTGCGTCTATCCGGGGAGTCATTCCTCGACATCTGCCATCGTCACGATGACCCCGCCCCCTGATGTCGTTGCTGCCAGAGTTTGGAACCAACAAATGGCTTAAGCGACGGTTTCAAGCACCAGAGCTCGAGCTAATTTTACTGGTGGGACGAGCACCAGCGCAAGCGCAGTGGCAGAGGGCCGTATGGGAGTGAGACACAGATCTCAGTTTGGTATCCAGTAGCTGCTGCGCCGAGTCCCTCTTTCTAATCCTGCAGCGTATTGCTGTATGTTCCCCCCCAAAAAAGCAATGTCTGTAATTAAAAAGTCCTTGATGGGACACATCATTACTATCATCCCCAAAAGTGAATTAATCAAGGACACATGAAAAATTTAACAGCTAGTAAGAGTAATGGGAAAGCTTTGGCTCTTGCACTAGCTGCTGCTTTCCTCCTCTGACGATTCATTGAAGTTGATTTTCAACTTTATGATCCACCTGGGGAAATGCAGGCTTTGCAGCCAGCAGAAGCATTGGGGAAATGTTTACTCGAGTGTAGAATGCTTTTGTGCATCCTGTACGGTTCTTCATGACACATTCTCAATGGTCATAATTATAATTTCGACATCAAACGTCCCTTTCGGTTCTTTGGAAAGGTTGCAAATGATATTTTACGTACAATGATGAATACATACTTGGCACACGCACATTAGACTAGTCTGGAAGAACTCCCCAAAACGGAACCTTAGTTACTGCCAACCGACTTATAAAAGTCTCGGAAAGATTTCTGTCGGGATGCAGGCTCGCCACCGTTTTTGTTTTAGCTTGTAGCCTTTGTTTCATTCTCATTCTTGGTTTGTATGGTACGCGTTCTGGGTTTTCTTGTCTTTTCATCACAAGCAGCTTCGTTGACATTTGTCCTTTGGTTTGTCTCGTTTTTCCTGGTGAATGGAACCAGCGTCATTTGTTGTACTTTGTCGGTCTTATCTTAAAAAAAAAAAAAAAAGATCTCATCCTTGTCTACATTTGTGGCATCACACCCCTATCCGGATTATTCCGGAACATAACAGCCAGCGTAGATTGTATAATTAAAGGCTAGTTATCAGACAATCGAGGTGGAAATGATTTCTGATGGCACCCCGCTTGGGAATTATCGGATAATCTTGTAGTCCGAGAAAATAGCGGATAGCAGCCTACGTTTAATAACGGTGTCGCGGGATAGCGTGCAACTCTCCAGAGAATAGAACAAAAAAGAAGATTAATGACGATTGGGAAGGAGATGAGACCTTTTTTTTTTACATCCTTATGAATGTCATGCAAAGTGAACGAGAACACTTCTTCTCATTCGGTAATAGACTTTTTTAAAGTATGTACCTACTGCTGGTATTCGAATGATTTGGGGCAGAAAGCACAACGGCAGGTGAAGCGTCGTCAAGTAAGACGGCTGCAGAGAGGCTGAAAGGAGCTCGAAAAGGAAACTTTAAAAAGCAGGTCAGGAGCCTTTTCGGGTCACGGAGCATGAGAGGATAGAATAACACAGCAGATGAAAAGCAAATGGCTGTCTTGAGGTAAAAGAGGGCGCCGAGCTGTTTTGTTTCAGACCAGCTTTCAAACTTTTTTCCAACGGCGATTTCAAGCCGATCCTGTTACATATGCTGTTGTCACTTTTTTCCTATAAAAATAAATAAAGACATTTGGGAACACGTGGGACATAAACTGGGTTATAGAACGCCTCGAAGGCCAGGAGCAGAATAAATCTTTACACAGTCAGTTTTAGAATAATAATAATTAGAAAAAGAAGGGAAAAAAAAAACCTTCTGAGAAGACTTATATAAAAGCAACATGGCAGGAGATAAGCCCAGACTTAATGTGGATTTTGACAATGATCAAAAGTTTCTTTCAACTCATGACTCTCAAGCTAAAAAAAACAAAAAATAATAAAATAAAATCACCTAACATCTGTCTAACTCAACTGTCTCCCCCCCCCCCGCATAGAAAAAAGAAAAACAATGTGCTTTAATGTCTCGTTATGACATGTTTCTTGAAATGATTCCGTTTTGATGTTCTTCCCTTTTCTGTTTTTGCCTTTCGCCCTTCAGGACAAGGACTTCTCTCTCATAGCGCTCTGCAGCTCAACAACCAGGATGCCTATGCAGCTGCCGGTTACCATAGTAACCAAGCATTGGCTCTCGGCGAAGTAGTCACGGGTCGCGGCGGACATGTTGGCGGGGCCGTTCACAGCTACAACCAGGTACGCAAACTCGCTGCGATCCTTTCCATCCCTCCGCCCGCTTAAATCTGCGCACGTTGTCCACTCCAGGTGACATCCGGCCGAGCGGCCGCCCAATTAATGGCGACGGACTCGCCCTCCCAGTCCCACAGAGATTCATTTGCCCAACAGGCCATGGGAAGCGCCTTCCATATGCCCAGCGAGGGCGGACCCACCCCTGCTGGACCATCCGTGTATTACTCCTGCGCCACCTTGCCGGCACAGGTACAGAAATCTCCCCGTTCATGCTTGACTTCCTCCGTGTGCTTTCTACAGCCCCCGCAGCATGACACAACCCGTCAAACCGACGGCAAGCCATGCACTCCGCTCCTCAGGTTCATAAAAAGGACAGATTCTGTGTCTCTGTAGAATGGCACTTGTGCTGTCCTCCGTGCATTTCAGCGGTCCGGCATGTAGACCAGGGGTCACTAATGCGCCGGCGTGCACCGGGTAGCCCCCAAGGACCACATGAGCACACGGGCACTGGTCCGAAAATAGCTCACCGGTGACAGGTCATTGTAATTGGACCCGATCTTGTAGAAGTGGTCAGTTGAAAAGATAAACACTTGTAGAGATACAAAGAAAGTATATTACCCATCTCGTTTCCTATTTGTTGGTCATACTGTGAGGAACTGTTCACGTGATCATAGTCTTTACACGGGCGAATATCATACATTATTCATCAGAATAATATGCAGTGTGGTGAAAGATCATTTGAGCAAATACGGGATTTCATTCATGGGTATAAAAGTGTTTGCCCTTTGCATTTCATTACTCGGCGGCCCATGATGCAAACTCACAAATACATGACGAGCATCCTTTTCAAACCGCCCCCATTGTTGTCATGAAATATTTTAAAGTCACACATGCATGCATGAAGGAGCATCCGACGGGGGCTCGTTCCTTCTGCGGAATCACGTCAGTTCATTTGTTTGGGGAGCTTATCATCAAGCTGCAGTAGCACATCAGAATGTCGGTCCCCGGCACGGTTCATCTCTGTACGGACGACGCGGACTCGATGAATAGTTCCGCTTCGTGACATTGCTTTGACTGACGCACAACCTTTCGATTGCAGCGCGTGAGCTCCCCTCTGCAGGCGGTGGGCTCTCCGACCAAGCTGCAGCGTCTCGGGACGGCGTCCTCCGACATGCCTAGCTATGCCACACTACAGCGGGTGGCGTCGCCCAAACAGTCCCCAAGTCGTCTTGCCAAGTCCTACAGGTTGGCTCACCTCCATTCTCCCGAGCTGATTTGAATAAACTCTGTTGTTTCGTGTACACACCGCAGCATTCTGCCTGCCCCGTTGCACAAAACATGACACAACACCACCACAATCGATGTGGTTGCGCATTCTAATGAGCCAATATTAACAATGTTGATCATTGGACAATTGCGGCAGGCGGTGGTGGAGAAGCGTATGGCAGAAAAACTGCAACTAAATGAGGTCACCAAACACCTGTGATGTGTGAGGCAGTGCTCACCCACTGCAAAACGCAAGCTTTAGTCAAGCTAAAGGCAGTGTTTTAACATGACTGCAGCGAAATGCTGAATTTTTAATTCGGCTCCCGTATGAGAGCTCATTCAATCAAAACCTTGTCACATTCGCTTAGCATCTCAAAATGTAGTGCCCGGCTCGAAATGTTCAAGGAACTTTCCTTGCAGCACCTCATCACCCATCAACATGGTGCCACCTGGTGCCGGCGGGCCCTCCTCCCCGCTTTCCATGGCGGCCCCATCAGGAGGAAACCACACGTCATCGCCCATCCACCAACTGAGCTCGGTCGTGGGCAGCTACGCCACCTTGTCGCCCACCAAGCGCATGCTACATCACATCGGAGGAGAAACCTACAAGATTTCCCATGAGCTGTTCGCCAACGCGACCCTGAAAAGGCCCGGGAGCCTGGCAGGTATGGCCCCTTTGCTACCGCGCTTATGCTAATGCTCGTTCCTGGGCCGGTGCCCAGCTGAGCACCAGTTCTTTCTTTCTCCACCAGCAAAATTGGCCCGAGCTCTGGTGCTTTAGCATCGGTATGCTAAAGCTGGCCCGCCGTTATTTGTTGGCCCCAGAACTTGGCCGGCAGCAACTACGTCAGGGGGCGGGGCGGGGTTATCACGACGATGGCCGATGTGGAGGAATGACTGTTGCTACCTCTGTCCCAGTTTTATGTGCACACTCTTTGAACGTGTTACCTTTAACAAAAAGAACATTCGTCATTTGCCGACTATTGAGCAGACCCGAATATGAGATATGCCCACAAAAAAAAACATCTACATGGAGTACCGGTATATAGATTGGACACAATAAACAAAGATGAAAAGGGGAATTCAAAGAGGTGCACTAAAATACGAGCTGCATCTCCATATCCTCCCTTTGATTGTAACCTTCATGGTGTGGCTGTGTGCCACAGGCTCCCGAGGTTCTTACAGCAGCCAGCACAGTCACCTGGGCTCGGAGTTGCGACCGCTGCAGTCTCCAGAGCATCACATCGATCCCATCTACGAAGACAGAGTCTACACCAAACCCAACCTCAGAGGACAAGGTGAGCTAAAATGTGGGATTGCTGGATGTGGAGTCCACACAGAAACCAAACGGGTGGATTGAGTCCACAACATGCAGCCACTAAATACAGCATAAAGAATTGTGAACCCGAAAAAAGAGAGAGAGAGAGAGAGAGAGAGAGAGAGAGAGAGAGAGAGAGAGAGAGAGAGAGAGTTCTATTGTTATTGCACAGCCTACACGGATCGGGCTAGTGTTCAACATGAAGCGACGTTCGTCACGTGACATGCAGAAAACTTGCCAGGGGGGATGCAGAAAAGGAAACTGTCTCGGACCGCCGGTGCGAGGCATCAAACTCTCTGGTAACGCACATGAAAAAGATTGAAATAGCTCCGCTCTATATCCAGCCACACCATTCGGTGAAGCATCCAAATTTAGAAACTACTGTTAAGACATCACATGATCGTGTCACCAAAGTGGGGAATTGAAGTCGATCAGAGACGGAGGCGCCACGCGCCCACTCAGGACGTTCGCAAAGGTGTAGGAGTTTGTTTCTTCGGGATGTTTTACTGAAGAAATCTTTGTGTTTCATCTGATTGTGGTGGCCAAATCTAATTGGGGTCTTGGTGGCAAATTTTCCCCGTCTGGTGGAGAATTCGTTTTAAGGCTGACAATGAATCCAAATTAATCCTCCGGGCATTGGCTTGGGTGTTTTGCGATAAAGATAAATCACCCTTCTCCTAAAATGTTTGCCATGTTGGCGAGCTCGGTTGGCGAGCGCTGGTCTACAAACTACGGCAATGGGGCCATTTGTGGCCCATCATCCATTTTTCGATGGGCCACAATATGACCAAAAAAAACAACAAAAAAGAACTAATTCTAAAAATGATATTTGACATGGGCCGCAAGATGAGTTAAAAAAAATGGGGAACAAACAATAACGCAACATTGGTTTAATGCATCTGTCTCATTTGTCTCGACTGTCTGCTTTATGTTTTCTAATATTCTTTTGTGATTGTTTTGTGGTTTGTGTTTTCTTTAATCTAAATGAATTCTTTTGGTGAGTTAGCTTTCGCTCTGAAGTCATCCCATCTGTTCAGATGCTTCCACTGTCATATTTACATATGGTGTTTTTACAACTGCTCTTTTATGATTTCTTTTTTTTTTTGTTTGTTTGTTTGTTTTGCTTCTTCCCTTTCCACTTATTTTCTTCCGTGTTGTTTTCTACCATTTGTATTTTGGCACTTTGGTACACCGTCCTTTTCCTCCACTCTGCTCCTCTTCAATGACATTAGCGGTGAACCAACTGTACCAAGAGGTCCTCAACTATCTGCTCTGTCCCTACACTTTAGCCCCACCTTCCCCCGGTGTCGATCCAATCCCCTTGCAGCGAACCGGAAGTCAGAGTGCCGCTTCCACTTACCAAAGAGGCGGCTTTGCGACGGGAGGCGGGCCTGACTACAGCAACCCGTACCGCACGTTGCAGTTCTGCCCGTCCACCGAGTCGCCTTACAGCAAGTCGGGCCCGGCTCTCCCTCCCGAAGCGGCCCTGGGCCGCTCTCCGTCTGTGGACAGCATCCAGAAGGACCCGAGGTGAGCTCGCTTCCCTTGGAATGAGCTCTGGCTTTTTGATCAGGCACTTCGTTCTATTCCCTTCCCACTCTCACTCACTGAACTCACTGAGGTCCAGATTCACAGAATCCAATGTATCAAGACCCCAGAAAACATTGGGCCACTTTCGCCTCTTGCACTTCGCCCTCCCCAACTGAATTTTAGTTCGTTTTTATTCCCGCATGATCAAAATAGCCAAATTGCGCTCCATGCTCCGTTGAACTTCATCAAGTGATTACGTGACCTGTAGGTGTGACATGACCCTGATGATAAATTGGAGACATATTGTTGAAGCTCCTCAAAAGATAATTGTCAGACGTTGTTGGGAAAGCGTAATTCAAATTGAATCTGGGCTTTAGTTTGATGCACACATCACACCGCATCTTTCACTGTCCTAATTTGCTTGACATGACAGATCACCTGCACACGGCAGAGGTCCAATTTCTTTGGGGTTTTTTTTCTTATCATGAGCATTTTCTTTGATAATGAGGAATGTCCAGATCTCACACAACTGTGTACACGAGGGAGATGGTTGATGACGAAACAGCAGGTCTGGTTTTAGACATTGAGAGTGTGAAAAAAAAAGAAAAAAGAAAAGAATTCATTCGCAAACAAGTCCAAGATACAGCTGTAGTTTGGGAGTTTCCTCTCAATTTCCTAACGATTGAACAAACAAGCCGTCGAATGGTGACAAAAGCCAATTCGAGTTGTTCCTGCGTGCGAAATGTCAGCCTCGACCCACCATCTTTTTTTTTCTTCTTTTTTTTTTTTTTTTGCACCATTATGTTCTTTCTAATGGGGCGTTATCCCTCGAAGGGGTTGCTCATGTTGTCGCCATTGCCCTTTCCTCCTGCCATCATTGTTTCTCTGGGCTCCCACATTGTGTCTTGTTTGCTTCGGCGTGTCACTCGCGACAACCACTTGTATGCACTGATATGACACATCTAGTTGAGAACTGCGCTGCGCGCTTCATTTTCACAACATGTAGGCTGACAGTCGTCATCAGTCAGGTGCCCAAGATGTGGCAAAGGGATGAATGAATAGTCACAGCTGACTGAAGTAGCGCGGGGAGATAATACAATCTGCAAACTGAACAACATTAAACTGACAGTGGGCCCATTAATGGTCTCGGGCGGTGGTCCCCAAACTACGGCCTGCATTTTGTCCCGCCCCCTGAAAAATACCAGAGATGCATTCTCATTTTTTTTTTCAGTCTTACCACGTGATCGAGACTTGTACATGCATAGAACGTGACATTTTATTTCATTTTGTTTCAGATAGGTCTGTGCCCTATCTGAAACCCCTCCCTCAAAAAAACATACAAAATAAAAATCCTGGACACGCCTCAGTCAAATAAAGCAGATTTTTCGAATCAAAATTTTTCAATTGTCTTTTAATCTTGTAAAGTGCCTTTGAGTGTTTTTTAAATTGCTACACGAATAAAACGTATTATCATTAATAATGGCGAAAAGATTAGGTCAGAGAAAAATGGATTCCATTGATTTTTTTTTTTTTCCTGTCAAGATCCCCGAAAAGATGAATATTTGGTGATGTGTGGCTTTTTGGAAAACCAAAAAAATCTTTCAACACCTTTGCGATCATCGCACTTTTTGTGACGAACTGACCCCGGCCCGTCAGAGAAGGGAAAAGCGATTTGGCCCTCACAGGAAAGAATTTTGGGGGAAAATGTATAAAAGTTTGTTCATGGCTCCTCAAATGAAATGCATTTTGGGGTAGCACCATTCAAGCGTTAACGTGGGAAAAAAAAAAGAAAAAGCCAACAACAACAACAAGCGTAACATGTCATCCTCCACCACCTGCTCTGTGTGCATGCGCTCCACCTCCTCCGCCACCGCCTGATAACCAAATGCTGAGAGAAAGTCAAGTCGAGTCGCTTTACTAATCATCACCGCACTGACAATTCCACTTTTCTTGCCAGACAGCCAACATATACCTCTCTCTTGTTTCTCTCTACCTCGATAGGTACGACCCCGAATTCCTTGTGTGGAATCAAAATCAAGCCGAGCAAAGAATGACAAAGTAATCCTACTATTTATTTCTACATATTTATATCTACATTCTGTTCATCTATCTTACCTTTGTCTCATTCACTGAATCTGTCCATTTTCGCTTTATGACACAGACACAGGTGGTCAATGGGACATCTCCATTTGCATCATCACCCATGTACATTTTGCAGAGCAGAATGTCAAACAGGAATCGCCTTTAAATGAGCCCACTTTCCACTTGAAGACCGTAGATGATGATTCGTCCTCAGCACGAAATTGGGGCGCGACATGACACTGGGAGAACGCCTTCTGCCCACTAAAATTACTCGGGATTAAAACGGGATCTTTTCAAATAATTCAAAACAAATACCTCCATCGAATCTTAATCGTGGGATTAGATATGTAACGAACGAGGTTATTTTCACATTTGGAGACAGGGTAACGGTCCATTATTGTAGTACGGGATCCCGCCACACAGTGGCACCTCTCTGATTTACGATGTCAGTTTTCCTTACTTCCGAAGAACACTTTTTTTTCAGTTATTTTGTTGAGAATTATCAGCTGTTTGCGGAAACCCGAAAAGTCTTTTCTCCTTCGGCTGTCAGGCAGCACAAGTCCACGGCTGGCTTCCACCTTGGCTCAAAAGTTTGCGCCGAGGAATTTATTCTCAACAAAATCACAGTTCCTTTGATTCACCACACGATACTTGTGAGCTATACCCGACCGAGTCCGTGACAAAAACAAAAAGTGTTCTCCGGAAGTTCAAGGAAAAGGTACGGGGTCCTGAAGGCGACATGGAAGAAAAAAAACAACTTTGCGTTCCCTCGCAATGATCGCGAGGAAAGTTTTTCTTCCACGGAGAACCTCTGTAAAAAGGTGGCCAACTGATCTCGTAAATTAAAGCGGTGCCACCGTGTGGCGTGATCCCACACTCTAACAATGACTGTGACTGTACAACAGTGACTGAGCAGAAGCTCTGTTGAGATCAATATTTCTCATTCTCTCCTTCGGCTGTCCTGCTAGCCCCACTCCCTTCATGCGCGTGTCTTTCATCTCTTGATTTACCCCCATCTTTTCTCATTGTCTGTGTTTTCTTGTCATTTCTGAGTTTATTGTGTGATTGACGCTGACAACGTTTTCTTCAGCTGCCATTTTAGCATCCGGATTTAGTTTTGCTCTGAAACTCCAAAGCAAAACAAAACAGAACAAAAAAAACGAAGGCAGCCGTTTTCATTTTGTTGTACGCACTCCAATTTGGCCCGTATACGTTATCTGGTGTCTTCTTACAGAATGAATAGCCGTCACTGAGTTATGACAAATAATCGGATGGATAAATGGATGGATGATGGGTTGGTTTGCTGATTGAGCGATTGATTTGTCGATCCATCGATTGCGCTCTGGCAGCTCAAGGAGGCCCTTTGGTGCTGAGGCAGCGACTGACTCCAAACGCTATCCTGTCATTTATGTATGATTTGTTGCTAAAGCAGTGAAACGTTTGTGCTCGACTTGATTTGACGCAGCCAAATGTTTGATTGTTTTTCAGGCTCGTGTGCGTCTCGGTTCTCTTTATGGGTGTGTGTGTGTGTGTGTGTGTGTGTGTGTGTGTGTGTTTGTGCAGACGTGCTATTCAGTGCCAGCCTCAGTGTGTGGCGGTTTATGTCAGTTAATCAAGCGTGCTGTCACATCTTAGCTAGCACAAACTGGTTTTCCTCATCTTCTGTGTTGGACATCCGTATGTGAAAGTGGATGCTACTGTTTCAAATTGGAGGGTTTGGCCTGCTGTTTCTCATGAGTCCTCAAAGAAAAACAAGGCAATCGACATATAAATAGACGTTGCGCGCTCAAGTAATTCCATTTCACTGGATGAAAACTTCAAGTCACTTCTCCAAGTACTCATCATTCAAATGGTCAGTAAAAAAAAAAAACCCTTGAACCTCAATTGACCCAAGTTCGAAGTCGATCACTTCCAAATATTGTTTGTAGATAATCCGCTAAAACGGTGTTGTTTCATGTTTTTTGTTATGCCTTTCTATATTTTATTGTGCATGTTTGCTCCACCTATTCATTCAGGGAATGAGTCATCAACCCTTCCTACCCAAAGATGTCAGTCATGGGAACACACACACACGCACACGCACGCACACACACACACACACACACACACACACACACACACACACACACACACACACACACACACACACACACAAACGCATACACACAAACGCACGCAAGCACACACGCGCAAGCTAATACCGTAGCGCCGCCCCTGCCTGAAAGACAATCCTCTCCCACTAAACGTCTCGGCCTGCTTTGGGTGTCCTGCATTTTGACATCTTGAATTTTAGCGTCAACACACATACGTACCCCCCCCCCCACACACACACACACACACACATTTACAGCCCACCTGGTTGCTTGGAAACAACGAGTGAATTGACAGTCCGTCACTACTTTGTCCCAGTTCATTGAATTGCTAAATGAAACATTAAGCTCTCTTTGGTGATATACACACACGAGCGCGCGCGCACACACACCCACACCCACACACACACACAAACACACACACACACACACACATACACACACGCTGATGTATTATGTAGGCATATTGCCGAGGGAAAAACATTGCTTTCTCAAAAAAGAGTTCTTCAGCTTCTCTTTTCTCGATCTCCTTTCCTTCACCTTGACTGCATTCCGCTTATGAGTCCGACTTTTGTTAGGAGTCGAGAAATCCGCGGGCTTAACGGCAGGGAGATTGAGGCTCCGCGTTCAACAAAAACAAGCTTATTTTTATAGTCCCCACAAAAGCTGATAGAAAAGAAAACAAGTAAGCACCACAGATCACTTGGCAATTGGCTCAATGTCCCTTGAAGTGAAACAATCGGGGATGAGGTCATTCATCTTGCCATCAACATTTCAAGATTTTGGTGCAGTCACGCGAGCAGATTTATTCTGCTTCATTTCTGACAGTAAGGAAGGCCGTGTGTTGAAGCACATCTGCTTCACCCCAAGTGAAGTCTTTCATTCGTGGCTCTAACATTGAGAAATCAAATCTGACCTCAAGGGACTACCTCGGGGGGTTCAAACTGCGGCCCGCCGTCCATTTTCTGGCAGCCCGCGACACTCCCAAAAAGAAAAAAAGAAAAAGAACATTTCACATGGGCCACAGGGTTAGTTAAAAAAAGTGAAGGTGGGCAGAGTGAGAAGGGAGGGTGGACTGTCGAACTTTATTGTGGAAGACACAAATAAACCATTTATGATGAAAAGAATAACACAATGAATCTTCAAAACCCCGCAGTGAATAAAGATAAATGCTTTTTAGGGGCAAAAATAGTTTCTTCTTCTCTCTGACTGATTGATGAAGACATCACATGAATGATCCTCAACCAACTGTTTGAAAAATGGTCACCTCACAAGAATATTTTCTTTTTGGGGGTTGGGGGTGGTTCTGAATGTGGAGATGGCATTCGGCAACTGTTCATCATTCCCTTCGCTGCATTCAAAACTTTGCCTCGTGGCGTCCGCATTGCATTCTGCGCTCAGATTTTCAAACGCCAGCATGTCCACGGGGATTTGTCCGATGCCGCGTTCGAACTACGATGCGAGTCAGTCGCTTTACACTGAAGAGTGACAAATATATTTTGTCTGTCCGCACAACCAAAACGTTTTCGAACTCTCAGAAACATTTACAGATCAGTCAAGCTGCGGCGGAGTATTACCCACTCAGATACTGAAACTCCGACCTGGCGCATTGTCATCGAGACAAAATGATGGCAAAATCTCGTTCTTCCGCTGTGTCCACTGGTCCGTAACTTTCCGATGCCGAATCGCATGGACTGCAACAAAAAGGAACCATCCAGTTCCAGTGGATCCCAAGAAACTGGAGGCGTTTATCTCTTTCGATGATTGATAAATCTCCCGAAAGAAGGAAGCTTGTCAATATCTGAGCAGCCCGAGCTCCCCTCTCATGTCTCACTTTCGCTTTCTTCTCTCTTGTCACATCATTCTCACATTAATTATTTGTCTTTCTTTCATCACACACGCGCCTTCACATATTTATAGGCCTTAGCGGGGTGTGTGTGTGTGTGTGTGTGTGTGTGTGTGTGTGTGTGTGTGTGTGTATGTGTGCGTGTGTATATGCACTGTAATTGTGCCTGTGAGCAAATTCATTAAGCAAACCTTTGGCAGGCTAAAACTAAAGTAAATGTGGCTAATGGAGGTCGTCAAAGTCTCATTTGCACCCGACAGGACTTGCTCATGTGGAATTTGCTCGTCGGTTCGCAGAATCGACAAGCCCCATGTGACCGTGGCGCAGGCATGGTCGAGAAATGTGGCGAGACGGACAACCTGAAGGCATAAAGTTTGTCATGAAAAACTGTGAAGTCTGAGCAAAATGTCAAGAGACAACTTTTTTTTGGGGGGGGGGGGGCAGAAACAGTTTGCTGCTGTGGAACAACTTTGACTTTCAAGTTTGACACCCGCTCTCAAAAAAGAAGAATAATGGACAAACACGGAGTGCCATGTTGTCTGTGTGTCGCCCCGCAGGGAGTTTGGTTGGAGGGATCCAGAGCTGCCAGAAGTGATCCAAATGTTACAACATCAGTTCCCATCAGTTCAGTCGAACGCTGCCGCCTACCTCCAGCATCTCTGCTTCGGAGACAACAAGATCAAGTGTGAGGTATTGACTCGACGTTCCCCAAAACCGTTTTTTTTTATTTTACTTTTTAAAATTGTAGTATTTCTTTAACGAAAGCAGCAAAAAGCTTAATGTCTCGTGGTTAAAAAAAAAAAAAAAAAAAAAAACATCATTACAGTGAACCCTCGTTGATCGCAGGGGTTACATTCCGAAAAGAACCGGCAATAGGCGCAATCCGTGGAGTCGTCGAGTGCTCCTAAAGGTTTTCTTCCTCAGTTAGAAAGACTTGACCAGTGGGCCAAAGTTCAACAGCCTCGACCGTCCACACGTCCGTCGTCGTTGAACACCATTTGTTCCAATGACACAACGCACAACATACCTACATGCATCTCAGCAACATAAAACACACATCAACACACGCTCATCCCTCAGGATCCCTTGGAAAACATCTGTCGCCATCATGCGCCTCCATGCAACTTGATGTCACGGTCTGAACCCCGCCCATGAATCGAAGGGATTGATTTGGGGCGAGCGTGCTTCTCCAAACAGCATCCGCCAGCGCGCATTAAAAACCCAGCGAGAAAGCCGCGGCCGAGATTCTGTTGTGTGAGTGTCTCTCCCCATCCCCCAAATAGCCACGGGGAGGGGTTGCTGCAGGGCGCTTCTGCCGCTCATTCCGGCGGGGGCGATCTCAGTGCTCGTGGAACAGCATGAGTCGGGGGAAATCATACTTTTTGGAATGTGATGGTCTTTTCACGTCATTTAAAATGAAATGCCCATTTTATATTTTGGAATCCGAGAAACACTGCTCCTCACCTACGAACCATTTGCTTTGTTTTCACCAAGCAAATGTATTGTCACGGATGCCCGACCGAGAGGGCGACGGGCGCAGGAGGCTTTTTTTTTTCAGTTCACACAGTGGTTAGTGGTGTCGGAATATTTTGTATAGTCACGTGACAGATGCAATGCCAAGATTCAATCTTCTTTGGCCTTTCTTGACCTCAGATCCGGCGACAGGGTGGCATCCAGCTTCTGGTGGACTTGCTGGACCATCGTATGACCGACGTGCACCGCAGCGCCTGCGGAGCTCTTCGGAATCTGGTCTACGGGAAGGCTAATGACGACAACAAGATTGCACTCAAAAACTGTGGAGGAATCCCGGCTTTGGTCCGACTGCTACGGAAAACCACAGATGTTGAGATCCGAGAACTCCTCACAGGTGACATGCACACACACACACACACACACAAACAGACACATAGACGTGTGCAGGAATGTGTGTGTGTGTGTGTGTGTGTGTGTGTGTGTGTGTGTGTGTGTGTGTGTGTGTGTGTGTGTGTGTGTGTGTATTTATGTATGTATGTATGTATGTATTTAGTAGGGAATTCATTTTCAGTACCCACACGTCCAAACATTTGATTCTGGCATTCAGTTCCATAGCGGTTCACCTTGGACTGGAACTGTGTGTGTCTTACTATCTCTTTCAGACTCTTACATCTCCTTCAGAGTTTTTCTTTTTTCGTTCTCCACTATGCCCTGCACCTTCCCATCTTGTGTATCAACTGTGCCTTTCTTCAGTATCATGTCTTCCTCTTTTGGGCATTTTGAATCAGGATCCCAGCGGGGAGGGAAGCTGCCCGACTCCCACATACTGTACACAGCACGGGGGGGAGATTAAAAAAAAAAAAAAAAGCGCCAAGCAGGGAAAATGACCTCTGTTTTCCAATCTCTGTTGCACATCTCGAGGTCTGTTTCCTGTTCAGAACAAAATGTGAAGTTTTGGGGAGCTATACTGTCAGCTTGAAGCAGCAGCAAATGAGCTGAGCTGATTACAACTGCACATCTGCTGTGTTAATTCAAAACCAACAAGGTGTTCATTTTAACACCTGCCAAGTGTCAATAGGCATCCAGACCAATCCGTGTTAAAGTAACAAAAGTTTGAATTGCTCGACACACAATCGGGTGTGACACTATCAAAATGTTGACAGTACAGTCATCAAAGAGAGGCGTTCTGTCACAACCGTTTTTAACATTTTATTTTTTTATTTTTAAGACTATCTCCGAATTTTTAACACCAGCAGCTCGATGCCACATACGGCAGCGTGCGTACATTACTTGCGGGTGTCCTTGGGAAACCTGACATCACGATGCAGAAAAGAAGACAATTCCTCCCATTCCTGCAGTGGGTAAATTGAACGAAAGACACAGCGTGAGGATCCCCAGGGTGGGGTCGCTCATTTCCTAAAGGATACTTGAGAGCGTAACGGCATTAAAAACACAAAACGAGATGCTGCTGATTTTGACGACGCGTTTAAGAAAAGTAAGCATTAAAAACAGCCATCCGGCCTTTGTGTGGAGTAAAGAAGATGCGGCGCTTCCATTACAGGAGGCAACTCGCACCGATGGGCCGCCATCAATTCATCAAAATTTCATCAAGCCAGTCTCAGTGAGTAATTACTTTGGTATTCTACCACCATCAAAGAAATGTCACGCTGGAATGCAAGAATGTCAGCTGCACCAAACAGATGATGGATGCACCGCAAAAAAAAAAAAAAAAAAAAAAAACAACAAAAAAGCTAAACTTGTTAGCCTTTCAAATATAAACCCCTTATTTCCCTGAAACCCTATAACTAGGCAAAGTTGTATTGTTTATCTCAGCCAGATCCAATGGAGAATAGAATTTGCGGGAAAAGTTAAAGGAAGGCCTTTTCGCACAGGACCCCGACCTCAATCCCATTAAACAGTTTTCGGGATCAAGTAGAACAAAGCTGATCAGGGAGAAGTCTGGTGAAAACCATGCGAGACTTTGCTCTCCAAGGTCATCATTTGGTCAGCAGGAACTTCGGAAACTGATGATGTCGATCTTTTTTTCGCACTTGACTGCTGATCCCCCGTCGCCGAACACGTTGGAGGGCCCGTCGATAGCGGTTTTTCAACACATGACGCCCAAACCTCCCTGAAGTATGGCAATTAAACTGATTTCATTTGGGGGGAGGGGGGGGGGGTCCCACGCCACTATTCAACAAGCAGGCATTTGGGAGCCAATAGCTTCAACACATTTCCCTTGCGCAGACTCCCGCCCGTCGTATCAAAATGACAAATGGTGGCCACGCCAAATGTCCGACGTGCAAAAAGCCTACAAAGAAACTTCAAATCTCAATAGTCAGCTTAAGAGATGCAATGCGCTGTTGCGGGATGGAGAAATGAGATTGCGGAGTGAATGACAGCCCAAATGAAAGCTGAGGGACGGCTTCAGAGACAAAAGAAAGCCAGCCAACATCTTCATTTCCCCCTCTCTCAATACTACGGCACATTTGTAACCTCCTGCTGCCACTCATGATGTAAGACTGAGGCAATTAACCCCCTTCATCACTGCCTGTGTGTGTGTGTGTGTGCGCGCGCGCATGCGTGTGTGGGCGGGTGCAAACGTGTTCGATCAAAGATAAAGACCCACTCTGCCCTTCTCCTCAAGCGGATGATGTCATATTGCACAATCGCAAAGAGGCCGGCCAAGCGGATGATTTTACTCGGGATGATATTTACATCACCGGAATGCTTCAGTTTTCATGATAAGAAAAGCACAAAGAATTTACTCTGGCCTGGAAAAGGGACCCCAACCGGGACTCTGGAAAGCAACCAAATGCAGAGCTAGCGCACCCGTTTGGTAGCATCCCCCTCACAGTCGCTTTGCCTTCCGCGATGAGGTGATCGCAAGAGAAGACACCACGGGCGCAGCTCATTATCATTTGCGGAGACAGCAGCGAGTCATTTTCGTCTTCCTTCCGACCGCCGACACTGCCACATCTCCAAACATTGATCTCTGAGGGTTGTAATTAAAGCTATCGAGAAGGATAGCGCTTCATGCCGACGTGAGCAGGGATGGACACATTCCAACATCCAATTACACGGGCGCATTCCTCAGATACGGCCGCTGATCTTCAGCAAACCGAAGGTCAACAAGAACGGCTGCCGTAAATTTCTGCCATGTTGTTCGACTCGCTGGCACGGCTGATATGACGGTAATAAGGGAAAAGATCGTTGACCCGAGGAAAAGCGCCCGAAGGACGTGAAGTTATCGATAGCCTTTTGTGAAGGATGGATGCATGTGTTTTAATGCCAATGGCAAAAAAAAAATTTTTTTCCATACGTCCCAACAATAACACACACTCGATTCAAATTCATCCATCTTCTGCACGGGACTTTGGCAATAAATGACGGGATGGAAATAATCTGACCAAATCTCTGGAAATAGTGCTCACATAAAACCCCCCCATGAGAAAAACACATCCTCCTCGTCATTCGAAATCGCACTGCACCGTCGGCTCGGCTCTTGTTGTTTTTCCTCCACTGACTTTTCGTCGGTCTCGTTTAGGTGTCTTGTGGAACCTGTCGTCATGCGACGCCCTGAAGATGCCTATCATCCAGGACGCCCTGGCCGTCCTGACCAATGCTGTGATCATCCCCCACTCGGGCTGGGATACCTCGCCCCATACGCAAGAAGACCGCAAATTACATCTGCACTCCTCCCAGGTCCTCCGCAATGCCACCGGCTGCCTCCGGTCAGTAACTCGAAAACAACGCTCTGTCTTGACCGCGCGTGCCTAATGTGAGCATGCCCGACTTGTTCCAGCGTCACTTGACGGTGCGTTTTATTTCTCGGAAAATGGGTGGGTGGATCTTTCACATTGTGACTCCTTTGAAATCACGCTGTTTAGTTTGTCGACCAGTTCACAAAGCACAGAATCCAGTGGCAAGGACCCACGCATGAAAACTAAGCCTATTGAGTGTTGAGGATGGGAGAATTTCACACATGTAAAACGGTTAAATGGCACACTGGCACCCCACACATACATTTCTTCATTCGTTTCTCTTGTTCAAGAGTGTGACGTTTAAAAGCTTCGGAGTGTTATTCGTGTTCGTGTGGGTGATGTGTTCTTTGGTATTTGTGTGTGTGCGTGTGCCAGCAATGTGAGCTCTGCAGGTGAGGAGGCCCGCAGGAGGATGAGAGAGTGCGAGGGTCTGACAGATGCTTTACTGTACGTCATCCAGACTGCCCTGGGGAGTAGTGAGATTGACAGCAAGGTAGCGCACACACACACACGCACACACATTTGAACAAGGGTGTGTAGACTTTTATATCCACTGTATGAATATACCGTAAGACTCTCTGCACTCAGCATCATTCTACCTGCTCGCCATCTGTCTGCGCTTGATCGCCATTCATCCTCCTTTTGGGTTGCACCTTTCTGTCAGTCGTGACTTTTTCCTCTTCTCTACTCATCTCCATCAGACTGTGGAGAACTGCGTGTGCATCCTGAGGAACTTGTCATACCGTCTGGCCGCAGAGACGTCTCACAACCAACAAGGGGGCTCTGAGGAGCTGGATGGCCTGTTATGTGACACTGGTGGGAAGGACGCGGAAAGTTCAGGATGCTGGGGCAAAAAGAAGAAGAAAAAGAAGGGGCATGACCAGGTCAGGCGCTCCATTCGCTATTATTGGGTGTCATGACTCAGGGCGAGATCTGCTGGCCCAAAAACAATCGTGATAAGAACACCATTTTCACCTACACTTGACTTCCAGAAATGAATGGCTGACTCGGCAAGGTATGCCTCTGCATTTCAGCTGAACTCAAGAAGATTATCGGATTATCGAACCGAATCGTACCGCTTTACAATCGGGGTGTGTTTGACTCCCATCCCACTCTGTGTATGGAAATATCTAACAAATCGACTTTTATGAGAGAAAGTGCGATATTTGAGCTATTTTATCTGGTGCTCCATCTTCGTGCATGCTGATAATAAGCAATCAGAGGCACATTCTGGCTGAGTGGCAGACATCTTTTCCACTTGGAGAACATCGGCAGTGGAGAGCCCACCATATCCGGTGTGTGAATCGCCAATTAGTCTTAATCTCACGCCCTTTTCATTTCAAGCAAAGACAGAATGAGACTTTGAAACGGTAATATCCAAGCAGGTGTTTTAACTTGCATTTGTCAAGCAAAGCCTCAACGTTTTTTGGGGGGTTATAACTGATCTCACAAGTAACCCGATGTTCACGTTTAAAAAGATGAAAACAAACTCCTCGCTTTCATATCTTACAACATCCGCGTGTCACCACTCCAGTGCAGCTGTAGCCAATTAGCACAAAGTAGCTCGAGGAGCTCTTATTGGAGGGGGGCCCATCCTCCTCTCCGAATAACTGGGGGCAATTCCAAAAAAAAAGGATACAGGACAGTCGAGAAGTCGCTTACACGGGAGGAAGTGCTGGATATAAATGTTCCAGATCACAGTTTGGTTCACAGTCACAGCACAGTGTTCACTCACGCCATCATCAAAACAACAATGGCGGACCGCAGGGAGGCAAAGGAGGGCCACTACAAATCATAAATATGCATAAACAAATACATCGTTGACAAAGTCTGACATGTGGGGAAAAAAAAGGCATAATGGCTAATCTCGCCTTAACTCTGTGTCATTTTTCCCAGTGGGACGGTGTCGGTCCATTTCCAGACTTGGCGGAGCCCCCGAAAGGCATTCAGATGTTGTGGCATCCCAGTATCGTCAAGCCCTACCTTACCCTGCTGTCTGAATGCTCCAACCCGGACACCCTGGAGGGAGCAGCCGGTGCGCTGCAAAACCTTGCTGCTGGGAGCTGGAAGGTAGAACCTCCAAACAACGTGTGCATTGAAATCCACAGAGAGCCAGAAAGCTCCCTTGTCGAACACACTGGGGAAAATACGGCTCCATAAGCTCCACATCTGCCATCGTCACGATAACCCCGCCCACCGTCCCCTGACGCCCGCCCCTCTGATGTAGTCTTCTGCCCCAAACAATAATTGGGGCCATCTTCAGCACCAATTTCAATCACCGGAGCGAGAGCTCGAGCCAATTCCGCCGGTGGAAAAAGAATGAAGTGGTGCTCACCTGGGTACTGGCCCGCAACGAGCACCAGCATAAGCGCAGTGGCAAAGGGCCCACCGAGGTCCATTCTGACTGAAAGTTAGAAATATACGGCTCTGGAGTCCAAAAAGGACACTTGTATAGTTTAGCTCATTTTGTCTTCATTTTCTGCACATGCTCTAAATGACGAGACAGTATTTGGACTTCACTTGTGTTCCTATAAATGGCAAAAGTGGTGGTTTACTGGTGCTCTCTCATCATTATTTCAGAAGTGTAAAATTGTCTCATCATGTTAATATAACACTACAATGTGATACATTCGACCAAAAGCATCCCTGTGTGCACCTCTGACCGTCTTCCTCATTTTTTTGTCCCCATCCAGTGGTCGGTCTATATCCGGGCCGCAGTGCGTAAAGAGAAGGGCCTTCCAATCCTTGTGGAGTTACTGAGGATCGACAATGACCGAGTGGTGTGTGCCATTGCCACTGCCTTGAGGAACATGGCTCTGGACATCAGAAATAAGGAGCTTATTGGTAAGTGACTGGCCGAAATGAGGGGGGTTGGAGCGCGGCCTTGACCGGGTCGGGGATCCTCATTTGGAAGGTTTCCCGACCCCGTCAGCTGTTTTTAAGACACGTCACCACTAAGTATTGACAGCGCCGACGAAGGCTGAAGCAACAGCCGAAACTGTCAGCCAGGTAAGAGTTTTTCTCTCCCACCACCCCACCCGCTCCCAAAAAAAGACCACTGTCTGGAAAAAAAGAAACCTTCAACCTAAAGGGATCTTTCCAATTCATGAGGAGGCGTTCAAACTGAGAAAAAATTGCTCTTTCCGGAATGAAGAAAGTTTGCTTTCCATCTTTCAGTCCTCAGTCCCACTTATTGCGCCCTTTTCCCCCACTGTGACAACAGGTAAATATGCCATGAGGGACCTGGTGCACCGGTTACCCGGTGGCAGTACCAACAACAACGGTAGTAGTGGCGGAGGATGCGGTGGTGGCGGCGGTGGCGGTGCCAACAGTTGTGCTCTGCTGGGGAAGACCATGTCAGACGACACGATCACAGCTATCTGCTGCGCTCTGCATGAGGTCATCACCAAAAACATGGAGAACACCAAGGCCCTGAGGGACGCCGGCGGCATAGAGAAGCTTATTGGTGTCGCCCGAAGCAAAGGAGACAAGTAAGTGCAATGTTATTCCCAAGACACAGAGCACATTGAAATAGGTTGTTGTTGTTTTTTTGTTTTTTGTTTTTTAATGAGGTTTGTCGTTGACTTTCTGGCCTCGTATCATCAATAGCTGGTTTTAAATGTGTACTTTTTGCTGCCTTTGGTTTTTGCACAGAAGAATGTTTGCTTTTACATCTTTTTCACTGAAGTAACTTTTGATCTGAAGGTTGAAGAAGAATAATGTGTCATGTAGAGCTTGGACTCGCACCCAAAATCTCCATTCGCCATTTGTGTTCAAGTCCGCCAATGACATTCGAATGAATTCACATCGTGCACTTTTCAGAAAAAAAAAGCGCAACTTTGTGGCGCTTTATCTTCATTGTACTTTTCAAAAGCCGTCTTCACTGATCTCAATCAAACGTATCGCAGAGTAGACTCCACCTGCACGTATCATCCCACGGAAAGCTTTTCCTTTTTAATTGAAAACCGCTTCCTCTCATCTCTTGGACTCTGTGACCCGTTCTGGCGTTTGTTTTCAATGCCCAATTGGCAACTCTTTGGAATCAATACCAATTCGTGCATAACCCTGGTGTCACGGTGAATTTTCAAATGAAAGAAAATAGACTCAATAGCCCTGATTTTTTTGTTTGCAATCGACAGTATGTCCAATCGAATCATCCAAAATAATAGGATCGACAAAACTGGATGGCATTTCCTGAGACCAGTAAGGCCATTGAAAAATTGTTGGATGAGCAGCGCAGATAATAATTTCAATCGTTCAACCCCCTCCCCTTATTACAAAAGTCAGACTGGCTTTATTCTCTCTTGTTTTTCTCCTCTCTGCTGAATTCCCAGACATAGTCCCAAAGTGATGAAAGCGGCATCTCAGGTGCTGAACAGCATGTGGCAATACCGAGACCTGCGCAGCCTTTACAAAAAGGTAGATCCAGTGGTCTAATTTGCTGATTTTCCTCCACTCGCTACAAACGGAGTCATTCACCGCGAACGCTTGTTCCCACGTTTTCTTTGTCTCGTCCTTCTCACCAGGACGGCTATTCGCAATACCACTTTATCGGCTCTTCTTCCACAATAGAAAGGGACAGGCAGCGGCCTTATTCTTCTTCTCGTACGCCGTCCATCTCGCCCGTGCGGACCTCACCAAACCATCGATCAGGTGAGCGTGAATCCTTTTTCTCTTCCTCACATGTCCTTGGCTCCATATCTCAGACCAAGTGTTTGTTGATCAGATTGGATTTCTAGATCGATTCAGATTAGATACACTCGAACCTCGTTCGAGAATAACGTTGTCGCGGTGAAAATGTTGCCGACGGGGTACGTTGACGAGAGGTTGGACGATATCGGGCCCGAAGACTGCCTTAGAATTGCTAAAATGTGGAATTGACAAACGTAAGCACCTCGGGGGCTTATGGTCGAAGGACATTTTAAAAATCTGACTGTTGAACATTTCGCTCACACTGTTTGGATTTGAGCTTTATTTTTAGCGTTGTTTTGTCATTTTTTATCAGCATGGAAACAGACGTTGGCGGTCAAATTGCGCAGTACTCGCTCAACAGCCAATTATTGTCGACAAAAAAAAAAAACAACCCAACCCGTTGATGAGAAATTGATTCATCATATGATGGTTGTATTTTATAGTCAGTGTCCTGCGTTAAATAACACAAATGATGTCAAAAGGGTCAAATCAATTTCCACGTTTTCAGTGAGCACACCGGAAAGACAGACAAGTGCCTCAATTCCAAGTTCCCAGCCGGGAACTGAAAGCATGAGCCGCGAGGGCGCTGACTGCTTTCTGGAGACGGCCCTGTCATCACCTCCTCCACTTAGCAGATTTGGCACATTTCTCCTCTGGTCTCTTGTGGGTTCTCTTCTCATCCTGCGGCCTCCAACCCTCTCGGTTGCACGCGGGGTGTGAATGCGAGCGTCAGCGGCCGTGTGTCTCTAGATGGGAAGCCTTTGATTGCTTCTGATAAATGTTAAATGAGAGTCTCCAAAATGATCGATGGCTTGCAGAGGAAAAAAAGATCAATCATGCAAACGTGCATGTGTATTATGAACGAAGGAAAATACTGGGGTAGAAAGGACTTGAGCTTCACCTAAAATCACACAATGGAACAAACTCACAGAATATCAACACATAAAAGGCTCGTCGACTTCTTTTTTGCCAAAGAAAGTGAATCTGGCAGTAAGTGTGGTTCACATAAAGGAAAATGACTCTTTCTTCCATAAAGAGCTTCAATTGCTATGTGCTTTGCTCTTAAAAAAAAAAAAACAACAACAACAACAACCACCACCAATGCTGGAACGATGGTTCAAGACATTCCGTGTGTGTTACAGCAAGTGCGCCAGCGTCACCGAGGGATATGATGGCGTTGAAGGAGAGGAAGAAAGACTATGAGCTGACCGGCAATGCAACGTACCGCGGGAACAAGGGTGAACACACGTCCCGCAAGGATGCCGCCATGGGTAGGCCAAATCGCATTTTCAATTTTCCAGCCACTTGTAATGTGAACTGCGTTCAGGGTTGCCGCCGGGGATTCCAGTCCCTGGAAATCAATAAATGCATAAAGCAGCCCACTGTCAGTCATGGATGCATGAGCACTGGAATCAACCTAGGAGGCCGTGTTTGTTTTGGTTGTCTTGGAGATTGTCAAAATACATGCAACCGCAATGGCTGACCAATCATCCAGGACCGGGATCTATTTTTTTGTACAGGCCAACAAAATTTTGTTTTCAAGTGTGCACTGACATGATGAGCAGGAAGCACAACAGAATTCCCCGTTCTTATGACGACCAAATCATGACAATGGCAAATTCATCTCTGCCCTCCACTGTGCAGGAAATTAGAATGCTGCTAACTTGGGATTGTTGCTAACATCAAGACCGCAGTGGGTGTCGTTGAATGTCGGAGAGTCGGGAAATAAATGAGCAACAACCTCTGGTGCTCATCTGAGAACCGCAGCCTCGTTTTTGGGCGCAGCCTTTTATATGACGTTAGTTTGATCATTCACAAAGGATAGTGGGAAGGTAAAGACATATTTTGAGACGGCCCAGCAATGCCGTCGTGAACGGTTCATCGACGAGAGGATCTTAATCGCTGTCTCCACAGGTCCGCTCTCCAGTGGTTCTTCGACTCTACACCGAGGAGCTTATGTGTCACCCACCGATGACCTCAAGTACAACCAGGTACAAACGCCTTTTCATGGGAGGACCGCTGATGAAAACAAATCATTCAACTACATTGATCGCCACAAGCACCCACCGCCTCGGCAATGTTTACAGTCACACTCGTGCTCCCGATGCGCTTTGTGCCGCTCTTCCTCTCAAGAAATACCGAATGTCTTCTGTCTGCAGGTCTCATCTCAAGGATTGCCTTCAGAGCCCTACCCGCCTTTCCAAAATCCTCCCCCAAATGACAGCGGCAGCTATGAGGACCAGGCCTTCTACGAGAACCAGGTTCATGCGGGGGGGCGCCCCCCACAAGGTGAACTCAACATGCACTTGCAGGGCCTGAAGTCCACCGGAAACTATGTCGACTTCTACTCGGCCTCTCGGCCCTACAGCGAGCTCAACTACGAGACCAGCCACTATCCGGCCTCTCCGGACTCCTGGGTCTGAGGGCAAGAGAGCCGAGGGAGGAACAGAGCGGGAAGAAGACATGAAATAGGAAAGATACCCCCCCCCCCACCCCGCTCCCTGTTCTGTCGTTCCAAAGTAGCATCATAGGTAGCAGGACATCCCAGGCGCAAGACAGGGTCCAAGAACGGAAGGAAACTGAACGGACACTGGAACTCCCTCCGGAGACGTTTGAAGACGAGGAGGCTCGAGAGGAAAGCAAACAAAATGACCGGAGAGCGGCGGAAAAAGAGGCCTTGCATGTGCATGCACACCGACACCAACGAAACATTTTTCTTTCTCTCTTAAGTTTCTGACCAAACCGCGAGCAAGCCCGGCAGGTTGAAAGCGAACGGCGTGCCGCGTTTGCGGGCCGCGGGAGGAAGAACAGGCGTGGTGAAGGCACGACACCCCCCCCCCCCCCTTAACAAAAAAGAACGTGGCAAACACACGGAGGTGAAGGCGATGAGGGGAAAGATGGAAAGACGTGAAAGTTTTTCCGAGAGCGCGTGGAAGTCGTGACGGCTGGCTGAGAGAAACCTTTGTACATATGTGACATAGCAACACGGCTTTTAGTCATGTGAAGCACAAGAAGCAGAGCCGTAGGACGTGTAGGACATCTGAGATACCAACGTTTTTTTTTTTGTTTTTTTTTTCCTCTCCCTCTCTATGGCTTCGGCGTGATGTATCCTCCTCTCGGGCAAAGATTGCGATCGGAACCTTGTCCTTTGTAATCATATGTTGATTTGTTTGTTTGTTTGTTTTTCTTTTCTTTGTGCTTCTACTTTATAAATTCTTGGTTGTATAGTATTTGATGTACACTGTACATTTACTGGCAATGCATTGTGTATTTGTACATTGCAGTATTACCTGAGTCAGGCCTGCACCACGTGCGGCCCAGCTCACCTCTTCACGGTCCTGTCACTGTACCCTACGCACGTGCACGCATACACACACACACACAAACACACACACACACACACACACACACACTGGATCATATCTACCACACGCAGTAAAAATGCCCATGAAGACATAAATTAGGGAGTGGGTTAACAGTGCTCCAGTGACTGCCTTATATCTCGAGTTCCAGTGGGATCTATTTGACAGGAATGCATTCATACCGCCATTTATTTGTAGGTAAATTAAGCACGACTGGAGCATATCGTTAACCCCGCAACGATAGCCTGGTCAGATTCTGAGTTCAAGTCAAAAGACTGTTAGATACTGAGTGACGTGAGATTCATTTTTCGCCTTTCTCGCTCATCTATGTGAGTGAACAGGATTGTTTATCATGGTGAAAAAGATTCCGCCGAATTTTCCCTGAGTTATACACTATGTTGTCACTTTTTTGGGGGTGGGCCATTTTCCAAACAAATTCAACATTCACACATTCCATTCACTTGAACTCAAATTTTGGATATGAGGAATTATGGACCTAACTGTTTGTGATGAAGATGGCAACGTCCTATAAAATCCACAATGGAATTCTTATTTTAAGTGCTGCCACCTCATCCATCCATTTTCCGATCCGCTTGATCCCCACGAGGGTGGCGGGCGTGCCGCGGCCTATCCCAGCCGTCTTCGGGCAGCAGGCGAGGGACACCCTGAACCGGTTGCCGGCCCCTCGCGGGGCACGCAGAGACCAACAAACCATTCGGGCTCACAAACACGCCGAGCGACAATTTCGAGTGATTGATTAACCTGTCGTGCGTGTTTTTGGAATGTGGAAAGAAACCAGCACACCCGGAGAAAAGCCACGTCGGCACGGGGAGAACATGAGAAAGACGTGCTCACCAATTGCCCACCATGGCCGCCCGCTGCCACCTCATCTTGTCTTTATTGAAAGGATGACGCGTCAATGTAGCTTTCATTTAGCCACACCCAGAGAGTGAACTTGCAACTCAAGCGTCATGATCATTATTTCGAGATAGGTCATCCATATTCAATTGTAGGATGAAAAACACCTTCCGAAACCCGGAACGGGGTGCGAACACGGGTAGGCGGCCAAAGACACGTTCTCAAAGTACGATTGTTTCCGTGAGCGCATTAAAGAATTGAATGTCAGACTGGATAACTGTTATCGAAACAACCACGATGGCCATGCAGCGATCGAGATTGACGACTTGCATGAAGTCAGAACAAAACCGACTGTTTCTGTATTTGTCTTTTTTTTTTTAAAGAAAAATTGATCCCTCCTTCAACGCCACAGCGCCCCTTTTAGAGCCAGTGAGTCCTTTCTATTTCGTGCTCGGCGTGTACATCCTAGTGCCAAACAAGGTTTCTGCAACCCCAGCCCCAATTGTGGAGGGCAGGGAACATATTTCATGCTTTCGTCGGGACATCTTTGCGCATTTGACTTTACCACTTTGGAAATGTTTTGTCCATCATAATTGTTTTTTTTTTTTTTTTTTAATTTTATTTTTTGGTTTGGTTTGTTTCTTTCTTTTCTAAATTGTGTACTACTGACATGGAAGTTGTGCAACTGCACTGGGACCAGAGAGCATTACTCACATCAACAAAAATATTTTTAAAAAATAAATAGTGAAAAAAAAATGAAACAACTGCGTTAAAAACAAAGAACTGTACAAAATGTGTTTATTTCTGTGTGATATCATGTTTGAAGTACAGCAAAACGTTTTGGAGAAATGGCTCGCAATTACTTCTTGGTAGATTATGAATAGAGTTCAGTCCATAGAGTATGAATATATATTATGGAAATATCTACTTTTTACGTGCAGATGTGGATGTCGCAGCGGCAACATGATGGCAAAAGACTTGATGTGGGATGTTCACTTTTTGACTTTGCCGGTCAACGCACTGAATTGTCGACTTTTGTGTGGTAACGTTGCTATGTGGAGTAGATTAGCTCAAGGCTTACGGAGCCGTGTCGTCACTCTCAACATTGATGACTCCAAAGTTCTTGAAAGTGGACTGTCGGGTGGGAGCGACAGCAAAAGCAAATCAAATCATGACAATGTGTGAATTTGTTCCCACCCTCAAACGCAATCCAATGAAACGGTGGCATCAACTTAAAGTGAATGCACGGGTATTTTGTCACCAATTAAGCTGAAACTAAATTGTGATTTTGTACAACTTGACAAAGCTCTCTGTCCCTGTTAACTGTTTTCTGAAGGCTTCGCATCCTGGGAACTAATTTGATCCTTGACAACGTATCAGTCATTGTAATCCCGTGGCAGTAAAACCCACGGCAAGGACTTTGTCGAGCTCCGACCTTGGTGGTTTCCAAACCAAAACGTGTTTTCAAAAGAGAATTGTGAATCTTTATATGCCTCAAACTGATTGCAACTGCTCCAAAATATAAATGGTCCATCGAAGAGGAAACTGCGAGTTGTTTGTTTGTTGCCAGATCCGATTTCTGTGTTGCACTCATTTAGGAACAACCAACAAGAACATGCAAGTCCACAAAACCTTTCGCCGTTGACTTATTACCTCCGGTCGTCCAGGTGACGACTATCAGAGGAACTCAAGTCCAACCTGGGACATAGTGAATCTGTCCCTTCTAACGAGAGTTCGTTGGAACCCTTTCCAATAAAGTGGCTGCCAACTACCATTTATAATACTTGTGTGAGCATTTATAGAAGAAGACAATAAACTGGTGGACAATATCTATATTGGAGCAAGTTTGTTAGATTTTACTCGGTTTTATTTTTCACAAACATGCTTCATTTTAGTTTCGGTTTTTTTCGAGCGTTATCATGTTCCCGCCTTGTTTCAGTGTCCAGCTGGCAGGTGGGCGTTACCTCACGAGTCACACCTGTCTGGAATCGGGCCTCATTACCTGTTTTATGAGCCAGGCCAAGTGCCGAGCTTTTGAGACGTTCTTGACATTTTTCTTTTTTTGCCTAATAACCTTGCCTCATTAGCTCATAATATTTTTCTTCTAGCAAGCATTTTCCTTGTTATGTAGTCTTTTTTTTTTTTTGTATCCCAACTTCCAAAGTCTTGAGTGGCAACCCCTCTTCTGTCCAGACGACAAGCATTGCAATGTCTAATTCCGGTCGATGTCATGAAATATTGGTTTCCCAGTGTGTGGGATGGCGGCGGGGGGTGGACAGAAAAGAAGGTTGCCGTGGGGTTTAGTTTTCCCCTTTTGCGTTGTTGGCTTCATACTCTTTCAAAATCTCAAAGTGGTCCAGCATGAAGGAGTGGATATTTTCCAGCTGTTTCTCCGTCTCGTTCAAAGCCAGTCCCTGCTTATCGCATACCTTGCCACCGATCATCTCGTAGAGGCTGAGGATGGACATCTTAATCTGCGCCAGCAGGTTGAGTTTCCTGGACGCGGTTTCCTCGATGCGTTTCCACTCTTTGAACCAAAATTCCACCTTGATTTTGGATTCAAACAATTCGGGCATGAGCTGGGTGAGCTCCATATCGAGCTCCTGCCTTTCCAGCTCGTACTGTTTTTGCAACGCGATCTGCGTTTTCCTCTGCTTGTTGGTCTGCTCGTAGGCTTCGCCCTCCCTCTGAGACAGCTGGTCCTCGACGCTGTGAAGACTCTCGATGTGATCCGTGAGCGCCTCCTCATCTTCGAACGAAGTCATGCCGACCAGCGTGTGCATGAACTGCTGATAAATAATGTGTTGGTGCATGACATTCAGGCGCTCCTGCTTGGACTCCCTCAGCTCGGCACACTCCACCATCAGATTCCGGATCTCGGTCTCCTTTTGAAGCGCCACTTTTTCCTCGTCGTCCGCTTTGGCTGAGGCTTGGTCCACAATTTCGTCGGCGAGAAATGGATCCCTGCTTAAGAACAGCTCCTCCACGTCGCTTATTTCCTGCAGGAGCTCGTTCTCCCGCGCTTTCAAAGCCTGCAGCTGGTCCAGGAGCTGCTCTGACTGCGCCTCGAGATCTTTCTCCTCCCGCCGTATCAGGATTTCCTTGTAAATGTCGTCCCATTCCGTCGAGCCTTTACCCTTTCGCGTCTGGGGAACCTGGCGAGGGTTTCCTTGGGAGGGCTTTGGCTTCACCTTTTTTTTGGACATGGCGCCTAATTAGCTTGAATATTGAGTACTCGGCAGAAGACACTTATGGGTAGTGTATATCATTTGTGTCGACACTAGCATAGTAGACAATAGCCTTGTACTCTATAATATGATGTACAGTGACTCAGACGCTTAGCGACACTTCGTCGTCTCTTTCACCCCCCACGTTGATGTTTTGATATGTGTTTGGCACTCCTCTAAATAATCAGACACGCCTTATGACACCGTAATGATGAGTCAAAGGTGCGATGTCATCGCACTTTGTAGGCACGATCAGGAAGCCTCCCCTGGTGGACTTTGGGCGAAGGCAGACCACATAGCGGACGACGTCGGAAGTGTCCGCTTGCAGAATGAATGCGGTTTGGCGCCGTCTCATCTTCGCCTTGACGGTGGTAACAGTCTCTCCTCCTTCTTTCTCTCGATTCTCTTCATCTTGTAATCCCACTTTGGGATTTGGAGCTGATGATAGTTCGTATTGCGTCGGAGCTTTTCCGGTTTAAAAGTGGGAGCCGGGGCCTTGCAGAGCCTCACTTTTGGTACCACGATGCCCGGTCGCACGCTGCTCCTCCTCAGCAAATGAAGCGGGAGGAGACTCGCCCGTCTTATGGCCACCGCGGATGCAGCGGCCACGTCGTCCAGCAATTGAAGCTGGAGGCTGGCCCGCCGATCCCTCGCCTTGGGGACGAGTTGCACCCGGGAGTTCTGGAAAAATCTCTTGTAGTGGTTCAGCCTGTCGGGGCCGAGGTGCTTTAGCTCGGCCAAGCGTTGCCTCCTGAGAATTTCTTGCACCGCGTAGCGTCGTTTTCCAATGCACGGCGGGCTTCCCGGGCACACCGTCCGACAGGCCGTGGCGATAAATGGACTGCTGAGACCAGTCGTGATCCGGACCATGTGCTCCAGAACGCCATCGTCCACGGGGTTCACCTTATTGTTAAGGTAGAATCTGTAAGGGCAACAGGACAGAAGCTCGAGAGAACGCTTCCAGCAGGACTTTGGCTCTTCGGCTTTGGCAACAAGATCCTACAGGAGACAAAGAATACCAAAACAAAAAAAAACTCTTGTTTAAAGGTAGATTTTTTTTTTTTGTCTTCTTGTGAAATGAATAAAAATGTTGGTCATGCTGACATGACATGGTTTTGTTGAATGAGAAGAAGCGGGCGTTAAAATGAGCTTGGATTTCAGTAAGTGTGCTGCGAATTCCACAAATGGCCACTTTCAGATCTTTACAACTTGTAAAATGCCTCGAAACTCCATTGTGCGTTCGAATTTAGGGTGGTACGTTTTAAGGTTTCTATTTTGTAAAAAAAAAAAAAAAAAAAAAATTACTGATATCAAAAACATTCAAATTGGAAAAGGAATCCAGCGAAGACGCCGGCATTACAGCGGCGGCTGCAAGGCCAAAACCTTTATCGGTCACAGGATCGGGAAGTCATGTAGCGGTAAGGACATCGGCGTATTTTATGGCCGCATAACAAGACAACAATGCTCACCTCCAGCAAGGGCCACTCCAGGCTGAAGGAATCACAAAACTGCTCAGCGCACGGCTTCATCATGACCTGATACATCAGGTAAGCCGTCTCATAGCGACCGGTGAAGAGAGCCCATTCCCGCGGGGTCATCCCGCGGCCGTTGTCTCTGGCTTGCATGTCACCTCCTGGAAATATTGGGGTCAACGTGGATGCCGCCCGCATTGATTCCGCATGCGTCTTGAAAAGAGGCATGTTTTACATTGTAGTAGTACTTGTAGTTTACCAGCCAGCATGAGCGCTCGACACGTTTCGGCCCGACCCTGCATTGCGGCCTTCATTAAAGCTGTGAAACCGTGACAGTTCCTCCTCTCAATATCAAGCCCAGGGAAGTAGTTCAGCAGGTAGTGAGAGATGAACACGTGACCTGCACGCAACACAAAAGGAGCATTTGGGACAAAAAAAAAAGTGCGGTACACTCGTATGCCTAAATAGCTACCACGATAATCAACATGGTGGCCTTGTGACAATGACAGAGATGCCACTGTATGTAACGCCACATCACCTGCTGCTTCACCTGCAGTAATCGGAGTGCAATGAGAAGCGGAAGTGTGTTGAAATAATTGAGTTTGAAACCTGTGCGGACACCTTTCTCCATCGCTGGCGAGTCTTGAAGAAAGTTTTCTTTCTATACTCAGCTCACCTGTGGTGTTGCTTTTCTTTGTCACGAACGGGGATCAATAACTGTTTTAATGAAGCAGAAAATGAGTACGTCGCAGATCCCAGTGAGTCGTTCATCACTGTTAGCGGATGAGAGGCCGAGGCGGCGCGTCTGCTACGCCGACTGCATCTTTATGGAATCTCCCGCTTTGGAAAATGTGATGATTGAAAATGCAAGCACCGTACAGCATATCATGTCTCATTCTTAAAGGCGGGCACGTTTTAAAAGCCTCAGACTCAATCCCCTGCAGTAAAGGGTTCCTCTTTAAATAATGCATGAGCGAAGGAAGGGAAACAGTCATCTCAGAGATGAATGCACATGGAGTCGTTCCATCCTGGATTGAGAAATCCTGAAAGCATCCCTGATGTCGTTTTTAAATTCTATGAGCGCGTGTAACATTTGTATGAGTGGCAGGTTTTTCGACGCTAAATCACTCGTTCCAAAGGTTTGACTGACAATCGTCACAAAAGACATTTTGGAATTATAAATGGCAACAATATTATTGCCCATTACTGCATTGAGAATGCCTTTTTTTTCTTTTTCACAGAACACAGTCCAACGTAAATGCTAGAGGGGCCACAATTTTTCATCAGTGCTACTGGAGAGCCAGAAAGGACTGAGAGTTCTTGACTGGGTGTATGAAAAAACTGTCATTTAAAATAGGTACAAAACACATGCATATGTGCCCATTTAATAGATTTCATTTCTCACGATCCAAACCCAACAACGAAATAAGTGTTCCCCGCACACTGGGCCACTTAGGACCGGCCATCGGCAGCCGCCGCAATTGAAAAAAAAATATCGATATTTATTCTCCGATAAGATATTTAATTTTGAAAAAGGACCGGGTTTTCTTCATGACACCTGTGAATGATGAACTCTTGACTCGTGTTTCAAGATGGCAATTGTGTCAGGTGCGTTATGCTAACATTCAAACGACAAGCTAGCAGAATGAGTGAAAACGGACGTCTTTGGAACGTTTCCTTCCTACTGGGAAAAGGCCCGGCGTTGCTGAGACAACCAACATAAGCCAGGAGAGCAACACGAAATTTGACGATTCCCTCGCAACAAGCCCGATATGCGGCGATTGGCTCTTGAGTTCACGTTCGGGTGAGTTTATACATTTTCGTACACTTGACATTTGTTCTGTGGTGCGTTTCAGGAGGACGCTGCTCATTATAGTTACATGACATCCAAATGTGGCTTGGCGTTTATTGTCTTAAGTGTAAACTACTCCAATTTTTGTCTTGCTCGTATCATGAATGAACTTCATATTTGTTCTGTGGTGTCTGTTGCATGTTTAAGCGTGACCATACCGGCCATGATCATGTGTCGTTGTTACCCTTCTTATGGTATTTGCGCTACTAATAAAGGCACATAAAAATACACTGCATTTACGTTAGTTGGAAGACTTTGGTAGACACCCCCCCCCCCCTCACACTTCCGATGCACACCAACCCCTCCCCCATTCTGTCTGTCATTTTTACGATGACTGCAACGGCAAAAAGAGAAAACATCCCGATTTGCACCAAAATTGAAGGCTTTTTGAACGGAACGTGTGCTACCTCTGTGCAAAGTTTCACGTAAAATTTACGTCGGAAATCCTCCGCGTAGTTTTTGCATGATCCCGTCATCCTGTGCACTTTGACACATCCGTAAATAATGAATAGAGTATGTTTCGTGACTGATGAATGATAATTGAACGATCCCCCCACCCCACCCTAAGTTTGAGCATTGTTGTGAAGCGTTGTGTTTACCCGCTTGCGCTGCCGTAATAAGGGCAGTGTTCCCCTCGTTATCCTGCCAGTTGACGTCAATGTGAGGACACTGGGCGAGGGCGATGACCACGTCCACGTAGCCATAGTAACACGCTACGATCAGCGCAGACTGAAACATAAAGATGAATGAGGGCTCATTTTTCACAATACTGTATGTGCAGAGTGGCGGACACCGACCTTGTCCTGAAAAGAAGACTCATTTATGAACAAAAATGCTTGTGGCGGTCATGGAATGGTCACTTACTGTTCCAGGCGCAGACGAATGAAATGCTCCTGGTGCATTTTGCTCTCAAAGAAATAGTCAGACCTCGTCACACCATGAAAAACCGTGTCCATCCAGCTTGTACATCTTTGGCTCAAATGCATTTTCCGTATTGCTGGCGTCGATCTGAATCCTTACTTCCAAAATCCTCCGTTTTCAGGAGACCCCCGCCAAATCGTTTGTTGAACCATTAGCATTGTTTTGTCAGAGACCGCAAGCCATATTGACATTTTCAACACTTCAAATTGGCCAACAATGAAAAAAGTACCACCCCCATGTGGCCTGACCAATAGTATCGAGTTTCATGATTAAATAATGCATGTCATGTATGACAAATCATGATTATTTGACAAATGATTGATTAAAAAAAATGAACATCTGAAACAAATCAAGATTCTTTGTCATTCTCTTTACATAGCACGATGGCTTGAAACTAAAAACTGGGTCTTCACTGGTGTCCAAAATACGGCCCGCGGTGCAGATGGGATTCGGCTGATGTTGAGTGTAGATGCGGATATATTCTGTGAGAGAGAGGGCTGTTGGCCACCCGAAAAACACATACATAAAGAGCCACATACATAAAAATGGAAGGATGAAATGGCCACTTTAAAGTTCGTCCACTTTTAGAAACACACTCAAGCAATTCTCGATAGTTCGAATTGTTCATCAGCTTTCTGTTGAAGGTGTTGAGGCAAATAGTGGAGGAATTTTTTGGGGTGGCCAGCAGCCCTCTGTCTCACAAAATAGATCCAGCGCTGCACTTAACAGAGTGTTTTGAAGATTTATTGTGTCATTCTTGAACTCATAAATGGTTTATTTGTATCTTGGACTATCGAGAAAAGTTCCAATAACGGGTTCATAACGAGTCACGTAATTGCCGCAGCTCTACGTGATCTTCTATGGGGGGCAGGGGGAGTGTTTGTCGCGGAACACACTTGTGTTGGACCTTCAAATAGTTTGCCTGACCTTGGATCCAACCTGCTCAAAATGCCTGCATTTGCTGACGGCCCCCTGCGATCATTTTCTCTCAACCTGTCGATTCTGAATGACATGATATTTCGTTTCTTATGTTTGTAGTCCCAAACCTGTGAGAGATCTCTCAGCAAGTTCTGTGTGTGTGTGTGTTTGTGCGTGTGTGTGTTTGTGTGTGTGTGTTCTCCATTAGCCGGGGATCAGGTCAGTGACTTAGCAAGCCTGTTAACAGCTGAGCCCGTGGTCAAGCTGCTTCTTGGATGTGTCACTTTACAGCGGACACTCCCCATCTGTTGCTTGGGGATTAACCCAATGCGCTGACCACCCCCCACTACCACCACCACCACCACCACCAAATGCCAATTGGGATGCCATCGTAGTTCCCCGTTTGGTATGTCAAAACACACAAAGACGGTCGACAGGGCGCCCCTTACTCTTCTGTTGCGGTCCGTCTCCTGCACTTCCTCCTCGGTCAGTCCTTGTCTGATCATGATCTTGACGATGACGGTGTTGTTGTTGCAGCAGGCCTTAAAGAAGGATATCGGCTCCGGGCTCCCGCGACACGGCGAGCGCAGACCGTCCGATCCCACGCTAGTGTCGAGCGGGTAGAAAGAATCGTCGGACGCGACGCTCCTCGTGTCCGAGTTATCCGACAGAGACTCAAAGTCCAATTCCTCAAACTCCTGGAAGATGTCGTCCTCGTCCTCCCAATAATTTCGCGTGTAATCCCCTCGGGCCTCGTCGGGTTCTCCCGATTCCTCCTCATCTCGGCGGTCCTCGTCGACCTCGGTGAAGGACATGACGGGTGTGTCCAAAGCAATTGTGCCTGGTCCCGTTGCTCCGGCGACTCCATTCTCCTGGGGTCTTCCAGCGTCACCTTCTTGCTCTGTTACTGAAACCATTGAACCCTCCCCTCCCCCCACTCACTCGTCGTTTGAATTACAGTCGGAAACCGGGGCATCTCTACGATGACCTAGAGTTTACGTCCTTTGCCACTCACACCGAGTCGAGTCCAAAATATCCTCTCGGGTTTGTTTCGGTGACCGCATGTCATAATGCGGGGCCACCGTACATGCTAGCGATCTTTTGTCGACGTCTCGGAAATATCCTTAAGTTGAATTCGAGGCGGCAACGCTTGCCTCAAGTCTCTCGGCAGAGTTGAAAAAGTCCCCGTCTCCCATGGATTCCTAAAGGTTGCCGTCCATGTCCCCTTTGGAAAACGCCAGGCGTGGTTGTGCCGCGGCGTCTGCTAACATCCGTGGAAATTCCCAGTCTTGACGAGAAGTATCAAACAAAACGGGATGATGCCTGTTTGTACATGGAGCACGCAATTGCCTTGGGAGGAGCGATTCAAAATGGCCAGCAAGAGCTCTCAGTTCGTGCTTCCTCATGGAGACACGCTGGACTTATTTTGAGAACAGTCAGCAGTGGGAAGCGAGATTTCCTCCTCAACTGACGTACGATAATCCCTTTAGTTGCTCTCTGTCAACCGCCTTAGCGCTTCGCCCAGTCAGTCGGGGCTCTGCGTGAAAAGTCCAATTCAGGCATCCAAGATGAACGACTCTATATTTGCCATTCATGATTTCAACGCCTGTGTATCATAAGGTATCGTAATGTATCGTCGCCCAGATTAGATTTCGGAGATGGTTTTGCTACAGAGGAAGAAAAATGGCAGCGGTATTCTTTGCAAAGATTTACAGTGGAGGCCATCTGACTTTCGCAAAGACCTTGTTTCAAGTTAATATTCTCGTAATCTGTTCCTGGCTTCACAGAGTGAAAGACTGTGTGAAGAGGGGGAAAGGTAATTGGATTTGTCAGAAATAGCACATCTTGTTTCCTGGTATAGGCCTCGGCGCAGACAGGACGTTATTTTTATTTCACGATTTGAAAGTGCTCGCTCTGGCTTTTTGGAATTGTTGCTGAGAGTGAAATGTTAGACACAAATAAACGGCCATCGTTTCTCTATGCTCGTCTGTTCGCATAAGGGTCACGTTTGGTATAAGGAGGAGCATATCCCAGGTGATTTGGGGGCGAGAGGCAGGGATACACAATGAGTTGATACACAACGAAATAACCCCTCAAACTTACATTCACACCTTCAGACAATTTGGAGTCTTCAATCAACCTGACATAACATGCATAGATGGGGAATGTGGCAAGCGCAATTTTCACTCAGGACGGCTAGACTTGGATAGTCAAATCTTGCCCATCGATGAAACGGAGGCCAAATTTGAACGCGTGTGTGATTTTCCTTCACTGAGCTCTTGTAAAAATGCCATTGAACTAATGCAGGTCACGTCACAGGGTCAAGGGGGATTTTACACATGGACCTTCTCTTCCTGTAATCCGTCATTCACGTCGACCCTCCTGGTCTGGTCCGCTTTTGGCAAAGCAGGCTAATTTTGTTTTACGCTGAGTTTTTTTTTTTTTTTTTTGACATCTGAATCTTTGAAGACAGTGTTAGATCGTGCACAATACATAGGAAACAACAATACATAGGAAACACTATTATAGTTTTTATGTCATGTTACTGCACGATTTGTTACATAACATCACAAGTTGCAGAAAGTGTAGATTTGACTCGGTATTCTAATGAAAAACAGCGGTTCGCCAAAAGTCGATGCAAGCAATTGCGATTCTTCCCACTAACCCTCACTGGTCATGTTTCCTTTTGTGCTGAAGCTTGGGCGATGAAAAGAAAAGGTGGCTGTGAAGGGGGTGAGTGAAACTGTCAGTTTGCAGAGGCTATCAGAACGTGAGATGTTTACAGTTATTTAACCTAACTGTTTGGGGCATTTTCTTTTTGACATCTCCCTTCCTCGGTCGGCAGTGTCCAGCTTGATCGCTTGTTCCACAGCTTCAGTCAGTCTGTCAACGATCATTTGACACGAATTGGAGCGCATTTCGTCTGAGAGTGACGCGAGTTTTGGATCCGATATCAGACAGCGTTTTCACCTGATGGAAAAACGGGCCAGAGGCGAGGACGCACTCCGTGCAACGATTGTCTATTCCGTCTTCTTACCACTAGATGGCGCCCACGTGTCGTTGCTCAACTGAGCCGAGCGGTCGCCAAATTCCAATCCAAGTCCTTCTCAAGAACAAGACGAACCAAGACATGGCAATTGAAATCCCTTTTGAGCATTTATTTCTCGATATCATCGAAAGCTCCGTGTAGTAATAAAAAACTCTTTGTCCTCTCAAGTCAAACAATTCTACAGAGCACTAGTAGAATGAATGTGTCTTAATGGTTATATGTATGAGCACTGGTCTTTTTTTTTTTTTTTTTTATCTTTCTTCCATTCCAGTGAAATAACTTTTAAAATAATGATCTATCTCAAGGAAGCAGCGTTTGGCGATCTTCCGATAGTTTGCCGACCAGGTCACCGCATCTCCCTTTACAGATTTGATTCTGCAGTGTCCGCGTTTTCCGAGGTTGTCTTCTTCACCGCGCCACAGTGCTGGAGTGATTTAAATGATTCGGCGTTGTACACCCACACGGTGTCAACACCCTCCCCTGCGATATGCTCGGGAACCCAGTTGGGAAAGGGGAATCGGCAGGCGACCACCTTCGCGGAGCTTGGTAACTCGCTTTCCAGCTTCAGCTCCAATTTGTCCATCTGGAAACAGGATCACATTTCAATCATACTTTTGAAACGTCCTCAAGCAAATTTCATGGTGCATGCGCTGAATTACCATTTGAGGGACGCCAAAAATAACAACGTTGGAGTACTGCGCAAAGCTGACCTAGAAAATAAATAAAAAATGATGATCACATGTTTTCTGACTGTACTGAATATGATCATTTGGGATCATGTGTTCTTAGAGCAAAAGTCAAGTCAAACGTTTTTTTTTTTTTTTTTACAATAATATTTTTTTCCACCACAAGTGCGCAAAGGGTGACGTCACTACGCACTGACATCAAGACATAGCAAGAACAGAGCGGACATAGCTTGGCAGTTTCCATGATGCCTGTTCAGACTGGCAAAAGGATTCCACCACCCCTGTGAATCCAAATTAAATTCCATTCGAAGTTGGCATTTTTATTGACGTGTTTACATGGAGCACTTTGATTGAGTCATTCGGTTTCTTCAAATCGGACTACTAGAGTCCAAGTAAACCCGCCTCGTGCCATCAAACACTGACCTTCCATAAGTCAGAGATGTGGAAGGAAGTGGAGCGGTGGACTCCCTCGCGCCAGGCTTTGTAGCGGGAATACCACACCAGCCAGGGGTTCAACTCAAAGCCTGACGCCAGAAAGCCGTGCCTTGCTGCAGCTATCACCTATGCAAGAGGAAGACACAATGCGTCAAAGTACTGTCAAGGCAACTGTGTTGCAGCATTTTCACATTGCTTGACTAGGATTCATTTCTGGTGTTTTTGTGCAACCGGGGATAGGCACGACGAATTGATTCGTGTATTGTTAAAAACCTGCTGAGTTATGTGGAATTATTCATCGGTTAAGTATATAATGAACATTGAGTCACTTTTCCACAATTGAGCATTTGACTCCCTCTCATTTGTTAAAAATTCGTGCATTGTTAAAAACCTGCTGAGTTATGTGGAATTATTAATCGGTTAAGTATTTAATGAACATTGAGTCATTTTTCCACAATTGAGCATTTGACTCCCTCTCATTTCTCACTTCCCTATACACTATTTATAACTGATTACTGTTGACAATTTGTACACCAGTCTTCTAGATACTGCAGGGTTTTGTTTTGTTTTTCCTTAAGCCAAAAATATCCACAAGACATGCTGCACTTACTATTCTCCCATCTCCACTTCCAATATCTACCAGGGTCCCAGACCTGGCTCGCAGTGCATTGAGAACATTCTCCACCTGCGCGGTGGTCGCGGGGACAAACGGGAGGCAAATTTTCCTCAATGCGGGGGCCACAAACGGCGTAGCCACAGCGTAGAGGGCAACAAGCGAGCCCCCGACCAAACCCGTTACGACAAGACCCAGTCGACTTCTGCTTCTACTCTCGATTGCGACCGATTGTCCGGCTCTCCCCGTAAAAAGCGCCTCTTCAGACATAATGGGCTTTCGACCAATGCATGATAACGACTTAAAACGTGATAAATAAAATACTATCCCACTCGGTTAACATACGCGGCGCGTGATCATGATCATTCCACCGTCATTTCCATATCATTGGAAAGTCCACTTTGGCCGTTGCAGCGCCATAATAAGTCCGACTTGGTTTGTGGTGCCTGAAAAAACGTTCCGCCCTGCTGCTTTTTAGCTTGACAACACACAAAACGAAACGCACGTACACGTGAATATGGATGCATTTATTTGTTATGAACGTACAATAACGAACAAATAAAAGAAAAAGGATGCACTATTGTACAAAATATATACCACCATTAAACACAAAATGATAAATACTGTACTTCTGTTCAATTCACCACCCCAAAAATATGATCTAAATCAGTATGTTTTAACAGTAATGTACAATATGTGAACGTATTTTGCTCTGATCTGTTGTCCTTAATTTGAATATGGGAAAAAAGCTTTGCTCTGAACGGTAGTACTGTTGTGTAGGCATCTTGTGGCGTGCGAAGGTTCATAGCGATATAATATACAGTTTTGCTTGCAAATCTTTTTTTTTTTTCATTTTTTTCAAATGTTTGTTTATAGCAAATAAAGAAATACATTTCTCGCCGTAAAACCGCTTAGTGTCAAACAGACCACAGACTCATTTTGACCTATGTTATGCATAAAACTGCGGAACATTTGGATTCAGATGGCATGGGATCTTTTTAATGGCAAAGTATCACAAGGTAGGGTTTTACTCTCACGAGTCCAATAGCTGGATCAATTTCTTGCGCAGATTTGAGGATTACATTGTGGTTTTTCCATATTAGAAATCATTTGACAATGTACGGTGGACAGTGTGGTCTAGCCCTGGCATGCCATGATGGATCTGATGGTGGTGAATGTGATGCCCGCTGGTTGTTGGACCCTCATAGATCATAAAATCATCGGCCTCTCTGTAGCCTTCTCCCCCATCCTGAGAATAGCTGTGCTTCATAGCTAAGATGTTTCTGTGGCCGGCCGGGGTCGTGTGGTGGGAGAGCCGTGATGCCTGCTGGAAACCAGAGGTGGGCGTTCCATCAGACAAGGTCTGTCAGTCTGTCACTGTTTCTGTCGGTATTTTAGGCCAACACACATAGGCCCGGTCCTTCCCTCGTCGGCAACAGCCAATCGACGTCAAGAATGTAATTTCCACATCACACACGGGCGCAATTTAATGAATGAATTATCAGCATTATCATCTTAAAAATATTTTGATTGCCCCCCGCCCCCGCCCCGACCGCGTGGCACAAATATTGGATTAAATATATCAATAAATATGAGGGATGCTACTACGATTTGCCCCGGAGTTGGCTAGGTTCCCTCCCACAATGATGCAAATGCCCCCCCGCCCCAATTCTATCTGTGCAAAGTAGGAAAATACCAAATGAACCACATAGGCCCGGTCCTTCCCTCGTCGGCGACAGCCAATCGGCATCAAGAATGTAATTTCCACATCACACACGGACGCAATTTAATGAATGAATTATCAGCATTATCATCTTAAAAATATTTTGATTGCCCCCCGCCCCCGCCCCGACCGCGTGGCACAAATATTGGATTAAATATATCAATAAATATGAGGGATGCTACTACGATTTGCCCCGGAGTTGGCTAGGTTCCCTCCCACAATGATGCAAATGCCCCCCCGCCCCAATTCTATCTGTGCAAAGTAGGAAAATACCAAATGAAAGAAAACTCCACCCATGTGCGCAGTTCGACTGCATTTTGCATTAGACTTGCGCCGGGCTCTAAAATGGGGACCATATTGTTTTTTTCGAAACAGATAACATGCTTGGTCGACAGTATTTTGGGGCTTTCGTGTTATCCAAAATAATATCATCACTCCGGTTTCATAAAAAGTTTTTTTAAAAATGAACAAACCTACGGATGATGTATTTCTTGGTTTGTATAAAAATGAACAAACCTACGGATGATGTATTTCTTGCGAGGCTGTTTGACTTGGATGATGACAGAGATGATGAGCAGGATGACAACCAGGCCACAGGTCACAGCAATGATTGTGATGTTGGTGTTATCCAGAGAGTCCAAAATGCTGGGTTTCCTTTTCTCTAGTATCACAGGCAATATGGAATATGATGATCTTCGGTTCGGCAACAGCCACGCGATGAAAATACATGAGCTGGGAACAGTTGCGTGTACCTTTACAATGATTCTCATCCCACGGATACACACAGTTCTGGATGCCGTTGCAAACCAGGGTGTGATTGATGCACATGTTGCTGTGGCAAAAGAAAGTATCTCCTTCGCACGGCGCTGAGAATGAAAAGGCACACATACAGTGGTTACATATTTGTTGTGCACACCTGTAATGGTGTAGAGTGGTCACTTTTGATAACTGGCATTTTCCCACTCATCTGGGACTGAGTTCCAGGGGGCTGTACCTGTGACCTTGTTCTTTTGGTTGCTATTACAAAGCTTGCGATTGTTACACACACACGCACACACACACAAAGATCTCCGTCCTGTGGCACCGGTCTCGGCACCACAGCAGTCCAATACGGCGACCTTCACTGTGGATGTTGTCAAGGGAGGGAGTCACTTACGGTCAAGGAAGGTGGTGAAGAGGATCTTGAATTTGCTTTTCCTGCTTCCCTCATCTGCCCAAAGCCTTACCACACCCAAAGAGGATGTCAGCATCACGTCGTTCGCCACCGTCGAGCAGAATTTATTCTTCAAGTGCTCCACCGAACTGCTGCCATCATAAATGGCAACAAAGTTACGCTTGCACTCATTGGAGTTGTGCATCTCATACTCCAGAAAGCGCATGTAGATCTGCGGATGGGATGATGAAAATGCTTTAGGTTTCGTGTACAAAGTTGCCCAGACGAATCCCACTCACACGACCGTTACCGCGACTACCTCGTTACAATGTACCTTGAGGGACATAGCGAATCTGTACGTTCTAACGGTAGTTCACTGTAACCATTTCCAATAAAATGGACGCCAACTACGATGTGCAATACAGCATAAACATTTATAGATGTAAAAAGATGAACATGTATTACATTCTAACACATGATGAAAAAAAAAGATTTTATGAGACATGAAGTGTCATGCAAAAGAGGTGAACCACAATGAGCCAGGTCAATCTCCCATTTCCAGACCTTGGCTCTCGGTGGGGCCCGCACGTACCACCTGCAGTCCACGGCCTCTGTTGGCAAGGCCCGCTTCTCCCTGGTTATCTGAGTCGATTCCACAAAGCCTTCTGGACCACTCAGCTCAAACTCACAAACTGTGGAGAAGAGCATTAAAAAAAAAAAAAATTGTGATGACACTAAAAAGCTCATTAAATTGTGTTAATTGGAGGGAAGCCATATTTTCCTCATTAATCCGGTTTGGACAACTGTTGTCATGTTTGATGAATGGATACACGTTACGCATGCATGTGTTTTCAACGAAGCACACATGGCACGCTGCTTCCAAAATATGATATTGGTGCAATACTCACACGGCAATGCTGGCAATTCGCCCAAACCTTTGAACTCGGGGTCTAAACGAAGAAAAAAAAAGATGCATTTAAACACATAAAAGTTACACCCATCCGTTTTCAAGAGCGCTTATCCTGAAGAGGGTTGCGGGGAGTTGCCGGAGCCTGTTCCAGCTGACTTGGCGAGGGAGGCAGACTACCCCCTGAACCGGTCACCAGTCAGTCGCAGGCCACCTATAGAGACTCGCGAGCAATCACACCGTCACTGAGTGGGAACCCATCCCACGCTGCCTGCAATAACAATACTTAGTGGACTTTTTTTTTTTTAAATTATTTCTACTCCACATTTTATTGAAGTTGGTTTCCTTGACATCTTGAGATCTCACTTTTTTTACAGTGTAGTTGCGAGCGCAATTCCTGTACGTGACATGCCTACTTGTGCATCGAGAGCAAGATTGATATGAGCAGCTGTAAAATTACTATCGGCTCCGAATGCCCTCATTTAAGTTTCCCGGAAATGAATCCTGCCGAGCCGCGCCTCGATGCTGTGTCCTGAACCTTTGTGCTGATGAATCGACTTGCTCGCTGGATTATAAACCCTGATTTACCGTCTTAGTTTTTATTAATCCTCTCATGTTTCTTACCCGTTTCTGCTTCAGGGTTGGAGAGATTATTCACATTCAGCCCTATCGACAGAAGTATGCGTCGGGGGGGGGGGGGGGGGGGGGCTGCAACAATGCATTGGCAGATGCGGTTGCGTCCAATACACTGAAACATTTGAGCTCCATCTTTCTCTACTGTTTTCAACTGTTTTCAATCTTTGGGAATCGCACAGTTGCATTCTGTTCCTCAGAGCCAAACAACACATTTGAGTGTGTGTCGCTGAGCGTTTCCCAGAAATTGCAAAAAAAAAAAAAAAGACCAAAACTGTTTGTTCAAAAGGAACAAAAAGGCTCCATCACAGAAACAATTTCGAGTGGTCCATCAGCCTGCTATGCATGTTTTTGAAATGTGGAATGAGGAAACACCCAGGGAAAAGCCACTCCAGCACGGAGAGAACATGCAAACTCTACACAGAAAGCCCTAAGTCGGAATCGAACCCCGCGCCTCCACACTGTGAGGCCGACACCCGAACCAGTCGACCACGGGGCCGACTGGTTCTTTTCTAAGAATAAAGCAGACAGTTTACGGTTTAGTTTTTTTTTTTCGCTAATTGTAAGGTTCCATTTAAGCCTAGTGCGAGTTTTAAAACATTGATTGGCATTCAGGATAAATGATCTCACATCTCTGATGGGCGGCATTAGACAGATAAGCATTTGGCGTGCAAGACGTGTTCAATTTAATGAAAACAGATGGGAAAGCAAACCTCCTCATCTGCCTTATCGGGGCAAATATCTTCTTAAAGAGGGAGCCATGCGCTAGTCAGTATCTCGCATCTTGATCAGCGGATGCTTGCTTGATTGTCATGTCAAATCCCATCGACAAGAAGGGCATATTTTCATCAGAAAAATACGTCTGCACAAACAGAAGGAGGCAGATTAATCTTTGATTGTCATCATTGCGGGTGGCCAACAAAATCTGCTGTCCATAAAGCCTCGGCCGCAGTCCGGCTTAAGCTGAGCTGATGCTGCGGCTCAGTGCTGACAAGCTATATTCCCTTGAAGACAAACTTTCATTAACCACCGTGCGTGTGCGCGTCTGTGTGTGTGTGTGTGTGTGTGTGTGTGTGTGTGTGTGTGTGTGTGTGTGTGTGTGTGTGTGTGTGTGTGCGTATGTGTGTGTGCGCGCATGTATTCCCACATCCCCGTCAACTGCAATTTCCTACAACACGCGCCCTCATAACCAACTTGCTAACACAATATTTAAAGGGGGTTCTTAATGAGTGCAGGATATTAAAAATAAATAAACGAGAGTATTTTCAGTTAATAAAATGACACCATAAAATCAGAGGCCAAAAATTTACTGAGGGGAATTAACGCCCTTTCTACCCGCTGGTGTGTGGCGTTAATTAAAAAGAGAGGGAGAGCTTTTCAAGGCTGCGTCAAAGTCACAGAACATTGATTGACTGCATCTGTCGGATGCCAAGAAAAGGAGCGCAGTGCATAGAATTGTACCAGTCGAAAATCATCACAAAACACTTGTGAGCCAACGAGCCAGCGCTTCTTCCTTTCTGAACGACACGCGGAGACGTTCCTGAACCAAGACAAATATGTGCTGACCTGTCATTATTTTAGGTCATAGCAATGTTAACTTACAGCTTTAATTGAGTAGGGTCCATTCAAAAAAAAAAAATGTCCTTTTATCACATTGTCAACTGCCAATGGGAAGTCTCGGCTTCAAACCGGAGTCCAGGAATAGCAAATTGCTCCGTTTCCGATTTGGTGACCGAGTGGTGTTAAAATGCAACCCCATTCTGGCATTCTGGTTTTCACACTGTCTACGAACTTGCAGTAGCTTTTGTCGACACCTTTGCCATCAATTCTTTTTCAACATGAGTCCAGTGAATTTGTTTCAAGCGCAGGCTACGACGAGACCCACCTGGCGTGAAATTGTACCGGGCTGAGAAGCCGATAGCCTCCAACTCGCCATCGGCCACAAACTTGATGTACAGGTACCTCCCACTGGAGCGAACGTACATGGGGCTCTCCCGGCCGCAGTAGCGTCCGATGATGGGCGAGAAGCCAAAGGGCCCGTCGCGGACCTCGATGTGATCAAACTTGCAATCCCACGATGGCTCGATAGAATACTTTTCATCAAAAAACAAGTCGATGCACTGGCGGGGAGAAGCTGGAGGAGAAAGCGTCATTCAATCAAGAGTGCCGGGAGACTTGATGTCCGAAGGCTCACCTTCTATAATGTAGATGCATTCCCTCTCTGGTGGGTATTTCTCTGGGTAGTTGGGTGAGGTGAAATGGCCTCCCTCGGGCTCCTTGACCCAGGCCCCACACTGCCCGGACGGTGTCACGCCGGAGTTGTTGGTCACTAGGCAACAATGGCACAATTCAAGCTTGCTGCGGAAGCGAGATTGCTTTTATTGTTCATTGATACAACTTCCGGATGCACCTAAGTGACCCACGTGTTAGATATTCACCGAGTGACGATTAGTTGCAACTGCAAAATGTGCGCATTCACGTCAGGGTTTGTTCCAGGGTGCAAATGTGTGCAAAACGTCCGCCACATGTTTGCCAAGTTTTAGTCGTTTTTCCTGTGGCCAGGAAATTTGCAACATGTTTAAAATTCACCCGTGACAAGAAAAGTCACAGCGAACATTTGCAACCTTGAACATACACTGACGTACGTACACTGTCGAGAACCAAAATTTGCCGCCTTTGGAAGCACTCGCAAATGTTCGCCACTCAGTGGGATAGGGCTTTAAATGATTTAAAAAAAAACACACACACACAAACGGCTCAGGGCAACAACAAGGCAAAAAACATGGTGTGTTGATGTGAAGTAGGAGGCCGCAAAATATCATCCTGCGGGCCGCGAGAAGCCCCCAGGTCGCGAGTTTGAGACCACTTTACTCCATGCTATTCACGAAGGGCAGGGGTGTCAAACACATTTTTGTCACGGGCCACATCGGAGTTACCGTTTCCTTTGGAGGGCCGTTATGACTGTGAAACCATATTAAAAAAAGAAAAATGTCAAGAAGAATGGTTTCTTTAACAATTTAAGTTACTGTAATTAAGGGTTTGATAATAAGAAAAACAATATGTCTCATTTCATACATATGAGAATTTGAAATTTCAGCACGGGATTTAGCAAGCTCCATGAAAGTTGACGTGTTTGATTTGCTTTCGCCGGCCACATAAAATAACGCGGCCGGCCAGATCTGGCCCCTGGGCCTTGATTTTGACACTGGTGACAAACAGCTACGAATTGCCCATGAAAGTGTCGTAAACGGTGACGTGATGAGCACATACTTTTGCTTGAAATTGTGTTTGAATAAAGAAACTGCACACCCATTGAAGAACCGATCATATTAGTTGTCATTGTGCAAAAGGCATACCTTGAGTTTTTGTTTTGGTGGCTGTGGCCCCCGTCAACTCGGGCGCCATCAAATATGTTGCAAAAGCTGGTGGAAGGAAGACAGAGGGCTTATCGTCAAGAGAACGTACGCTTTTGGGACGTATCAAACACAGCACAAAAGATGGAACAGAAAATATGACACGGGGGACGTAGACGGCAGTCATTTTAAAATGATTGGAAAATGCATTCAAGTCGATGTAAAGAAAGATGTCAAACCTACTCACCAATGAACAGCAGAAGTTGGAACGCCATTTCTTTCCCGTGTATTTCCAACTCTCACAACTATGTCCCTCAATTGTCACATCCTGTCGTTAGGAGAGAAAAAAAAGACTCTCCTGCACACGCTGCAAATTGTTCTCCAAATGGGTAAAATCTGACCACAAAATAGCTTGCCATCATTGCTCCCTGAGCTCAAGGATTAAACCTCCTGGCAATTACCAACCTTCCTATGTTTTTGCTCCACCGTTATTTTTTAAATCCTCTTAGAGGCAACTGTCATTGGCAGAAGTGGATAGGTCAAGGCAAGTGGCTGTTTTCATGCTTTGTTCTCGAGCTCGCTATCTATCTGGCCGGCATCTATGGAGCTTGGAAAAACTTGGAAGCTGTTTGATTTGATGGTGCAATGTCACGTCATTTCCCAGATTATTTTGCTTTCTCAAAGTCTTTAAAATGGCTGCCCAGATATTTGGGACATTTTGTTTGGATTCACACTGGCACACTAGTGACATGAATTGTTTCATCCTCGCTGACAGGAGAGGATGAAAACGGCTTGCTCTGAATTGCATTGAATTCAATTCCACATTCTGTAATTCACATTCAGTTGACCATCCTGTGGGGTGGAGTCGATTCAAACTCCAATTTATCCACAGAAGTGAATTCTGAAAGTGAGACTTTTGCACAGCCTGCTAGAAATTGGACCCCTTGAGATTGAGCAAAATCAATACAGTACAGGTATTGGTACTAAAGTGCAGCTTGTCTGACTGTCCAGAAGGTGGCGCCAAAGTACCTGTCAAGCATTGAAACATGAAGGGAGTTAATGAAAGTTATTGATCTAGTTGAAATAAGAATAAATTATGGTTTTATGTTTGTTTTAGCAAGGATTCCGAATTTCCCGTCACTGTGGTATTTTATTTGTTGCCTTAAAAAAAACTACTGTAGGCCGACTGTACTGGTCAGCCAATGTGCCCGATTCTCTTGGAATAGGGGAGACATTTCCGCATCTCTAAAAATGTATTTACATTTTTAAAGGGTTTTTGACTTGATGAAAACCACTGGCTCATTCTCCTTTACGCTTAAAAGTTACAATCGGCACAAGCACGGTCACGCTCAGTTCAACGCCGTACTATCATTTGGTTGTTTGTATGAGCTTATGAGTGTTTTTTATTAAATATTATTTTTTTAAAGCAATAATATTAATGACTTTAACTACATCGTTCTCGCGTGGGCGCTATAAGCCTGCATAGCGTTCAAATGTATGTATGTACAATCGATACTCGGGTGACAACTCGGGGAGGCCTACGTTTGCTTTTCTTTTTCTTCTTTTTCTTATCTGACATTGTCAATGCTTCGCGATGAAGTATTCGTGTAATTTCTTTTGCGATCGCAAACGGTGTGACGCCACACGTGAACTGAATCGACCCGTGAGTAAAAGGAAAAACCCTGCCAGTGCGTGCACGGGCCCGTCCGTGCCGTGTGAGTCGTGGGTGGTCACGCGCGCCGGGCTGGGAGCCAAGCGAGTTGCTGGGGGGGTGGGGGGGAGTGGCCCACTGTGATGAGCGTTACTATGGGCAAACTTGGCATATAAGTGCAACATGAGCGGTGGTCTCTCGCAGCCAGCGCGATACTGCGTGACGTGAGGAATTCAACAGGTCCCTATTGACGTTTCCCAGCCTCCCAGTGTGGAGGTGGCGTGCGTGCAATTTGAAAAGCGCAACCCGCTGGTTTGGCATGGACAACCCACTGGATTACAGAATATAGTCCATCAACGTTTGGAATCTGTGAGCTATTGACTGATTTGAAAGGTAAATATGCTCTTTAATTTGCACCTCTGCATTGTCATGGGATCTTAACGTCTAAAAGAGTGGAGGATGTTGTCTGTGTTATGGTCATGCTTGAATCCATTTTTTTTCCCTCCCAAATCTGCGGATGTCACTGTGAGCACACGTAATACAGTGAGCTGCTCATGGCCTGCAAATCTCGCCTCGTGGCACAGTGGTCCTACTGTGAGGAGTGATGCTCTGACCTGCTGATGCACTCCGACGTCCTTCAGAGTTGTAACAGCCTCACAGTTTGAAGTGAACTTTTCTATATACCGTGGTCCTCGCGCATGAGAAATGATTTGTGGTGACCTGGTACCACTGGCAAACTGTTCAATTGATAAATGATTGAAATCATACAAAACGTATTGAAACAAATTTCAATTTCTCAACAGCCTGCAGCGGTGCCCCTGCCAGCCTTTCCTGGAAGTGGAAACAAAGTTGTTCCTTTCCAAAGATCATCAGTTTTGACTGATCCTGTCAGAAACAATCATTTACTGTCATCATTTTTAATAGCTGTTGTGGTTGCAGTTGACAAGGTGCCGGGCATGTACTGAGATGCCCAACTTAGTGAACAGCTCCAAACTGCAAACAACACAAAGGCATTTTTTTTAAATGCAACTCTTTCACTGGATCTCAGAAGATCGCGCTGATGGTGTAGCACTTCACTTGCTAGACTTTGGCGCAGGCACCGCGGGGTCATGCTCATCAGCGATGGCGCAAATGGGAGCGGGATTGCTTGTCTGTCCCCAGATGTGGCCTCGGATGGATGGAGGGACCTTCTCTTTTGACAGCTCATCGGATGAAAAAGCTGAAGAAATGTTTCATGTGTGCGATTCTGTTGGAATGCAAAGCAATCCATGCTTCTCTTTTCTATGGCTTGTAATTGTAGCCCGCAGAGGGGCTGGTACAACACTCGCAACTTTTGTAGGGCCGCAATGTTGACGCTTCAATGAGGCCCACGTATCTTTTTGCGTTGCCTCTAAATCAGTGGTTTTTAACCTTGTTCGATGTACCGAAAATGCATTTATTCAAAACTGAAAAAAAGAAAATACAATTTCAAGACATAAATATACTTTTTTTTAAATTTTACGACGTACTATCACGACAGTCACACGTTGACTACTGAGTGAACTCAATTTCCCGCAGCACTGATTGGACAAGCAATGTCATGTGATCATCGACAGCCAGGGATGGCCGAGCGGGCGTATCGTAACTAATTGACATGTTGAGTCGGGTGTGTCGGTGGCAGAGGCTCCGTCGAACCCCTGAGACCGATTCACCGAACCCCTAGGGTTCGATCGAACCCAGGTTAAGAACCACTGCTCTAAATCCATTCTCTATTTTCTTTTTACAGGCAAGCAAGAGAAGATATTCGGCGCCGGTATTTTCTGCAACATGAAGCAGCCTCTTGCTTTTCCTGGGTGGTTTCGGGCAGCGAGCCTGTGCTTGTGTTTGGCCCACGCCGTCACATCTGCGGTCCTCACCAACGCCACACGACTGGAGTCCATCCTAGACAAGTACAGGGACAAAGACGGAGAGTGGTGGAAGGCCAGAACGAGAGGGAAGAGGGCCATCAGCGAGGGGGACATGCACCTCATCCTGGATCTACACAACAAGTTGCGTGGTCAGGTCCACCCTCCGGCCTCCAACATGGAGTACATGGTAATCAGTGCATCTCACTTCTAATGATGTGTGCTCTTCTTTGAGATGATAGCTTTTGTGCTCATTCGAAATCATCTTTTTCCGATTCCGAGACCGATTCACCGAACCCCACGGGTTCGATCGAACCACTGAGCTAGATGATGGACATTTTTTCAGTGTATTTAATTTAGTAGTGTCCATCCATCCATTCTCTGATGCGCTTCTCCTCACGAGGGGCGCGGGCGTGCCGGAGCTCGTCCCAGCTGACTTTGGGCAGCAGGCAGGGGGACATCCTGAACAGGTCGCCAGCCCATCATAGGGCACACATAGACGAATGATCATTCTCGCTCGCACTCATGCACCGAGGGTAAATTTTGAGTGTTCCAGTAACATGCCATGCATGCTTTTAGAATGTGGGAGGAAACCGGACTACCCGGAGAAAAGCCACGCAGGCACGGGGAGAACATGCAGACTCCACACACGAAGGCCGGAGCCAGAATCGAACCCTGCACTTCTCCACTGTGAGGCGCTGGGCTAACCGGTTGCAAATAGTAATATACATATATTTATGAAATAAGGGTTAGGTTAATCGACAGGTGGATTTTTTTTTTCTCTGAAACGTCAGCTATAAATTGCAGCATATGGTAAAACCCGTATTGCATCTATGATACTGCTCTGGTCGCCACGTATGTCCACTGTTGCTCACCGTGGCCCAAGGAAGGCTCAGGGAGTTTGTGTGAATGCTCACACACATGGAAAATTAGATGGACAGCCCCCGGCAGACCAGCGTTGATGTCAGTCTTGTCCCCAGGGCCACCCCAAATTGGACCTTGGTTATCGTGCGCTGTAGAGGAATCGTGATTGTGTCGATACAGATGATACTTTTTCATTCTTATATCCCCGAATGTCACTTTTGGACCTGCGGCCTCCTAACCCCGCCCCGGCCCTCGTTGCTTTTCTTCCTCTTTGCCTCTCTCCCCATCCATCCCAGCCCACTCCAAACCCTCGGGTGCCAATGTTATCGTTCGTTTGATCCTCCATGCATCTCATTTGGGGTGCCACAGCGGTGAATCTATTTCAAGTCGCTCAAACTTTTTCCATTTGAAGTGCGGGCCATGTTAGTGTAAATGTCGGTGATGTACACTAATCCACTGTGTCTTGAGTGCGGGATGCTATTTATGACAGATGATAACGATGTGGTTGGGGAGAGAACTGCAAGGGCCAAGTTCTTAGTTTTCATTGGGTCTCGGTGTCTTTGCACACAGTTTGAGACTGGCGCTCAATCATCTGCAGAAAGTACCTCTTAACGCGCGAGCAGTGGTCGGCCTGACAGATGGCTAGAAGCAAGGTTATTGATTGAGAATCCAGTATTAATATAAGCACAAATATGTGATCCATTTTCTCATCCGCTTCTTCTCACGAGGGTGGCGGGAGGTGCTGGAGCCTCTTGCAGCCTCTTTCGGGCGGGGGACACCCTGAACCGGTTGCCAGCCCATAGCAGAGCACTCATATACAACCAACCATCTGCGCTCACACTCACACCTCGGGACAAGTTCATTTAAGCTGCCATGCCTGTTTTTGGAATGTGGGAGGAAACCAGAATACCCATAGAAAAGCCACACCGGCACGGGGAGAATATGCAAACGCCACATGGGAGGTCCAGAGCCGGAATCGAACCCTACACCTCCGCACTGTGAGGCAGATGGGCTAACCAGTCGTCCAACGGGCCGGCTTTATCTGCGATTGAATTCAACCGACTTTCTTTGGCGTTTGTGTTTACCAGGTGTGGGATTACGAGTTAGAGAGAAGCGCCGAGCACTGGGCCCATACCTGCCGATGGGAACATGGACCAAGCTACATGTTGACTCAAATAGGCCAGAACCTTGGCGCACACTGGGGCAGGTGTGTATGTCCCAATCCGACAGAAGATGTCACTTTTCTTCTTTGGCTTTCTATGTCTGATTTTTACTTTGTGTCCAGCACTTTGAAGGTGCTCTGTTTAAAAAAAAAAAAAATAAAATCCTAAGATTTGCTTTTTCATTCACTCATTTTTTTTTGTTTGGTTGTTTTTTTTTTTCCTCCTCTTTCCCATCCGCTCAGGGACCGCCCTCCCACCTACCATGTGCAGGCCTGGTATGATGAAGTGAGGTACTACAGCTACCCTTACTCCCAGGAGTGTAACCCACACTGCCCTTTTCGATGTTCGGGACCTGTTTGCACTCACTACACTCAGGTAATGACTGTCACATTTGCATGCCTTTCAGACTCAATTACGTCCTCACCACAGCTCCTTGGATGACACGGATTAGGAATCCAATCGAGCTGTAAAAATGGTCACACGAGCTGTGGATGACTCCGGTGTTTTTTGTTGCATTCCATAAATCCCCCAAACTACAAATTTGTTGAATTAAATCAACAAAAATACGTCTGGAAATATAACTTAAAACATTTGCAAACAGGATTTATTTAGCCTCGTTTTGACTGCATTTGTGTGAGGTCCCGTGTGTTTTTCTTGTGTATTTCTCTGTACTCTCTAATTTCCCCAGCCTCCTCTTGACCAGAGAACCTTTTTTGCACCCAAAAAAAAAAAAAAAAGGAGAAAAATGTTGGATTCACGAGGTAGCTACTCAAGGGCTTTTATTTATTTTGGCTGTCTAAACGTCCTTTCGGCTTAAATGCTGGTGGAGCTATACTGGGAGTCAAAACAAAACAGAAGACTGGAAGACTGTGCCACTCCAAGAGTCCAGCAATGCTGGATGTGAACTATTCAGAAATTAGACCCATATGTGACAGATGGTCCACAAGTTGTTTCTCATCATCCGCGATCAGTCACCCGACAACAAGATGGGCGCATGGCATTGTGCGCCAATACCGTAGGATACAGTAATTGAGACAAAGTTTCAGACATTTAAGCCAAACGCGTTTGCTGTGTTTGTATGTCTTTCATTTTCTAGTTGGTGTGGGCCACAAGCAATCGTATTGGCTGCGCCATCAACGTGTGTTACAACATGAACGTGTGGGGAATGATCTGGGCAAAAGCTGTCTATCTGGTCTGCAACTACTCACCGCCGTAGGTTGTTTTTTTTCATTCTGAAATCAGGCGCATCTGGATTTCCGTGCCGGTGCTAGCCTCCTCGTTCAACCTTCACCAGGTTGAACGTGCCTGGCACTCAGGATGTTTTCTTTGAGGGGCGCACATGACAATTTGGTGGCTGAATAATAATAATAATCTGTATAATTACTCAATTGAACAATCATTAAAATATGGAGTTCTTTTTTGCTTTCAAGAATATATATTTATTTGTTTGTTTTTAGGGGGAACTGGTGGGGTCATGCGCCTTACAAGTATGGCGCGCCATGCTCTGCTTGTCCAGCCAGCTATGCCGGAGGATGCCGAGACAATCTGTGCTACAAAGGTGGGCAAATCAGGAGATTGTTTTAAGGGGTGTCAATTTTCCACCATTACCCAAAAAAGTTCCATGGGGGATTTTTTTTTTTTACATGCATTCTTAATTTAACCACGAATTAGTTTATTCAACTTAATTTATGAATTGTTTGTTCATCAACTGTAATTGATTGAATTCGGAATTAAATGGTGAAATAAAAAAAAAAAAACATACTGTAGCAAATTTATTCATGAGGAAAAATTGCAGGGGGGGAAAAAGTCAGCTGAAATTTATCAAACTAACGTTAATTTTAACCAAGATTTTACGACATGACGTTTTATTACAACTGCATTTTTAAGACCTCTGCTATAGAATCAATTGCAATCTTGGTTAACTTGTAAATTCACATCTCCACTTATTCCTGTTGATCTCCATTGGAAGATTCCACATTGAATTATGGGATTTTACCCCCGATTTTACCGATCAACGTACAAGAAAAAGCCCCACTCTGTCAAACACAATTTAACTTCAGCAACAAAAGTCCTACGTCACGTGCCAACTCCGTTTTCAGACGGAGGTGTTGACAGGCGCCCCGCTCCAGAGACCGAGGAGACCAACTACATTGAACCCGAGCCGGATGCAGTGCGAGAGCGGGAGGCCCAACCCAGGGCCCGAGATCCGGACCGCTCACCACCTTCTGAGGACATGGAGAGAAAGCAGGTCATCAGCACCGAGCAGATGTGTAAGCAATAATTCCTGTGACTGAAAGATGAAGTCATGCGGCCATTCCGGCAGATGTCATCGTAACTCGCGGTCTCGTGTTCTTACAGGCCAACAGATGGACTGCGACACCAAGCTGAGAGATCGCTGCAAAGGAACGACATGTAACAGGTACAGGCGCAGGAATCGGCAACTCATTGGCCGCCGTTCACACTGAAGAGTTCAAAAAAAAAAAAACGGACTACCGTTTGATCCTACCCATAGATATGAGTGTCCACCCGGCTGCTTTGACAGACACGGAAAAGTAGTTGGGACGACGTCGTACGACATGGTAAGCGATCGCCCACAATGATGGAGTGCTTGCACTGTAACAGTAGCGTGTGGTGGGAGGTCATCTTCACGGTTGGAATGCGTGTGGTCTGGTGTGTCAACAACCCAGCAATCCAGCGTGTGTGGAGCCGCCTTGCACGCCGGTGTTATCGACAATGATGGAGGATGGTTGGATGTGACGAGACTGGGTCGAAAACAACAATTCACCAAATCGTACAAGAATGGCATTCAGTCCATTGGGTATGTTTCCGAATTACTCGCCAAAAGCAGGCGCTTGTTTTTCTGCCGTGTTGCCATGCGCTCCTTTCTTGACATTTTCTTTCATCACGCAGGAAGAATAGAAGTGCAAATTCCTTTAAAGTGCAGTCTGTGCCTGGTAGGAACCACTTGTGGAAAACACGGTTCTCTGGAACAACTTTCCATTTTGTCATTTTGCTGTACTTTTTTTTTTTTTTCTCCCAGTCAAGGCAGTAGCATGTGACACCACCGTAGCGCTGTTCTGTCCCTTTAAGAAACCAGTGCGACACTGTCCAAGGTAACCTATGGGGTTTTTTTTTTTTTTTTTTGAATCTACAAATGCCTGACTCAAATATGCGTAAATACACGGTTAGATGTATGTCATTTGTACACGTCGAGCCTCTTGATTGGCCGTATCTTCACATGTGACTTTTGCCGCCGTCCTGTCGTACGCTTTGGAGTCAGGTTGGCGTGCAGGAAGCGCACTTAGCGTTGTTGCATTTCATTCTTGCAGTCATTCCAATTTAAAGAATCTTGAATGAACGGTACTTTGCCACGGGTCAATGGAGGATGTGGACTGTCTCCGAAACACACAAAATAAACAAACGCCGGCAGCGTTGTCGTAAAGTCCCATGAGAGAAAACAGCCACTCGAAAGGCTCGATGTTCATGATGTTATTGTGAAAACAGGACGGAAGAGGTTCCGCCAGTGTGTCTCTTCTGAACGTGACGATCGTGAAACCTGCCATTTGATGATGTTGTCTTTTGCTTTAGGTTGTATTGTCCCAAGAATTGCCTTGGCGGGAGTCAGGCCAGAGTGATCGGAAGTAAATATTACGCTGACGTAAGTTCTTCACCTTCTTTTCAGAATGCCTATCGGGACGCTCCAATATAAAGTGCAACAGCGTACAGTTTAAAACGACAACAGCGCAGCAGAAAATGTCGTGTGACAGAATGATAACGTTCCATCCAATGATTGACCGCTTCATGTAAGATTCTGGCCAAGCAGGAAGAATATGGTCCGTGGGATGAATTATGTCAAATGCGTTTGCCTTATCCCTTTTCAGAAATCAAGTATCTGCCGAGCGGCCCTTCATGCCGGAGTCATCCAGAATGAAGCTGGAGGTTACATCGATGTGATGCCGGTGGACCGCAGGAGGCAGTACAGCGGCACTTCCCAAAACGGCATCACCTCAGAAAGGTACCGACTCCACCGCACCAGGCGGTTTTTCTTTGCGCGTCTCATGTGTCGTTTTGAATGTAATGATCATAAGAAAATGTCTGGGTTCAGCCTCACGCTCATCCGTTGATCCTTCCCTCGTGCTTTTTGCAGCTTACGTAACCCGACGGGAGGAAAAGCCTTCAGAGTGTTTGCTGTCATCTGAAATGGAAGCATCGCAAACAGATCCAAGGACAGACTCTTCACTCACTCAAGATATCAAGCTTTCCTACGAAGGAACGATCACGTTTCTCCGCCATTGATACGAACGGTAAAACAGGCCTCAACACAACTGAAATCAAGTCATCGATAGCTTGGCCAAAGAGGTTGACGAATGACCCGCGAGTACTCCAATCAGGCACTCAATAAAGGCGCCCGCAGTTTGGGAACCTTGCTGTGTCCATGCACTGCCTCGCCACGCTGCCCACACAGTTCCCAATAATGGACTTTCATTCCGAAAGACCCAAAAAAACCAACTCTGCAGCCATTTTAACTTGGGCGAAAATCCAGCGCTTCAAAGACCCGCCGTACCTCACTATGAAGACGAGTTGTGAATGATTGAGCGTCTTCATTTGTCGTGCTGCGTTAGCTACTGAGCTTTTTAAATTGGACTGTGCAGCTCAAGCTGTCAAGTTTGTCAAATCCGCTTTTACGTGTGTGCCGTTCAAGTTAACTGATAAATATACGGCCTGTCCACAAAACTCTCCATTTCACGCACATTTTTGAGGTCGTTTTCATTCTAATAGTCTGTCACACTCTACATCATCTCATGAAATCGCCGAATGTTTTTGTGGAAACGCCGTCGATATAGACCGTCCCCGTCAATGACTTATTCTTGTTGTGGACGGCGACAGACGGTATTCATTGGCATCATTCGCTTCACTTGACAAGCTACATTCCTCGGAGTATGAAATATCATCCGTATATGTATATACATAATGCATCCAAACGTAAATACGAACGGAATTTTCACCATATGTGGTATGAGAGAGTGCTTTTGCATTCGACGCTCCTTCTTCTCAACTGTGTGGCCACCTGAATCTCACTCACTAAATAACTAGAAAACTTCAACACAAACATATTATATTTAACACTGATACTTTTTGAAAGATGATATTTTTCTTACTTTTTACACCCCTGGCTGGCCAGGTATGTGCATGATAGGATTGACAGGCAATAAAATCACTTTGAGAGACATTAAAAAAAAAAAAAAAAAACATGAAATGTTTGTGTACATTTTTTTTGGGCCTCTCGTCCGCAATGTTGTTCCGATGTGGTGCGATGGTCCACGTTACACACCATCTTGTCATTTTACATCTCTAAAAATGAAAGTAAAGCATGTCGTTTTTTGGAGTAACCTTTCCACAAGTGTTTACAGCTACTAATGTGTGTAACAATGAGATGATAAACATTGAAATATGTTGTAAATGTGTCATCGTCAGATTTAAAAAAAAAAACACATAGGGTGTTTTTGATGCCAACCTGTTTCCCAAATCGATTGCCGTATGTAAATAGGTGAATGGACTTTCAGAAAGCTAAGCGCCATGCTTGCGGTTCTGGGTCTCTTGACAAAAGAGAAAACTCAGTTCCTCGACCTTGATTGGTGTGAACTGAGCACGACATGCCCTGACGTCTCTGAAAAGGGCCCAAATGAGTTTGCGAGCCGCACCACTCGCGAAACCGCCACATACGGTGAGGACGTCAGTAAATCGGTGCCAGGGCCAAAGCCTTCAAAATACTTGACCTCAAACCAAACGTAACTACATTTTATAATCACAGCTTTACCTGTCATCTCATGATCCCTTAAATATTGGTCGTTACAGGCCTGGAGCGTTCAACCCGCAAGATTTAAATACACCAAAATCTAAGGGGTCTTTTCATAGCATTTGACCAAATAGTCCCGACTGTTATTTTGTGTTGGTTTAACAACGCACTCCTGTCTTGCCAGTTATAGCTACAGTATAAAACCTGCTTGATTGTGTGTGTCAAAGCGACATAGCAATTATGGGGGTGAAATATGTTTGAAATTTGAGCACAGATGGACGTGCCTGACACACACACACCAAAGGGCGTGTGTGCTTTTGCGGATGAATGAGTAGTTCTGCATGTGTCTGGGAAGTGTAACTGTGAGTCACTCTCATGGTTCTCCCACTATGAAATTGGCTCCTAAGGCGCTAAATTCCCGGGTGGACACTGGACACACACCATGCATGACTATCTGCGGACACGTATTATGTGTGTGCGTGTGTGTCCTTTTTTTTTTTTTTTTTTTTTTTCATAAGCATAGTTAGCAGCTGTGTTTTGGTTGCGAAACATGGTCATCATTTCCCATTGCTGGGTTTTCTGTAGGATGACATTTATTTATAGCCATTTCCATTTTCTTACGGTACCAAATGCAAAAAGCAGCTTGCAAATCTCATCTGCGCTTGCATGAGAATTAATTGTAAAAAATCTTACTTCTGCACCAAGATGTCAAGAAAGCCTTTCTTAATTCATTCCGCGACTGTTTGAACTCAGGCTTTTTGCTGAATTCCAATCAGGTGTTCGACCTCATCATGGCACAGAAACAGCTTTAACTAAAGTGCAAAATGATTATAACATTGAATATCACACTCACATTGAACCAAGCGTCAATTTATGACAAGTCTCCCGTTGTCCTGTTTTGTTGCTCACCACAAACAGAGCACTCGTGCCAGCAGTGTGGCAGAGTGTCACTGTATGCCGCAGACTCACAAAATTCACTAACTTTCTGCTTATACAGCCCCCCCACCCTCCAAAACCCTCCGCTTGGCACTTTCGTTGCAGAATTGCCTTCCAATTTTTTCCACATTTGCTAAAAATAGTAAGCAGACACCCGGCCAAGCAGCCCTGGTGCCCTTCAGTCGCTTACAGTATGCTGAATATACACACCAATTAGGGGACTATGTTTTTTTTTTCATATTAATACACAGTACACTATAAAACACCATAGTTCTATCTTTATTTACTGTACTGAGTCAAAGGCCATTTGATGCACTGGTTTTGAGGTATTAATTAATTCTGTACAAAGGAGAGAAGGCCTTGAGGGATAACAAACAAACTCGCTGACGTGTTTTAGGTGCTGATGCATACCATGCAGAGACAAATTGGATACATCATATTTTTTTTTCAGTCATTTCATCTCATCTATCGATCGACTTGTTTTGAGACATTTATAATGATGATTGATACTTTTCCTGTTGCTACTATTGAATGCCAGAAGTGGCTCCCTCAACTAACCCAGCTAGCGATCCATTTTCTGGAGCGCCTTAGAGTCACGCGTGAGCTGAAGCTTATCCAAGCTAACTTTGGCCAAGAGTTGGAGTACATAGACGACTCCCTCGACTGGTTGCCAATCCATTGTAGGGCACACATACAAACAACCACTCACACTCACGTTCTCGCCTATAGACAATTGTGAGTCTTCATTTAAATGACCATGCATGGGACGACCATCACGCGGAAAACCCGCAGCTGAAATTTGAACCAAAAACCTCAGAACCGTGAGACAGACGTGCGAGGCCCTTAACCTGACCTATCCGAACCGATCGGTCCGGTAGTTACTACTAAGACCACAAGATGGCGTATGTCAAAAGGATTTGGAGTAATGGAACTATAGTGAATGAGCTTCGTATAAAATATCTGGTGGCTTGAATAGTGCTGTCGGTTTTAGGTAAATAGTTTACAGCAGGACAAATCCATTCTACCTAGAGTGTGTTACACATGCCACTCATTCAACTCTCTGACGGTGAAGTGAAAGTGGGCCCCATCTTGCCGTCATAATGCGGCGGCAGAGCACAGTGCAGCCATTTGTAATTTGTCCTGTTTGATGACACACGAGGTTGGCCAAACCGAAACCCCGCCGTGTGTTTATGCAGCAGCTACCTGGTTTGGAAGAGGACACTGTAAACAGGTAAGAATTCTACAAATAGAATTAGGTCACTTAACAAGATGGTCTTGAGGGGTGGGCAGCCTGTCCCCAGCGTGCGTCAGCACTGACCTTTTTACTGTTTGCTCAAGGGATTTTCATTTTACCTCTTTCTAATTTTCACTTCAGACGCATGAGTGGGAAATTCTTCGTCGCTCCGTTCACAGAGTGATTCCAAATTGGTTTTTTTCTTGCATCGTTATTCGTGCAAACAGTCTGTCACCTGTGTCGCTGAATTGTTTGTTTGTGGATCGAACATATAAATAGATAACAGACATTTGGCAGGATGTATAGGGAAGTTGGAAAAAAAAAGAAAAAACAAATCGTCATCAATTCAGCACAATTTACCTGTTCGAAGGAAGTAGGAAGAAATAAAAAACGTATCTAGTCCTACCCCTTGTTCTTTGAGAATTTGAACGTGTATGATATTAATATAAGAAAACATTCATTTCGTATATCTCAATCTGAAAAGAAAAGGAAAAGAAGTCGACATATAGACCCACTCAAGTATACAAATGCATTTACACTATATATATATATATATATATATATATATTTTCTGAACCACTTTATCCTCGCAAGGGTCGTGGGTCGTGCTGGAGCCTACAACTTTGGGTATGTACAGGGAGACGTAAGCACACACTGGCACCTTTATATCTCACTAAACTCTCATCCTTAAATTAATATTCCGTTACATTACAGCATTTATTCAATTTAAATATATATATTTTTTTTTTGTCAGAACACGTTTCTGAACACAGCAAGTGATTCACACGTCAGGTCAGTTTCAAAATGATTTCACAAACGCCTTTGCTTAATGTTTGTTTTTGTTTTGGATTTTTCTGTAGTTAAATCACAGCAACGCTCTCTAATTCCAAAAGGCTTCTGAATATTGTGGCGCCATCGTTTAACAATTCAGTTTGACAATACCCGATGCAATATTATTTGATTCTTTATTTCCTTGTGATTGTTTTCACAAAGTCACGAGCCAGGCTTCTCATGAATGACTCTCGCAGCGGTCAGTTGCTGAAACTCTCTTGGCAATCATCTTCAGCTGTTGCTTGCCAAAAAAACAAAACAACCGTTCCTGGGAGAGAGTGAGCGGATGCATCAATTTCCAGTAATTTTGTATCCCTTACGAACCCACAGCACCATCTAGTGACATTGCAAATGAGAGCTGCAGTCAGCTCTCATTTGCAATGCCCCTCTCCAGGCTGTTCGACGTGTTTCCCCCCTTTCACACACCTGATTCAAACGATCAGAATCGTTATCAGGCTTCTGCAAAGCTAGCTGATGAGCTGATCATTTGTATCAGGTGTGGGAAACATGTCAAACAGGCCAGATACGTGGTCTCGAGGACCGGGCTTGGGCACCCTTGGTCTATCATTTTTGGTGTAGTCTAATGCAAAGAAAATATCATGCAAACGACCAACGTTTCGACTAGTTAATGAGCACGAAAATCGAAAGGCGAATGACAGCCACAAGACTGCTGATAGATTATTTTGAAAGTGAGTCCTTTGTATGCCACATCCCGACCAAAGCTGCTTCCTGTCCGTTGGGATAGGCTCGAATTTACCTGTGAAAGAAAACGTGCAGTTTGAGAATGACTGACTGATGAGTTTGGTTTTTCCGAATTCACGCAGCACACGCAACAAAATGTGTCATCAGGAGTCATCGGGTCATTTGACCTGACATTGTGTAACATTTTGCTTAAAAAAGTGGACCTTTGCATGAATCCAACGTCACACTGACAGGAAGTCATACCAGAAGAAAAATGACTGCATTTATGATTAGTCTGAAATTAGGATCTATTTGTAGCTGCTGTGCTTTCACAAGCAGCTGCGAAACTTTAACATACTTCCCTGAAATAAGCTCACGTACTTATTTGTACTTGTACTTGTTAGAGTCTTATAAGTGTCCAAAAGTAATCCCTGTTTTTTCTGCCTGACTATTTATCCCAGGTAAACTCTGGAAGGCCGCTGTTCTATTCAAAAGAATTGAATTCCTACTCCCGTTGCTTCTTTCCTTTTGGGCTGCCGATTGTCCTCCGAATCCATCGGCCAGAGTCCAAGGTTTTTATGACCGCTAAGTTGTCTATCCTGTGCTCGGGTGCGTTACCGCCCCAGCCTGAACTTCAACACCTCAGCTCTACCCATAATGCACTGTGGGAAAGGTAACACCCATTTTGTTGACTCGTAGGAAATCCGAGGCAGACGCTCCCAGCTTGAAGAGAAGTGGCAACAAAAGGCAAAGTCGCAAGAAAAGAACATAGTTGGCGGTTAGATTCCCAACCTTTCATGTGAGTGCTGTTTCGAGTTGTCGCCATCTTTGAGCCAGATCCTTCTGTGACTTCTGTTGTTCGTTTTCATGGGAATTCTTTCTCTACCTTTTGGAATTTCACCCAAGGTGAGAGAGCGAGAAGAATGACAGAGAGCGGGGGAGGAGCTGTGGGATTCGCTCCATGTCTGCAGTCAGTTCTGTTCATGTTAAACAAAGTGTCACATGGGGCCACGCTCTTGAGGCACTGGAGGGAAAGGGAGAGAAAACAACAAGGAGAAAGGAGGAGGGAGGAAGGGAAAAAAGACACACTTTGGCCTTTCTTACGTGCGGGAAGACGCATTCAGCCGAGCCTCGAGGAAATTCGATCACGCTTGACCAAAACAACAGCTTGAAGTGTCTTAACTGGGTCATGCGTGGATTGTTTTCTACCTGCTGACTTCTTTAACACAACTCCGTCTGCTCTCCAGGCAACGGCGGGGTCAAGATGCCCACCAACTTCACCGTGGTGCCAGTGAATGATGACGAGGACAACGACAACAAAGCCGCCGCAACTGCAGGTGACAAACCTGTGAGCCTCAACAATATTTTTCGGGATGAAGATAAGGATGATAACTCGGATGGATCCCAGTCAGGTAGGAATGAGAAGCGGGAGAAAACTGCATGAGTGGAAATGTTGGCTTGTGATTACAACCATGTGCTCAGAGAGGTCCGCCTCCCGTTTGCGCTGCGGGTCACGGGGGTTTTCGAGGCTTCCCAAGGCGTTTACACTTCAATGCATCGGTGTGTCATTGAACAGCCCGAGCAAAAGTCTTCAGACACAAACAATCACATGTTGCAGCAGGCATGCGGGCGTGAAATGCGTCACGATTCACCCGCTGGCCATCTCAATGAGCTAACCGCAGCGGTCTCCAACCTTTTCTGTGTCACGGACCCGTGAGACAAGTACATGCCGCATCAATTTTGCATGATCATCAATCTGCATGTGAATGTAGCAGTCCTTTTTGACCGTGCAAGTAGTATAACATCATTTATTTTGCTTCCTGCTAAGAATGCAAAATGTCTGGCTCATCCTGGCACTTGAGCTCACAGATCGCTCTGGTGTAACGCAAATAAATAATGAGGCTCTCAGCATCTGCATTAACGATTAAAACGGTTTGAGTGACAAAGGCAAACCAAATGTAAAAGAGTTAGAGAGAAGTTGGATTTACATGGAGACTTTTTTTTTTGTCAGTCTGATTGAAATCATTCCGAAGAACAAGTAAGCGAAGATGAATTTTCATGAGTTTTCGTCAAAAAGGCATAGTTAGCAATCGTGGTAAAATCATTTAAAAAAAATTCTAGTTGAAAAAAAGAATCCAACTTGATAGATCCAAGGAAAGCACAGTGCAAACCATGAAACTTCACCTCCCCCTCCTCCTACATAACGGGAAACCTGTATAACTATATGGAAACAATAACATAGGTGCGTTTTCCATGACCGTCTCCTTTGGCCAGCATTGTTTCCATCATCTGGCAGCAGGTTGCATTACAATGTACACTCAGCACCTTTCAAAAGTCTTGGGCTGCCGCTAGCTTTGTTATTTATAATGGCTATTTTCCCAGCCGGTATTGTGGCATAACAAAAAAAAACAAAACACACAAAAAAAAAAAAAAAAAAATCAAAGTTGGAAGAGACAAAACTAACTTTGTACTCAATTAGCAGAGAAAGTGAAATCACTAATTCCTAGAATAATCCTGTTGCTTCCTGGTGGACTTCAATTGGAGTCCCCCTTCTAACTAAAAATAAAATGAGGAAAGCAAGACTTACAGAAGGCCTAAAAAAAAAAACAAAAAAACAAAACGCAAGCATGAGGACAGCATGTAAACTCCACACCGTAGTGATCCAAACCTGGAACATGGCACCTTTCGACTGTGAGGAAGATGTGCTCACCACCTGGCCTTGGAATAAATCCGATCCATAAATTAGGATTAGGGAAAAAAAGGTGACTTGAAAAATAGCAACCCCTCCATTCTGCAAAGATGTGGAAAGCAGAGCACGCGGGCTGGAGCTGTGCTTCTGGCAAGCAGCTGCATCCACTGCCTCCTTTCCTTCTTCACGGCTTTCATGAATGTGCGACCGAATGAAGGGCCTTGGTTTCTGCGAGGCCTTTTATGATCAGGAGACAACAGTGTGATCTATTGTGACAACGGACTGGAGCAGACATCTGAGGCTCACGGTCAACAGCCATGCCCACTACAAAGTTTGAGTGTTTGTGTGGCCTCTGGACAGTCTGGATGTTGAGTTCACAGTTGACCAACTGTTCTGTTACAATGTAGAAACATATCGGATACAAAGAGCATTTGTTTACTTGTTTGCGCCTACAGTTGTGTCATTTATTTGCATGTGTTGCATAACACACGTGATTTTGTCTGTGAATCCCTTCAGGGGATGACATTCAAAGGGAGTCACGCCCATTCATCAACTCGGCCCGTGAGGTGGAACAGTATGATGGCAAAAACATGGCCTTGTTTGAGGTAAGGCTTGAAAAACACGTTCGCCAATTCTGTCAGTCAACTAAACTTGCAAATTCATATCGTTCGAACTTGACGTGTGGCACAGAATGACACTGTAAATATTATATTTGAACTTAGCGTTCCGTCGCCGTTTGCGCACCTTGTCATGTCTGCATGTGTGATCCTCTGTGTGTACTGTACATTGACTTTGTCCCATAAGGGCGTTTAACCAGTAAAAATACATAAATAAATACATATTATTCTGTTAAACACGACCGTTTTATTATGTTTCCACCATCACTTTGGTTCCAGATATGTGAGGCAAAGCTCGGGGGGGGGCAAAACCAAAAAAGAGCAAAATGGTTTCTAATTTCCATTTTCTTCTATGCTCCTTTGAAGGAAGAAATGGACAGCAACCCAATGGTGTCATCTCTTCTAAACAAACTCGCCAATTACACCAACCTCACCCAAGGTGTTCGGGAACACGAGGAGGCCGAAGATGGGGTTAGAAGGGTCGCCATCATGGTATGAACTTTTAACTCATTTAATTAATTGATGCCACAATGTAAAAATCTGTTTGCAAAAACCCAATCATTTAGTGTCAAAACGTGTAAATCCGTTTTTTTGTTTTTTTTTTTGTTTTTTTGTTTTTTCACCATTAAAAAATGTGAATAAAAGACTTCGGGCACCTCCTCAGTCAGTATCGAGGCTGTAGGAATTATTTTTTTGGGATGAAAACTCACCGATAGATGGCAGGACTGGCTCTGATCAGATCTTGGTCGCACGCAGTGTGAGTGGGTGTGGATGTGGAGTGCGGTACGGCAATCCGACGGCACGAGGTGAGGTGTGGAAGCAGTGTGGTGTTGAGAACATGGAGAAATACCGGCAGCTAACTCTACAACTTATTACTTTTTCAAAAAAAAAAAAAAGATGACGAAGTCCCTTCGTCATCCTTGGCGAACACAGATATGAGTATTTCCAAGAAACTTACCAATGTTCAACTGCTGTTGCCTAACAATGGTAAAAGGGAGAAATGTTCAAGCTTCCTTTTGGTAGGTTCCATTCTTGTGTAGCTCGAGAACTTTGTAGGACTTGAAAAATGAATCAAAATGGTCAGAAATGGCTGGCACCGGCTCTCCCAGTTTGACAAAAACAGGAATGAGTTGATCAAAGGCGATAATTTGCAATGGAAAAATTGCTTCTTGAGTTGGCCTGGATTGTCAGTTAAGTCACACGGGTCGCTGAGCAAAAACACCTTTCAATTTGTTCATTGAGACTGCCCCCCCCCCAACCCCCTTCAGTAGATTGATTTTGACACACTGCATCACATTCAAAAAGTTGCTTTGAAGATTTGTTCGGTTACTTTCGGGCATGGTCGGATTTGTTTCTAGTATGATGTTATAAGAGAAAAACAGCAGTATGTCTGATCAAATACAAGCCGGCGTCTATGTCAAACAATTCATCCAATGTCCAAAAAGGTTTTGGGGGCATGCTGGAGACACTGCACAAAGAGATTTTTTTTTTTAAATTCAGCAAGCTCATAACGATTACTTTGTAGAGCAGAACGAATCTCTTCATTGGCTTTTTTTTTCCCCGCTAAAGTCTGGGCACCACTTCTTTTTCTTCCGTGAGTTGTATGTGCCGTGTCTAAATGAAAGTTGAGGTAAAACCGGTATGATTGTCAATACACGTTTCTTCTGTTGAGACTCGTGCACAATACCATTCTCATCTTTCGCCGCAAAAGCATCGATTGGAAAATCCGATTCTCCTTCTCTTGGAAGGTATTGCACCATATAATACGTGCGACCAATGACATTTTCTTAAGCGACCTCCGCGCAAATGATCTCAGGCGGCTAGAAGAAGGGTGACAGAACACTGAAAAAGCGCTGCCTTGTGAAGTGGTCTAATGATGCCGTTCTAAATCCCGCCTCCCAAGTCATAGCCTCGCTCTTTCTGTGGTCGTCTTGAGTTCTTGGGCTCGGTACTCAGAAATAGGGCAGAACGATGCAAGCTGGCTGCAGGGAAGGAAGTCAAGAGAGAGCTTAAGCACAAAACGGGAGATGTGGGAGATTTGGAAGTCGACATCAGGGCCCTTGCAGGGTGTTGACGAACAACTGAAAGCCATGGAGAAAGTGCAGAACCGCATTTTTAGGACGACAGAAAAAATGGTACGTACATGTGGCTTTTCATTCAGGAGCCAGACGTGATGGCGCTTTTCACGCAGAGCGGAGCTGTTGCTCTGCCTTATGAGTTGCAACGCAAGGGTTCATGTCCTGATACTGCCCAGTGAGGGAAAAGGACCGCGTTGGACTTGGAGATTCTTTCGGTGCCGTTTTGCACAAGTGACCCCAGTCTCCATAGATTTCTCTTGTATCACGTTGTGTTAATGCAATTCTTAAATTGCACTGCATTATAATAATGCTGATTATTATTCATCGTATGATGATGATTACAATACAATGCAATACATCTTTATTAATCGAGAGCTTTCGCAACAGATGCAGCTGTAACAAAGATGATTATAATTCTTGAATAGCAAGGTTGAGGTACAGTTAGTTCAACAACAGTGTTTGCGGTTTTAATATTTGCCGGATTAAAAATTCTGATGACAAACTAATCTGATGATTCATTGAAAATATGCTTAATATTGGAAGTCACTTTTTGGGTCCTTGAATGCAGACAAGGAGGAGCATATGCATTACGGGCAGAACATTTAACTGTTGTAGGTTGTGTATCGGATGGCGCTTTCAATGAATGGAAATCGTAGCGATGATGTTGATCACTGTCTCATCTTCATCTTCCGATGTCCAAACTGAATGTTTGAAAATAATTGAATCGGAGACATTTGAGAGAGTGAGAGAGAGCTAGCTCGATAGCGAGAGATGGCCGGATGGACGGACGGATGGACGGACGGATGGAGGGAATCCCGACCTTTGCTTGGTCTCACCCGTTTGTCTCTTGCTTCTCAAGGTACCCCAAATGGGAACGTTCATCGGGGTGTACCTGCCCTGCCTGCAGAACATTCTGGGTGTGATCCTTTTCCTGCGTCTCACCTGGATTGTCGGAACGGCGGGAATCCTCGGATCCTTCGCCATTGTGTCCATGTGCTGCATTTGCGTGAGTCACTTCACACTTCATCAAACAACCGGGATGATGGGAGATGTTCAGAAAGTGAGCCGCTCAACAAAGAAAGAATGACGGAATACTTTCACTGATTTTTTTTTTCACATCCAATTGATTTTGGTGCCTGATCAGTCAGGGTTTCGGAGAAGCAACGTTGAATATTTTTGATGTGGTTCGGTTAGATTGAGTATGTCAGCAGCTCGAGGACGCTTGACAGAGGGAGGATTGTTCCTCAACACTCGTGATGTGAGCAATCGGCACTCGTCGCGCTACTCCCCTCCGGGGTTTATGCACTCGGATGCTTTTGCCAAACAATATGATGGGATAAAGAACATGTCGCTATCAGTTTCACAATTGGTGAATGGAAACGAGGCCCAGCACAATCTCACTTAATTAGTGATCATGATCAGAAAGCACTTCTGACCAGAGCCACCCCCTCCCACAACTTGTCCGATGCAATTCCACGAAAACATACACGCACACACACACATCTATATTCACTTACTTTTTCCCACCCGCACTGTGAATGTTTACATGGTGTCATTCCAAAGCTTTCGCATACTTTTTCGAGCATCTGTCGCTCACCTCCATGCAGCCTGATTCCAGGTCAACTCAAGCGGGTTCTTCTTTGCCCCGCAGACGTTGCTCACAGCCATATCCATGAGCGCCATCGCAACAAATGGAGTTGTCCCAGGTAAAATAACTCTCCTAGTTTTCCAGACACAACTTTACAGATGTTGCTGTAGCAGGAAAAATAGTTGGGATGTTTCCTAATATGCTGTCAAATGAATGTCGATACATAATGTCCTGATCTGTCTACAAACAGACCGTTACCGTTGCAATGCAAAACGAAGCCTTTTGAGTTTGCCGAAATCTAACCAGGATAAAGTTTCTCTAAAGCGGGCGGCTCCTACTACATGATCTCCAGATCACTGGGACCCGAGTTTGGCGGAGCGGTCGGTCTCTGTTTCTACCTGGGGACCACCTTTGCCGGATCCTTGTACATACTCGGCACCATCGAGATTCTGCTGGTATGTGGCCACGGTGGTGGTTGCGAGGCAAGACTCGGACGCTTTTCACTCAGACGTGTCCTCCCGCTGACTCTCCCTCGTCAGACCTACATTGTGCCGACAGCAACGGTGTTTGAGGCCAAAAGTATCGAGGAGGAAGGAACGGCCGCCCTCAACAATATGCGTGTCTACGGAACTTGTTGTCTGCTTCTGATGGCGCTGATTGTGTTTGTCGGGGTAAAGTATGTATCCACGGTCACACAAAAGCACCCGGCTACACGGACCTATTCCACTCGATGGTTTTGCCCTCTGGTGCGCAGGTATGTGAACAAACTGGCTTTGGTGTTTTTGGCCTGTGTCATGCTGTCCATCATGGCCACCTATGCAGGAGTCATCAAGACTGCCATTGAACCGCCAGAGTTTACGTGAGTAACCGGCCAAATAAGCGCTTCTTATTTAGCGGCGCGCTTTCCTAAATAGTGGGTGACACGGCGAACGGGGTTTTAAAAGACATGATTTTCAGAGACCGACCGTGAATGCTCTCAGCAGACTTAAGTCACTTCTCAGCAAGCAATCGATATAATCATATAGATTATAGGCAGACAGCGAGCAAATCTTCAAAAAACGTCTTCAAGCTCTCCTACTCGTAGTTTACTGTCAAATCGGTACTTTGAAGACAAGAATGGCCAGACTCTTGGTGTCAAATGACCAAATAGGGTATTTTTTATATTATACATTTTCTGTAACAGTCGAATAAGGGTAGTACAAACCTATATATCTCTTTTTTTAAATAAAGCACAACCATGTTCACACATCATGTGGAAACACCATAGATGGGCCAACGATTAACATAGTCGTCACGGTATGTAACCCAGGGGTGTCAAACTCATTTTTGTCGAAATGGCAGTATAATGTTCACACATCATGTGGAAACACCATAGATGAGCCAACGATTAACATAGTCGTCACAGTATGTAACCCAGGGGTGTCAAACTCATTTTTGTCGCGAGCCACTTTGAAGTTACGTCTTCCCTCGGTGGACCGTTAAGACGGTGAAACCGAATAAATATTTAATCATCACATCGTATTATTACTTGTACACAAAAAAATGATGGCTCACTAGTGTTGAAATAAGTTCAGTATTTGTTCAATTATTACTCGGAGTATAAATGCGGGAACAAAATTATTGCAAAATGTCACCGGTATTTATTACGCATGACAATTTGAGGTTTCCGCAGACTTAAGCAAGGATCATGGAAGTTGACACAGATGATTTGCTTTTGCGGGCCACATAAAATGACGTGGCGGGCCAGATCTGGCCCGGGCCTTGACTTTGACACATGTGATATGACCCTTGAAGCAAACATATGTTTGAACTGAAACGGTGGAGCAAAACATGAAGACAGATTATACAACTCTCACAAGCATGTTTTTTCCGCTAAATATGTCTGCCGATATGGCTGTATTAATTATTTTCCTCATTAACTGGTGGCTTGTGTCGACTGTCTGTCATCTAGTGTGTGTCTTCTGGGGAACCGTTCTCTGAAGAATGACAAGTTTGAAGTGTGCGCCAAGACCGAGACGCTGAACAACCAGACTGTGACCACCGATCTCTGGAAACTTTTCTGTAACAGCGAGCATCTCAACGCCACCTGCGATGACTATTTCAGTCTCAATAACATTACGGAGATCCCGGCTATTCCCGGGCTCTTGAGCGGCGTTTTGAAAGGTGACATTTTTACCGTTCAAACTGTTTGATTCGCGATAGAACTTGGGCGAAAGGTCGATTTCTTCTCTCCTTGCTTTTGTTGGCGACTCAGACAACCTATGGGGTGACTACGGTCCAGCTCATACGGTCATCGAGAAGAAAAACCAGGAATCGGTAGAGGCTCAGGACAGTTCCGGCGATGTCTATAAACCCTACGTCTTCAATGACATGGCCACCTACTTCACACTGCTGGTGGGAATCTACTTCCCCTCAGTTACAGGTGAATACTGTGATATGGCGAGAAAGCCCAGGCCACAGAATGTGTCCCGTTGCTTCAGGTGCCATTAAAACTGAAGGCTTGTGTTTTTGTCTTGTTCGTTGCAGGGATCATGGCTGGCTCTAATCGATCCGGCGATCTAAGAGATGCCCAGAGGTCCATCCCCGTTGGGACCATCATGGCTATTCTCACCACTTCTTTCTTCTGTATCCTTCACGTGCGTCTCATTCAAATGAATACCGCAAAAGGTCAACATTTTAACCCCGAGGACATTAAGTGCGTCTTCAGAAATTATCAGTCACGTGGGATCAGAATTTCTGTTTTCTATCATTCCATTATGAACAGCCGTTCTATTTAGAGGGGACGGAGCGCCTAAGGCGACATGGAACAACTTTGCGTTATCTCTCAGCCTTTGCGAGGGAATTGATTTCTTAGGGGACAGAGCGCCTAAGGTGACATGGAAGGGAACCCTCCCCCCACCATGCCCCCACAAAAACGTTGCAAAAAAAAAAAAAAAACAGAACAACAACTTTGCGTTATCTCTCAGCCTTTGCGAGGGAATTGATTTCTATTTTGTATGTCATGTCCTTTATGTGCCGCGTATCCATTGTATGGTCAAGAATTTCATCTCAATTCCAACATCAGACATCTCATGTGTGCTATTGTTTGGAGCATGTATCGAGGGAGTGGTGCTGAGGGACAAGTGAGTGGTTCTTTATGACCCGTTTCATGTGTCGGACATCGAGATGTTTTTGTCACTGAGCTGGATCCTTACTGACAGCTTCGAATGGTTGACACCTTTGCGCTTTGTGTCGAGGCCCAAAATAACCTTGGCTGTGCCCGTTCCAGGTTTGGGGACTCGGTCAAGAAAAACTTATGACCCGTTTCACGTGTCGGACATCAACGAGATGTTTTCGTCACCGAGCTTTGAACGGTTCACACCTTTGTGCTTTGTGTAGAGGCCCAAAATAACCTTGGCTTTGCCCGTTCCAGGTTTGGGGACTCGGTCAAGAAAAACCCAGTGATTGGAATCCTGGCCTGGCCGTCGCCTTGGGTTATTGTCATCGGATCGTTCTTTTCCTGTTGTGGGGCTGGGCTTCAAAGCCTGACCGGGGCCCCCCGGCTTCTTCAGGCCATCGCTCGGGATGGCATCATCCCATTCTTACAGGTCAGCGCCGTCCGCACCGTCTGCGTCGGCATGACACAGACAAGTTCAGAAGTTTCAAAAGTGGCCGGCAATGAATGCGTCTTGGGAGGTTTGCCGAGGCGCCTGTGTGTGCAGTCTGTGAGTTTTCCTCAGGTACTCGGCTTTCCTCCCGTATTCCAGAAACATGCTTCTGAAGTTCGCCGCAATAAGAATAAGTGTGAATGTGAATGCAAACGTGGAATTGTTTGTTTTGATGCGCCGGGTAATTCATTGGCTGTTGGCCGGTCCGGGGCCACCCCGCCTTTCATCAGCTGTGATGGGCTTGAGCTGACCTGCAAAGAGAAGCAGTTAAGAAAATTGATGGTTGCAAGCTGTCCTCAAGTCAAGACAAACGTCGTTCCGACAGTCCAGGAGTCTCGTTCGAATTCTTTGATGCCCAAGATGAAGACCTCATGAACATTTTCTCTCCTTGTCTTGTCTCTCTTAGATTTTTGGTCATGGCAAAGCCAATGGGGAGCCCACTTGGGCTCTGTTGCTGACAGTCGGGATCTGTGAAATCGGAATCCTCATTGCCTCTTTGGATGCCGTGGCTCCCATTCTCTCCATGTACGTACCGAATGTTGTCAGTCGACTGAGATCTAAACACATGAACCGAATATTGACTCAGATAATCACGTGACGATATTAAATCAATTGCTCAGGCCGAGTGGTTCTTTCTTTTTTCCACCAGCGGCAATTGGCTCTTGCTCCGAAGCTTGAAACCGGTTTCTTAAGGTGGACCCAATTATTTGCAGGGCCAGACACTGGCACCAACTACATTAGGGGACGGGGGGCGGCGTTGTCATGATGATGACGAATGTCGAGGAATGGCTCTCTGGACACTCGGAAGTTGAGCTGTTGTTTCCCCATCGTTTTTTTTTTCTCTTTCCGACATTCTAATACAAGTTGCAAAAATGCTTTTCCTATCTTTTTGCCAGCTCACTTTTTTTCTTCAGACTCAGAGTTGAATTACATGCTGAGAGGTTTATTCCAAATCCATTGGGGCTGTGTTTAGTTACAAAAAAAACATTAGGACTGAACTGTACTGCAGCCATGTATTGACTTCATTGTTCAATTTGAAATTATTCGATGTCTCTTTCTTAACATGTCATCGCATATCCGCAGGTTTTTTCTGATGTGCTATCTGTTTGTAAACCTGGCCTGTGCGGTGCAGACTTTGCTCCGAACCCCCAACTGGAGACCCCGCTTCAAATTCTATCACTGGTGAGGATAGTTCGTTTTTGCTCCCATCCTTGTGCTTCGCAAATGATTACGGTGTCACTCCAAAGTCTGTAATATGGAAACCCAATGTAAATACATGTACTATATTTTTTTCTCTTGCACGTCCTAGGACTTTGTCTTTCTTGGGGATGAGTCTGTGTTTGTCTCTCATGTTTATCTCCTCCTGGTACTACGCCCTGGTTGCCATGGTGATAGCAGGTTGCATCTACAAGTACATCGAATATAGAGGGTGAGTTCTGTTTTTTTTTTTTTTTTTTGGGGGGGGGGGGAATATGGACATTTCGACGAATGTGGAAACAGGAACAGCTATTTATGGAACATGTTTAAATACCACAAAAATAGTACATCTTATTGGTCCTGCAGTGCAACAATCATGTTACGACATTTAAACGCCTCAAAGGACTAACTGCAGTCACAACACATGCTCATGCCACATTTTTCTCAAGGCACCAACATCGATACTTCAAATTGTGCACAGGGCAGAGAAGGAGTGGGGAGATGGTCTCCGAGGTTTGTCTTTAAATGCAGCACGATACGCTCTAATCCATCTTGAGGAAGCACCACCACACACCAAAAACTGGAGGTGAGTTCTGTGTATTGTGGAGACGGGCCTTGCACTTGCTTCCCAAACCTTCAGTAGGAACAAACCCGACTTAATCCATCGTTTAATCACACTACAGTCACATGGTAGTGATAGGAATCACCACTCTACAATTTGGGTTTTGTCATGCCCTCAGGCCGCAGCTATTAGTGTTGTGCAAGCTGGACTCACGCCTGGCGGTGAAACATCCACGCCTCCTGTCTTTCACGACACAGCTCAAAGCAGGCAAAGGCTTGACCATCGTCTGTTCCGTACTGGAGGGAACCTACATGACGCGAGGGGCTGATGCCAAGACCGGAGAGCAGGTTTGACTCTTTGTTCGGTTATCGTTGACCCATTGACAGGTTCAAGAGGGAACCGGCACACAGATCCTGCGGATTCTCAGGCATGCGGTGATGCACAACTCCGACTAATGAATGCATGTCGACAAAACAGAAGAGTTGGTTCTGGTTCACTCACACCTTGGCATCAAGGATCGCACAGTTGTCATTCCTATTCATATCAGGCCGCCTGTTGTTGTTGTCTGTCTGCCATGCTCCATCTCAAAAGGCAACTCAAGCAAATGTTTTTTTTTTTTTTTGTTTTTTTTTACTACCAGGAAAACGAACACCTTTCCCCTCATGAATAACCAATTGGTCTTCATTGTTGTATAAGCAACATTTTTGACTTGAATTTAAACTGTACAGAGCAGCAAACTCATTCTTTCTTTCGAAACATCAGTGAGATTTGGGGCCTTGAGACGAAATAACGTCAGAACCACAGTAGCGGTTTTGCCAGCTAAAACCGCACATTCGAGTTCACCTAGTTTGTTAAAAACTGATCGGCAGGAGGAGCAACTGCTTCAAACTGTTGGTCTCAAAGTGTGCAGCCATTTTCGCCTGTTAACTGCCTTTGAAAAATAATCCGGCAGCTCTTACCAGCCTACGTGGGGTAAGCGATTAGCGGCTAGCTGTTAGCCACTAGCTGGTAATGCTAGCGGCAGTCTACTGTCATGCATAGCCTGAACAGTTGTTGCTCTGGGTGGCTTGCCTTAACTTCCCGACGCTGCACATTAAATAAAAGGGTACTTGAGTCAAAAAAAAAAAAATCCTTCTCCTCCTACATAGTGCTACAAAGACAGTGTTGTCACTGATCGTGACTGTGTTTTGGGTCGAGTCTTTGATGTTGTCAGTTGCTATGGTTCTTTATTTTTAATCGGGCACGGCCTGATATCGCTCAATAATTATGCTCGAGGGGCTGAGGGAGTTTGTTAGAACGTCAAGCTTTTTTCCATGCCTTCTGCATCCAGCCCCACTCTCGGTTGTTACTTTGTATAGTTGCATAGAAAGACTGTTTTTCCCCTTCCGCGCCCAGTCCGCTTCTGGCTCCAAATTCCGTCCCTCGCGTCACGATCCCTTCTGACCAGTCATGGACCCATTTCCATTTCTAACCCGCAGAACCTGAAAGCTGCCATGACGGCGGAACGGACCAAGGGTTTCTCCCACGTCGTCGTGTCTTCCAATCTGCGCGATGGTTTCTCCCTGCTCATCCAGTCAGCGGGACTGGGCGGGATGAAGCACAATGCCGTTTTGATGGCTTGGCCAGCAGGCTGGAAACAGGCTCGAGACTCCTCCTCGAGGAGGAACTTTATAGGTGAGCGTCACAGGCTCAAACGTCACAAGGTTTCTTTTCTGCTCAATCGTTTCAACTCTAAACTTACCTTGAACTGCAGAGACTGTGAGAGAGACAACGGAGGCCCATCAGGCTCTGCTTGTTGCCAAGAACATTGACCGCTTTCCGGGGAACCAGGAGCGGCTGAAGGAAGGTACAATCGATGTCTGGTGGATTGTCCATGACGGCGGCCTGCTCATGCTGCTCCCGTTTTTGATCAGCCAACACAAGGTTTGCACCTTTTCATCAGGTCACTTTGCCCGATGACGATCTCTAACTTGAGATAAAATGCACGGCGTTGTTTGTTTGGTGTGCAATATTAGTCAACCTGTTATTATTATATTTACCATTACCGGTATGTATTTTTCACTGTGATTGGCTGGCTTTTTTTTTTTTTTTTTTTTTTTTTAATAATATGAAACTGCTGTCGTTCAAGCACATTTCAAACTGTGGCACAAGTCCATGGACCCAATCTTTCTACTAGTATCTTGACACTAGTATGATGACGTCATGGTATAACGTTGTTGCAAACTGAAAGTAACCAGAATGTTTCTTCTAAAGGTGTGGAGGAAGTGTAAAATGCGCATCTTCACGGTGGCACAGATGGATGACAATTCAATCCAGATGAAGAAAGATCTCCAGATGTTCCTGTACCATTTACGTCTGGATGCAGTGGTGGAGGTGGTCGAGATGGTGAGCAAGTGCACGGTAGCTATCTCGAAGCGTCTGCCGACGTTAAAACATGTTTACCGCCCTAGCACGACAGCGACATCTCGGCTTTCACCTATGAGAAGACGCTGGTGATGGAGCAGAGATCTCAAATGCTCAAACAAATGCAGTTATCCCGCACAGAACGGGAGAGAGAGGTACTGTGCAAAGATCAACATTAAAAAAATGTCTTGAAATAGCTCAAGAAAATTGCTCCATGCTCACAATTTTTTATTTTTTATTTTGCTAGGCTCAACTGATCCATGATCGTAATACAGCGTCTCATTCCACAAAAGAAGCCAAAGCGTCAGCCGACAAACCGGAACACGTCCACATGACCTGGACCAAAGACAAACTCATTAATGAGAGAAATAAACACCGGGAAGGAATGGGTGTCAAAGACATGTTTAACATGAAACCGTAAGTACGTTTGGCGTGAAACACTTGGAACGTGTCAAACTCTTTGCATTCAACATTTGGATTCAATTGTTTAGAATTGCACCTCCAAACCTCAATGGAAGCATCTTACTATCTATCTGACCGTTGCCAGAGAACACTAAACGGCATTAACGTTGTCTTTTTCTCCGCCCTTTAGTGAGTGGGAGAATCTGTAAGTGGTTTTGGATTTCATTTTGCTTACTTGGCATGAGCATGACCCTCTGTGTATGCGTGTGCATGATAATCACCCTGTCCCAAGTGCATGATGAAGACTGTTGTCGATTTGTGCTCGATACACTCACAGGCCAGCACGCTCAATACTTGCGCACGGCTTCATTTAAATCCGAAATTCAACGTTGAAAATAACGAGATTACAAATAAGTGAAGTGGAAAACGCGTATTATTTAGCCCTGCGGTTGGCCCGGCCCAGTGTAACCCGCCAAGTGGCAGGGCCTGCGGGTCAACCGCGACCGCGCTGAAGACGAGCGCGACAGAAATGTCGACGGCTGGATGATACCGCAGCATATTTCGTCAAGTGATGATGTGAGAGGTATGAGTTTAAAACTGTGGTTGTCGCTGGTAACTGCGCAGAGAGACCAATAATACACTTGACATGAAACCAACGGCGATTATGAACCAACATCTGTATCCCAAACAAGAGCCATGACACTTGGGTTGGGGGGGAGGTGCTCCTTTACAAGAGTAAAAAAAAGCAGACGGGAGATTTGGAGACTTGGCTTCAACCCTCTGAGATGTCAACTAGATCCAAAATAAGCTCTACGGGGCACAAAGTGACAGAGCGCGACTAATCAGGGTTTCGGGGGAAAAAAAAACATGACGTCAAAATGAGGCCTTTTGATAAGATGAGCTGCAGTGTGATAAGAAAGTACGTAGCACGTTTACAGAGAGCACTCACAAGTGATTTCCGTACGTCTAGAATACTCGTCATATCCAAAATACAGAAAAAGCGACAGGAAAAAAACCCTAATCCAGCAAATGGCAATCCCTTAAGTAAAAGCAATCCCGTTTTGCCAAAACATCCTAACAACCCAACGCTGCAAACCAAAGCGACACTGACCAACGTATCCTTCCAATCCCTCCGACATGATTCATTCACTGCCATTGTTGTTATTTGCATGAATGTCCAAAACGTTTGCTGTGAGGGGATTTGGCTACTTTACTTCTTGGGTAGAATAGAAGGCTCTCCCGACATTGTCACGTGTGCTCTCATGTTGCTCTTGTTGATTTTGTCTAGCAACCAGTCCAACGTGAGAAGGATGCACACGGCTGTGAAACTGAATGAGGTGGTGGCGAAGAAATCGCAGGATTCACAGCTGGTATTGCTTAACATGCCAGGCCCGCCAAAGAACAAAAAAGGGGATGAGAACTGTATCCTTTTTCGCTACGTTCATCTTTTTGTTTGCTACATTCATATATTTTTGGACCGTGGTTGTTCTTTGCATTTTTTTAACATGACGCCTTGCGTCGCTCAATTGTCAAACCAAAATACGATCGCACATACCTCGAGGTAGTATCGTCGTCAACCCTACAGTGATGACTCCCCCCAAAGCCCAACAATATTAATCATATCTGTTGTTTGATTTAAAACAATAAATTCATTTATTAAAAAAGAAAAAATCGTTTGATTCAAAAACAAGAACCAGACACACAGGAGCTATTTCTTTGATTTATAAATAATGCTATTCCACCCCAATACTGTAGGCGGCGATAATGCACATCACAGATCACTGTGCACAGAAACCAAGCTCTTTTTCAACGCAGTTCTTGATGTGATGTTTCACGGCCCCGCTCGACCTTGAAGCAATGGTGAAAAGTCATATTGAGTTGACATTTATCCTCAAGATGAATCGGTTTCGACCAAACGTCGTCTGGTGCTGCTCATTTGAGAAACCGCATGAAAATGTGGATGCGCAGCCGTGGTTATGACATATAACTGGACAGATATCATCATTTGTGCTTGCAGTTTTGGGCAAGCTGACATCATTCTTGTCTCCCTTCATTGTACAGTATAAGCAAGAGTCAATGTTCTTGTTGTCAAATTCATGCATTTAGTGTCGGCTTCCAAAACACACATTTTATGTTAAACACGACAATTTTTCACAGAGAGAATGTTTCCCACCCTGAAGAATGCGCTGGCTTGCGCATCGTCGTGTTGTGTACTGTGGCGTTCCTTAAGAGACTGCGCGCAAGATATGGAATTTCTAGAAGTGCTCATGGAAGGACTGGATCGCGTCTTATTGGTTCGTGGAGGTGGCCGGGAGGTCATCACCATCTACTCCTAGTGCCAAGCTGTTCTGAACTGGAAGGAGCACCGTGGAGGACAGTGACAAGTTTGGGGACAAACAAGTCCACAGGTTCAATGTTGGACATGGACATCGCGAGTCTCATCCGTGTCAGAGACTGTGGAAATGACAAAATCGGACTAAGTCAGGTCAGTGCATCACCTCAAGGCCCCGTTCTGCAGATGTTGTTGAGCCATCGATACTGTGAACCAGGGGGTGTCCAAGCCAACCGACCTCCCACGATCGACCCATGACCGCACTTGCGATCTACGGGCGCACGCCACACATGCACTGATAAGCGACGGCCATAACGGCCCCCGAACCCGAGCGAAACAGAAAAATCAAGGAGATACAAGAGTGGGTGAAAAGGAAATCGCTGCCGACCTTGGTCCAGACCTGACACGGAGGCACGGGATGCACTTTTGCCGCATCTTCCGTGCCATAGGAACATCACTATCGTAGCTCGCGTGCACCATTTGAACATGCCTGGAGCTTCAGACCGCCACTCTTTGCCAGTGCCATCGTTAAGTTGTACATGAAACAAACTTTGAATGAAAATAATAATGACAAAAAAGAGATATCGCAAGCTCCAATTGCAGACTGCTCACCCCCAACAATTTCCGGTGAGGATGCTTTGAGTCCAGTGTGCACTAACACATAAAGAAGTAATATTAATAACACACACACAAACACACAAATCCCCCCCACCCACATACACACACACGCCACTCGCGATCGACTGGTTGGGCACCCTTGCTGTAAATTATAAGATTACAAATTCAAACTTCAATTCACATAATTTATGATTTTTACATGTCACTTGTTGTCTATTTGATGAGTTATTTTGTTGCCAACAAGAAATCAACATGGCGAAATCCTTTCTTGAAAGTACCGACTGTGCAATTTGGGATGTGTGGTTTCATTTGAGTCATGTCACTGTCCTGAAAGGTAAAGATGAGGTTTGAGGGAAACGACAGCAGTAAAGGTTGCTCACACGTTTTCAAACCCTTTCCCAACCGCAGTATATTTTGCGTGTTTAAATGGCATCACGCAAAAGTAGCATAACGGCCAAACTCATCTTTTGCCTTCGAGAGGCATTTTTGTAACATCTGCATTGGCCGACGGCGAGGTATTTCCTGCAAAAATCTGATCTTGACAAAGAAGTGTGCCGAACTTCTGTTGGTAGTGAGAAAGATCCTTTTGAAAAGTAGAAATTTATGTCTGTGTAAAACCTTGTCCGCCGTGCAACTTTGGAAGTTGTGATTTTATTTTGAGTGTTTGATATGGACGGATTTTGAATGGCCACGCAATTTGCGCGACTTGGTACGCTCCCATTTATCGTCTTGTGGATTCATGAAGTGTGCCAATCAGAATTAGTCAAATGTTAGTCTATATTGTTTGAAAATAGCTTGTTTTAAAGCATTTATTTGTACAACTTCTCCTCGGAATGCAGCTTGTCTCGAGCGCTTACAAATGGCTTGGATCCAGATAAGCAAAAATGTTCATTCCTTTGACATTGTCCTTGTGCCTTTTACTGCCAGGTGCTTTTCAACCAACAACAACAACAAGGCTTAAATCACGTATCTTACTGCAGATGTCAATCAATTGAATATTCTGGTTGAAAGTGTTTGAATATGTGCATAAAGTCTTTCTGTTGAGGACAAATTAACAATAAATGGAAACCTCAATCATGAACCCCCTGAGGACTGGATTCTGGATTCACATTTCTCATTTTCCCCAAAAACCAAACAGTCGAGCAATCTCTACCGGTTCCCGCGACCAACTTGTGCCTGTTGCCCAACGTGACCCCGCTCTCAACAGTGAAGTCTTGGTGTTCCCTGGAAAATGCGAAAGGAACTTCACGGCCCCGTTTGTTGACGTCAGCCACTCGTGCCATCCTCATGATGTGTGTTTCTTACCATTTGGGCAGAAATACACGGTGGAGGTCAATTTGGGAGGCTCTGGCAGCGTTCCTCATCTTTCACAAAAGCGGCAGATACTGTGATTGTCCTGCCGCCGGGTTGTTTCCCTCCCCCGGCAACTCTCTTGCACTGGCCTAATTGGTGGTGTCTCATCGACGCTCTGCTCGGAGACCTCGCAAAGCTATTCTTGATGCAAACTGGAATGAAAAGCTGCACGAGTTGCAGGTATGTCTCAGGCTACCACGAGTGGCTGCAAAATTGCCAAAACTAGCCGAGAATTTACCAGGGAGCATAAGTCGACATGCTAGGCCAGGGGCGCCCAATACGGCAATCGTAATTCTAATCCTTTACACCAGATTCTTGGATCAAATATTTCGGGGTGCTACAGACAAGTCTATGGGTCCAACAAAGACAGGGTTAAAGGGTACTGTTTGTGGCTTTTGTTTGGGGAATGGGGTGTATTTTGCTGCTGCGGGTGGGGGTGTCGGGCCACTTGGGATAATAGGAGTCTTGCTGATCCAACTTGACCAGTACCAAAGTGAGTACGTAGCCTCTGAGCGAGCATGGTTTGTAGCTGAGCATGTTCATGCCTGGTAGGAACCTCTTACGCATGACAACCTTCAATCGGTCCCTGCGTTGGACAAAAGGCAGGAAACGGCTCAACAGGAAGTGTACAGTACATACAAAGGAAATGAATAGAAATAATGGTTGGACATTGTTAGGGCAACAAGATGCCTGGGTTAGAACGGCGATTCCCCTTCCTGTTTCTTTGATGCACGTTGTCGTCGTATTGGCTAAATCGGGAGCTTCTTGGTTGTTGTCACTTTCTAACCTTCTTGGATGTGTCCCTGCCAAATATTGTCCTCTCGTACCTCACAAGCCCAAGCGAGCCCCATTTCCAAAAATCAATTATTTCCCCAAATCACCCGTTGTCTGTTCACTGACAGTTGGCTGTCCATGAATGGTTTTTGTGTTTGTGCCACACACACGAGTTTGCTGCGTCAGCATGTGCAGAACACAAAAACGTATGTGGCAGTAGTCGTGTGAAAGTGTTATTAAATTAATCGGGATCTATCTGCACCTTTCTTGTTCTCTCTCGCTCAATCCAGAGTATATTTGCTCCCACATTAAACTGAGCATATGTGAACACGCACACATGCACACAAACACAAAGTTCAACGTTCATACTAAGTCCGTGCCGAGTCCATGCATATTTCATGCATCAGTGCAATGTTAGTCTTGCAATAAACTGTCATTTTGCAATCAAAGTGCCCTTTTTGTGTTGTTTGTGATTAGTTAGTAGGAACCCATTCTTCAGATCGGGTTTGCATAACCTTTTTGACCGAAGATCGCCTTGTGAAGCACCTGACATCTTGCGATCGGGTGTGCAACCATGTACACGCATACCCAAAGTGTCTGTAAATTGTGCAATGAAAACGCCTGCCTTTTGCGAAACCTCTCAAATGCATTGCGGTGGCATCTTGTTTCACCGGGTACGTATCCTACAACTGCACATTGTGATCTTCCTTTCAGGTAATGACTTACAACGGTCTCTTACGGAGTACTTTTCGTCGTCAGTGGTTGTTGATGCCGAGGGAAAGGGAAATATGCCCCGGCATACCAATGTGGAGGTGGTGTCTTTGTGTTGATTGTTGTGAAGCGTGTGATGCTTTGGCTAAGTAGCGTTTTCCTTGAGGGAGACTGTTTATCTGACAGCTGCATCTCGGCGAAGAGCTCAAGAGGTCAAACAAAAGTGGCGTGCCCGGTGAGGGAATGTTTTCCACAAAGAGGAAGAGAGCCAGAGGATGAGGAAGCGGGGGGCACGTTTGATTTTCTTCAGGGCCCATTATCATTCCTGCCCCTGCTAATAATGGGCTGTTCACATCACAGCATGAGCATGGGCATTCTCAGAGCGACGCCCTCTGAACCCGTTGAGCCCTTTGGCTTCCTCTGGCACAAAGGCATGTTCATCGGGAATTAGACACATTTTGGGTTTTTTTTTTAAAGTCACGTAGAGTTTGATTGCGTTTGGATCCGCCTGAGCAATGAATTATTTTGTGAGTTGCCTTAAAGTGACAGTGTGTAGAAATTTTTGACTTTTCAATGTTCATTCATTTCAAAATCCAATGTTTTAATAATATGCTATATATATATATATATATATATATATATATATATATCATACATGGCAATTTTCCGCGGATCCGCGGAAATCCGGGGCGTGGCCTGGACGGGGGCGTGGTTACTTACAAAAGTGGCACTAAACAT